ATCAGTATTTCATTAATCACAATTAATCTGATCAGTCATTTCAGCCCTAGATTAAGGGGAAGTTTATTCATTCCAATGTTGGATTAGACACAGGAGGACTCTTTTTATAAAAAAGGCGACTTCAGAGGAGGAAGTTGATTTGATGCAGTGTTTTTTAAGAATAAGGCCCCAAATTCAAGTGCAAGTTTTCTTAATTTCCCCTGTGACACAAAGCTGGTTTTGAAATTAAAGCTAAGAGAGACTCTGAATCTGTGTGGCTTCAGGGCGATCTCCGAGGAAGAAATTGAGGAGAACAGAAGAGTGGACCCGTCAGACGAGGAGCTGTTTGAGCCAATCCTGAACCAGGCGTAAGTCATAAACCACTTCCTGTAGAGTTAAAGGCCAACCAATCCTCCCTGTAGTTGTTTGTAAATTGTTAGACGTCTCCTCCCCTCAGAGCCTCCAGACTGAACATCTCCAACAAGAGGAGGCAGAGCCCAAAGTCCTCTGAAGAACCCAGAGTCAGGAAAAAACCTGGACCCAAACCAGGCTGGAAGAACAAGTTCAAGCCTAAAGGGTGTGTAAACTTTCCAGGAGGTTCTTAAACCAACAATCTCTGGTCCTGTTCAGATCCATAAAGTGAAGCTGTTGTTTTTTTGTTTTTAAGAGAGGAACTCCCAAACATCTACAAGTGTCCATATCAGGGCTGCACTGCTGTCTACAGAGCTCCTGATGGCTTAAAGGTCAGGATGGATCCTCCTCTGCTCCCTCTGTGAATCTGTGTGCTCCTTTTTCTTCTTTCTAACTTCTCAGAGTCAGAGGTAAACCTATCCCTGCAGACGCGTGTGTGTGTAGGTTCTCAGTAGAACTTCTGTTTGTGTCTGTTTAGAAACACATTAAGGAGCATCATGAGGACATGAGGGAGAGACCCTGCCCTCATCCTGGCTGTAACAAGGTCTTCATGATCGACCGCTATCTGCAGCGACACGTCAAGCTCATCCACACAGGTGAGGCCTCCAGGGATACTCTGTGGTGGGTCTTTCTAGGCCCACACACGCTGAACAACGGGGTCACACATAACCTTACGTGTCTTTTTAAAAAGATCACAATTTTAGCTTTGATTACAGCTCAAATAGGATTTGACCAATCTGGAAAGACAGACTGATAATATTGGTTTATTTCTATCAATCTGGGCCGTTTAGCAAACTTTCTTACATGCTGGAGCAAAGCAACACCAAATGCCCACCTGCCAAAGTTTGGTATTAGCCACTCATGCTAACAAGATAAAATGTGCAGGTGCTACACGGTGTGACTTCCTTGTTCATATATGTACTTCTTCCTGTGCAGCCATGTCTATTTTGGTTCAGCTGTTGGCTCCCCCCACTTGCTTTCATCATAGCTGGATGTCCCGCCGTAAGCCGTGATACTGCCTTGTGATTTGCTGTTTCTTTTGGGGTCAGTTTCTGAGCCTTTGACATAAGCCCCATTTACACTACCCTTATTGAAACCGTGCCGAGATCGGTCCGAGCAATGTAACTGAGATAACTGTTGAGTATAAATGGCACGCATAACTGAACCGTACTGAACCACACTAAACTGGTCCTAGTTCATTAGTTGGTCTCAGCACTATTCAGTTCCGGCACGGTTCTCAGATAACAAAGAGCGCATGAGCAAAGCGCATCATCTCCTTACAGTCAGCCTCTGTAATCATGATATATCAGACATTCATAAAAATACTAGCTTCCCTACTGAACCACATGCTTTCTGATTACCAGTGTGATGAACCTCAACGTTTGTCATATCCACTTCCCATAAGCCGACTCTGCCAAGTAAATTTACCAAAGGCTGCCTTCTTCACCTGACTCTTTTTTTCAGTTTTCGCAAAAAACGAAATATCTCAATTATAACCAAACTTCCTAAATGTTACGGGCGCCGCCATGTTGATTTGCTTGTTTACCTCTAGAGAGCAGTAGTACCATCGTCACTAGAAGGCGAGGAACCGTGCTAGCATGATGTGTAAACGGCATAAGGAACCAAAATCACCATGGTTAACTGATCCAAGCTCGGTCCGAACTCGGCACGGATCAGTTTTCAGAGGCTAGTGTAAATGGGGCTATAGTTTCAGTAGGTTTGCTCCATGCCATGCTGCATTGATGCAAGAACTCATCAATACAGTTAGTGAGTTATTGTGGCTTTTATCTTCTAAATGTTTGTCTTATCAGGTTACTATGAAATATTTGGTCTCAGTAACTTCAATAAGGATGTACAAATGATAATAATGTAAATATTTCTATTTGTGTTTCCAGAGGAGAGGAACTATATTTGTGACCAGTGTGGTCAGACCTTCAAACAGAGGAAACATTTGTCAGTTCATCAGATGAGGCATTCAGGAGCCAAACCGCTGCAGTAAGTCCTGATTAAGGAGCTTCATTATGACCTCAGTCTGCAGCTGACCACAGACCTAGTTCCTACGGTCTGAAACTGAAACATCTTCAGGCCTTGATTGGACTTTATTCCGCATTACATTCCTCTACATGATTAATAATTTAAGTGATCCAATCACAGTCTTCTTTATGACATTTTAGAAAAATCTTCCAGCATGATATTTAGAGCTTCATCTTTGTAGGAATATAAGTCAAAATATGATTATTAGCTATACCATACTCAACATACAGGTTATTGGAAGAACTAGAAATAAAATAATGTCCTAAATAAGCTCAACAACTTTAAAACCCCAACAATTGCCTGCTCTAAGTAGGGCTGGATGATTATTCAATAACAATATATATTGGTCGATAGACGTGTGGTGCAAAAGAAAAAAGGAGGGTTAACAAAAGTTCAATATAGAAACAGTTTTCCTTCCTTTTCATTGTAGTCTATCATGGTACAGTCACCACTTCCCACAAACTAATCGCCATCACTGACCCAGGCAAGCCGTCACAAAGCGCCACCCTCTAAAACCACAACACAGAGCACATATAGATGTCTCAGCAGGAGAGGCGAAGGATAATGTCCCGAAGAAGGGATTTAGTAGCTCGCCAGTTTGGCATTATTTCGGTTATAGCAAGTCAGACAGAAATAGTTTAAAAATTCATACATTGTGATTTCTGGATTTTTTAGATTATGTCTCACAGTGGACATGGACCTATGATGACAATTTCAGATCCCTCAATCATTTCTAAGTGGGAGCATTTGCAAAATAGCAGGGTGTTCAAATATATATTTTCCTCACTGTACCTCTGATGAAATTGAAATAACAATCTACAGCTGAATCCAGTGAGGAATTAAAGCAGGCTCTGTTCAGCCAGCTGACCAGCAGTGTGCAGGGGGAAAAGAGTCCACTAAATACCCCAGAAATTCCTCCAGAATTTAATACATTTCTTTGCAGAAGAATTTAGGCCATCCTCACCTCGCCTGGGTATCGGTACTACCCGTAACAGACTGTCCGTTGCATGTTGAGGTTTTGCAGATCGTTATTTTATAAATGTCAAATTGGTGTACAGGTTGGTCTCCAGATGAAGGTGAACTTATTTCTGATTGTTTGGTCATAATCAGAAGCTATGGCTTAAAAAAAAAATCTGGTTGTCATCCTCCTCTTTAGATGTGAGGTTTGTGGGTTCCAGTGCCGCCAGAGAGCGTCCCTGAAGTACCACATGACAAAACACAAGGCCGAGGCAGACCTGGAGTTTGAGTGTCTGATATGCAGGAAGCGCTTCGAGAAGGCGCACAACCTGAACGTCCACATGTCCATGGTCCACCCGCTGATCCAGGCCCAGGTCCAGAGGAGCGGCACCAAGAGGCAGCATGCAGACCTGCAGACCATAGGTCTGACCGGAGAAGTGGTCCAGCAGGACCAGGACAGATGACGGCAGGGAGTCCGGGTCCTGCTCTGCTTCAGAGGTACAAACAGCCTGTCTGGGTCTGCACTTTGGATCCATTGTCTCAAACTGTTCTGAGAGAGTCCCGAAGTTTAGGTTCAGCTGAGGGTAAAAGAACCACTACAACCATTCTCAACAGAATCAACTTATTCAGCAGCTTTAATTGGGCTGTGAATCAGGGATCAGTCATATCAAGAGCTTTCTGGGTTATATACTCTATAAAGCTTCGAACTCAACACTAATTTTGACATTTTGAACTCAAAAAGCTTCCTGGATGGGAGGCGAAACATCTTCAAACTTGGATAACAAGGTCCAGTGGATTGGCTTTAACTTTTGAATGACTATGACCTGGATGACTGTTAATCTTCACCACTATAATGCCCTAGGAAAAGCCTTTTTAAATATAGCCAATGGGCAGCCTTCATCTTAACATGGATGTTCATATGCATCCATGCTAAATAATTGCCATATTTGATGAATGTATTTGAATGTTCAAGAGTCTAGCTGATCACAGAACCAGGCTGGAGCTCACTGAGCTCCCATCCTTTCAGAAATCTTTCACCAAACTGTCTGCACCCCTCGAGGCTGGATTTTATACACCTGTGGCCATGGCAGTCATTAGAACAGCTGAGTTAGATTTTTAGGCTGGGAGAATGAAACGTTTTTGATGTTGTATACATTTTATCACCATGTTGGGCTGTGCGAGTATAGATGCTGATGCATGTTAAAATATGTTGAGTTTTCTGCTCTGAAAATTTATCAAATAATTTTTTGTTTTCAGGTGAAGGTGCTCAGGGTCCTGTCGTTCCTGTTTCAGCCACTAGGGCGGTGTCTGCCTTTCCTCCATTCACACTGCAGCAGTTCTTCAGTTTTTGGTCCTAATGTTCCGACTACTCAGCAAAGGAAAAAAGCAAATGAATCCGAACAAAAGATCTTAAAGAAAGTTGCAGATTTTAGCTTCAGATTTGAAGATGAAAAGGTTTTATTGTTTTGAACTGCTGGTCAGGCAACAAACTATTTAAAATTGATGTTAACTTATGTATTCAATGTTGTCACACCAGGAAGCGCTGCCTTATGACTGTTAGCCAAACTACAGCTGCTAAGCTCTGGTGTTGAGGCTCTGTAGGAAGGAAGAAACACAACGAGATAGAGTCTTTTTTTATTCCAAGAAAAGAACACTGCAACAGAAGGGCTCCCCATGTATATGATCTGTAGAAAAACTATGTAAATAAATAAAATACTTTGGTAAAAAAGTCGCCTGTTTGAAAAACATTGTGTTTGACGTTTAGCATCAGGTCAGATGTTTCCAGTCTGTCACCATTAAATGAAGTCTATCTCAGGGCTGAGACTGTGAGGGTTCAGCAAAACCGACAGAGCTGCTGCCAATTCTGGGTCCAGGTCTGCGCATTGACACTCCAGCTGGATCCATGAAAACACAGAGAAAAACACCAGATAAGATGAAGGCGAGTCAGGAGGGTTGGAGTGGGATGCAGGCACTGATGTGGGAGCCTACCTGTCGCAGCTGGCTGGAGGAGAATGCAGCGGGAGGTACCTGTGAGATCGAACTCAGGACAAGCTGTTTGGTGCGGTTCAGAACCTGGGAGGGATCCAGCTGAAAGAAAACCCAGATTTTCATTTAGCATCATTTCTAATCGCTCTGCATAGACAGACAGAACCACCCTCACCTTCTCAGTAGGTGCTGTGGTCATGGTCGGCGTGTCTCCTTCTAGGAACAGCTGCAGCACAGAGAGGTACCACAGGATGGCAGCGTGGAGGAACCCTGGACAACACAGCGCCCTCTGGAGGAACTCAGCACTTTGCTGCAGCAGCAAACTGAAAAAAAAAAAAAACAGGAAAGAAATGAATATGACCAAGAAAACGGAGCCAAAAGAAAGTATTCTTATACCTTTATCATAATATATTCCATATAAATCAGTTTCACACTTCATGTTAAAAATTTCAAACATCAGGATCAAAATGTTTTGGAAAGATTTCAGCTTTCAAAGCTTTAGAGCCCAAAGTTTGATCCTGATCCCCAGCCAGCATCAAATTTCCTCCTCTCTGCAGGGCAGCCGAACCTCCCAGTGTCCCAGACTAACAATCTGCTCCTTAATCTAAGCTTGAAGCTTCTTTCTGAGCAGCTTTAATTGGAGGAATCTCTTTAACTTACACCACAAGGTAATTTGGAGCCATTTCATTTTTGGGTAAATGTTCAATTATGGATGGAAAATGTACTTCCAAGTTTATACATGACAAGCTGGAACGGAGCAGTGGTGTGAAGACTTAATGGATTTACCTGCAGAGAGCCCAGGGCATTAACCGTATGCAATCGTCCGAAGATGTCAGGGAGACCCAGGGATACCGGTTTGGTTCTGAAGATGCTGAAAATGTCGATAACATAAATATAAGAAGCTCCAGATCATTGGAACTAGTTCCAGCTGTGTGTAAACGGTACCGTTGGAGCTGAACATTAGCAGACAGTCAGCAGAATTCACCAAAACAGCCAGAAGCTCTGAGCAGAAATGTTTAGATTTTTCACAACTTTGTTCCTACAGTGGAAAAAAAACAAAAACATGATTTATCATATTTGTGATTCTTTATCTCATAATTATCAGATTTAGCTGCACTCTAGAAAAATACCACATTCAATGTACATATGTTATTGTTTCACAAATTTAAATCTCTAAAGATGCAATTTGTTCTTTTTTCAAAAGTGTATTTCATTCATGATGGATACAGAATGTTAAAGATTTAATTCCCGGTTGGACTTCGCCTACCTGAGGGTACAGAAGTGCTGACAGGTAGTCCTTCAAGCAAAGGAAGAGCAGAGAAACAAGAACCTGGGCCAAAAAAAAATTAATCAATAAAGTTTATTTTTTTAACATTCATCTCAGAGAAATTTACAAACTGACAACCAGAACCTTTAAAGTTCCTTTCTAGCTTAACATAAGATGATGCAGTTTCAAACAGTTCAATAGGAATGAATGGTTGGCTTGTTTTCTCAAGCATCTCCACATGTCTGAAGGATTGATCAGTTTTTGTTTTGGACTCTCACCTGTTTGTGTTCAGCTCCTCTCTCTGCTTTCAGTGACTTCACAGCATCACTGAAGCTCTGCTGCTGTTCCTCACATCCTCTGCAGAAGGAGCCATGCAGGCTTGCGGCGCACACCAAAACAGCAGCTTCAGGCATCTTGGCCACCTGACTCCGCTTTAGACTGCAGACCATAAACAGTGACAGAGCACTTCTTAGCATTGTCTGTTTATCAATTAGCTGACAGGTAGGTAATGTCTGGTTTTACCTGCAGGCCCAGAGCCAACAATCCGAGAGGCGCTGTAGCTGTTCTGGAGGAGACTCTCCATTACGGAGACGAGCCCACAAGGAAAACAGGAGCGGAGAAAGCTGCTGCCACCAGCGCTGCAAACACATCCAGGCAGCAGATGTTTGCTCAGCTAGCAAAATCCTTAGCTCACTTCAAAGCTGTGATACATAATTAAAATCATTTCAAACTAAAATGAAAATTTCTTTGCTTTCTAATGTTCATCTGAATAAATGTATAGTTATTAAAATAGATAAAGTATTTTAAAGGACAACTCAACCAAAAATCCGCTTTTTTTATTGATGAACTGCACACATTGACATCACCTACATCCCAAGCATCGTTTTGACAATTTACTGCATGTTTGCACTAATCCTTTTTTTGTCCAAAACCTGCCCTTTGGCAACCTCCTCAGGTTTAACAAGTGCACTGTATCTTCTTTTAAATTAGCATCGGTTTTGGCTACAACGTTATTGTGATGTTACATAAAATAACAAGCATGAATAGCTCTCTCTCTCTGTGGGGTTAAAACTGGCTCCATCTCCCCCATGTCTTGGTAGAGAGTTAGAGGAGGTATAGATACAGATTGATGGCAAAGACTAGCATCACTACGATCACTCTCCTTGTTGGTGTCACTGCCAGTGTCATTGCCTCTGTCAATCACAGCAGAGACCATGCTCAGTCCCTAACCCACTGCATGTTCCGTCCTCTGCCAAGCACCGCCTCCGCAGGGCATAAATTATAAATATATGCAGATGGAAGTGAGGCTCCAGAATGGAACGAGTTCTTTTAATAATGTTCTTTAAATGTTCTTTCATGCTCAGAATCCCTCCATTTGGTTTGTTTCTCTCCTAGATGAAGCTACTTTGAGGGCTACTGATGCTATTTAACTTAAACATAGGAGGTACCCGTATGAACACTGCTTCCGTGCTTCTTCTCTCTACATAAAAATGTGTTCTTATTAAAATTGCAAATAAAAATTTCCCCTTTGATAATTTTTTCTTTTCTGCTGTACAGGTTAACATTTAAAATTCTGTTTTCATAATAGAAGTTTTGATTCTTCAGTTTACTTTTCTTTGCCACTATGGGGCTTTAAAGGTATTTTTCATATTTTTTTTACACTCTGAGAGGTTGCTGCAGACTGTGACTGAAAGCAATCTATGATAATCAAGTGATTTTATCTTTCTGTACATGTGGTGCATTCCATTAACCTTGGAAGTTGGAGGACGGTAAAGCTGTTGGATTACCTCTTAAGAATGTCATTTTAAGCTATGCAGCATTTTTAAAGTATACTTTTTAGATGTATATCAACAGATCTGGAAAAACCTTCCCATAACAGAATGTTTTAGTGATACTAAGCGATTTTTTTTTTTTACGTAGGTGTTTTCAAGAGGTTCATCAGATTTTATTGCAATATTTTGGTTGTGCAATTCTGCAGATGATGCTGGACCATCACAGCCTTCAAATACCAGTTCCATTCAGAAATTGGTCAATTCCATTGGCGCAGAGGTGACATCATCTAAAGATCAATTTATGGCACCAGGTGTTGCATTAATCCACTCCGAGAATCACACTAAAGATGTTATCCTACACTTTTCCAAATAATATTGGAATAATGAAATGAAATCAGTCAGGTGTAAAGCTTCCAGCTCTGTTTTCCATACCTTTCCAGCATATAGGCTCAGGTTTCATGGATGTTAGCACCAATCTTGTTGGATTGTGGTGAGAAATTAATTGGAAAGCAGATTTTTTTTCAGCATAAACTGGTATCTGGTCTTTTTAGGAGCAATGAGTCATCAGCGCAGGCTGGTACCGGTTGTGACTGAACTCTTCCTCTGTTATTTTAACTCAGAGATAAAAGATGGAGGTAAGGTGTACCACTGCAGAGACCACGAGAAGAGGACAACTGATGCTCATCTGAGACCAAACTCTGTTGACTTCTTCTCCGGGGCGTTCACACTGCACAGCCGCACATAGCAGACCCTGGAGGGCAAACACAGCAGCTTACGTCTCCACATAGACACAGAAGCAGCAACGTTTCTGTAGCATCTTCAGGGTAAATGAAACGACTCACCTTCAGGAGGTGTGCCGTTACCGAGCAGGCCAGCACGCTATCTGGAGAACACACCTTCCTCTGATGATGAAGAGAAGAAATCACATGGTTTCAACCTGGCTGAAGTTTGCTAAAAGATTAAACTATTAACCACCAGTTTACCTGATGCTGGTTGATGTGCTCTACGAGCCTGCTGCAGTCCACAGTGGTCCTTCCACTTTCAATCTTTATTTTAAAGAACAAAACAGCTGGGAGGGACAGGAGCACTCTGAGGAACACAAAGGTTAGGGTCAAAGATCTGATCTAGAGTTTACTGCACCCTTTAACCAGGTGTAATCTATGGAAGGGAATCAGGCCACCTGTTCCATTTATGTAAGTTTCTCTGCAGGCCAAGCTTGGAGGTGATGCTGGCAGAGGATGGAGAGCATCTCTGAGACACAACCTCAAACAGGAAATCCCAAAGATCAGCTCTGTGTCTGCAGCCACCTGAAACGTTGCTCACTTCCATTTCGTACACCAACTCCTTCAAGAACACAAAGAAATATTTTATGCCCTTATTTTACTTGCGGCAGATTAATATCTATTTATTTTCTACGCGTTTAACCCATCAAGACGCCATTCAACAACAGCTATGGGTGGTCGGTTTATCAGCCCAAATATTATGAGCCCCAGCCTAATAGACACGGGGCTCTTTGTGTTCGAGCAGAACCTCTGATCACGTCAGCAAGAGAAAACAACATCTGTGTTACCATCAAAATTTTAAAGAACATTTAGCAAATGTTGGTGTTTCTCATTAAAATGTTTTTTCCAGATTTTGCATTGAAGATTTTAATGCATTCATCAGGTGAGATGCGAAGGACACCCTGGACAGGCCTTCAGTGTTGGTCAGGATGACACAAAGAGTCTGCAACCTGTGGCTCTCATGACACTTTACAACAGCTCTTCTTCATCTTGGCTAAAAAAGGTGAAGAACCAACTCATTTTTTATAATATAGATCCTCTAGCATATCTTTTTTTGCAACATAGTTTTCCAAAGATTTCAGCAACACATTGAAAATGTATTCATTCTCTTTTCCTTTATTTTTCAAACAAAAATTTGAAAATTAAAACAGCAGGTCTTTAAGAGATACAACTTTTACTAAATATAACCCGTTTTGTTATTGCTGTCAGTTTTCTTTTTATTAAATGTAATGTTTGTGGCTCTAAACGTCCTTTATTAGCTGGACTAAAGTCAGAAATAGCTCTCTCAGTTTTAAAGGTTGCAGATTCATAAATTAAACACTAGTTAGCCTAACAGTCACGATTCCGGACTGTTGGCAGAAGCTGGATAAATGGTAGAGATGCAACACATTCACAGCAAGAACACATCTTTTTCCTCTTTTTTTAATAATGAAAAGAAAAAATAGAGGATGGATCTAGTCTGAAAGTGATTTTTAGAAATCCAGACATCTTCAAATCTTTATTATTTAATTTTTTTTTCTCCCATGGTTAGGGTGATGGAGGGTAAAGTTTCTTTTTACTCCACTTTTATTTTCCATATTAATCCAGACCTGAACATTTCTCTAATCAAGAGTTGCATAATAAATCCAGCACATTGCTTGTGGGTTGTTGAGGTGTTGAATGCTTAGTTTCTGCAGGCGTCAAAGTGTTTCACACCTGCAATCTGGAAAGGAGGTCCGGTAAACAGGTTCCTGAAAATCCTGCAGAACAACTTGGCTTTTCAAGGCTCAGGTCCCTGTTGGAATCAAATAAACAAAATGATGCTTTAATAACCTGAAGAATCTGTTTTAAATAATATTACAACCAACTATTATTAAATATTATATATTCTTCTTACCTTCTACATTTTGATCATTTTGGACAATTGCATTGTTCCCACATGAAGTCTTTTAAGTCTAATTAAAAACTTACAATGTGCACAAACGTACAATAAAGCATGGCCACTGATGAAACTGGTGGATTTAGAAACCAGTGGTTAGAAAGATCAGAGAGAATCTGTAAGTTTTGTAAAGTGGACGGATACAAACTGAAAAGCATTTCCTTATTACCTGGTCAAATTACATCAATATAAGAAACACGTTTCCCCTCAAGTGTTCTAATCTAATCTCTGGATTTCTTACTTTCCTGCCAGAAAAACAGATAAAAAGATTCTGGGTGAAGAAAGCCAAATTGCCGAACTATCAGAATGTGTAACGGATTGTCACACAGATAAAATAATAAAATTAATCTGATCATACTGTAGCCGTTTCGTTACTTTGCTCTATTGTGATGACTGTATATACCGTAAATTCTCTAATATAGGCCCGGGCCTTTATTTCACTCAAGTGCATCGCGGTCCAGGCCTTTATTGGATAGAGGCCAGTATTAGAGACAGGCCTCTATTGCTATTTGAGCAAAACAGACTACCAGTGGAATGAATAAAAATGAGATTTTGTGTCTATTTGAACCTATAAAACACTAGGTTCATTTATTGAAAAAGTACAGTTACCATGTCTCGCTTGGTTTGAAGTAAAAAAAAAAAAAAAAAATCCTCCAATTCTGTTTAATTCTCCTCCTCAGTTTTTCTCCTCCTCTTCATCTCTCCCTTTAATCTCCTCATCACTCGCGCTCCTCCTGTTCTGCTGCGTGTCTGTTCTCTTCCTCGCGCAGACGGGCAGCAGTCAGGGCCTGTCGTCCAGCTGCGCAGGGCTGTGGTACTTGTATGTTACTTACTACCACAAGTATAATGTTGAGGTATGCCCAGAAAAAACGTTTATAGCCCCGGCCTGTATTAGAGACCGGCCATTATTTACCTCCTCTGACAGCGAGACCGGCCATTATTAGAGACCCGGCCGCTATTGGAATACAGGCCAATATTAGAGAATTTACGGTATATATATTGCAGGTTTATTACTATAAGTTTCATGTGATTCAATTTGAGTTTAGTGTCTAGTGTCATACCAAAAAGCTTCTCTGACTTAAATTATAAATCAAATACTTAATCTCTCAGATGGCAGAAATTTCCTCTAAAATAAAGTAAAACCAAGTTTATAGAGTAATTGCCTTACAAGCATTCCTGCATTATTTTAGTCCCAAAAACCATCTGTGTTATTAGTTGCAGTTCTAGGAATTTTTTCAAAGGGTGGCTAAGGGATTTCCATAGTGGCCAAATTAGCATGGTGCCTGATCAGTAACTGTCCCCGAAAAATATTCATAGGGGTATTCAGGCAGGGGCTGATGTGCACTAAAGCCAGGCATACCCTGTACAACTTATGCCCTTTCCTGGCCATTCTACAATCATGCAAGAATTTTTCAGGCCAGCTTTCAGTCTGATTGGGCATCTTGTAGTATACAGGTGGAAACGAGGCGCGATTAGCCTTCCGCTCAGGAATCGTAAGGTCGGGAGAAAAATCAAACATGTTTGAAATTCAGTCGGCCGTCGTAAGGTCACATCAGAGCTTCAGGCCGCACAGTGTATAATATTTGGCTCATTTTTATATTTCAGCATTTGGAACCTCCCTAGATGGGCCTTAAAAGAAAACTGTAGTGCATAAATCATTTAACTAATCATCTAATGAGGTTTCTTGGCACCTTAACGGCTGGTCCATAATGGCATTTAACAGTTGAGAGCAGAGCTTCTTCATGTCTCCTCCACAGCCTCCCTGCTCCTCTGGACGAGTCAGATAGACCTCACAGCAGGCCCACTGCTGATACTCCTGCCTAGAAAGAAGAAAGAAAAACATGCAGTGAAAAACTGAGCTCAACTCCACAATAACAGCAACCAGTAGTTTCCTTAATACTTATGTGCTTTGGGCACATAATTATTTTTAATTCTTTTTCTATATAGTTTAATATTGACTTTTAGTTTAATGAATTTTTGTTTTGTATGTTTTGGGGTTACTTTTTTCCCCCTGGTTAATTAGTGGCTGTTGGACTGCCTATGAATGGGCTGGGTTTTGATCTTGGAGGCTGTCCTTTGCTCGCTCATTCATCTCCACCATGGAGAAGGCGCACCTGTCTCCAGCTACTGTAGGCCGCAACCGACACCTCCAAGCTGCCATGCGGTATATTTTGTTAGCCTTTGCTTGGAAACTGTTTTCATTTTGATTTCGACCTGGTGGGACCGGTTGTACTGTTTTCGATTCTTCTTTTCTTTTCTTTAGTAGTTTATTTTTTGTAGTCCAGTACTAGTAGGGGCTTCGAACGGCCCTGTATAGGGTTGTATAGTGTTGGCCCCCTGCTGTACCGTTTTGTTGTTTTTGATCGGCTCATCAGGTCCAACTTTCTGTTAATACTTTGTTTTGGTATGTTCTTTTTTCTCTTTTCCTTTTTTTGGACACAGAAGCTGAGGATATTTAATTCTGGTTTTTTTGTTTGTTTTTTTCCTCTACAGAACATCCCCACAGCTGTCTTGAGAAAGAGGGTTTTTGAAAGAGAGTAAACTACAGAATAAATTATCTTACACAAAAATGTTTACAAGAGAGGTCAAGTTTTTCTTCTGTACATTGTTGAATGTTTAAACCTGAATGGGTACAAGACTTTAATATGTAATGCGTAAGCAACACGTAATGTGATTTATTCAATAAATAAATTCTAAATATATCAGTTGCATTTCCTGCACATGCCTTTATTTCTGATAGGAAATACCTGTCAGTTTTACCTCATTATCGAGGTAAAACTGACCAATTTATAGTGATATTAGTTTGAGGTCATATCCCCCAGCCCTAATTGAAAGGTCATTAAAGTTCCTGGGAATGTCAGCTGATTATTCAGACTAAAAGCATACTCTATATCAAGGGTGGGCAATTCCAGTTCCTGGGGGCCGGTATCCTTCAACTTTTAGATGTGCCTTTGGTTCAACGCACCTGAATCAAGTAATTAGTTGATTGAGAGGACTTGTGAGAAACTGACTGCATACTGAGGAGGTAACTCAGCCATTTGCTTCAGGTGTGTTTGATAAAGGAAGGATCTAAAACCTTCAGGAGACCGGCCCTCAGGAAAAGGAATTGCCCACCCCTGCTCTATATTATACATGCTCCCAATTGACATGTAAAAATATCCATTCATAAATACGAATTTCTGTCAAAAGTTTGTACCAAAATGTTTGGAGAATGAAAAATTTTTAAACTATTGTTTATATATATTGTCAAATTAAATCTTGATGTATTTCAGCTGCTTCTTTAGAAGCATCAGTGAGTTCATCGTCATACCGCTGAGAGTCTGACAAGATGTCTTCATGTCTTTGGACTCTAAGCTCATAATTCAGCCACTCTGAAAAACATAACTGGACAAAAACAAAAGTTCATTAGTATTGGAGTCAGTCATGAAAACTAATCAGTTAAAAAATTATTTTTAATGGCCGAAGTTTATTGCAGAAAAGAAACTCTTCAATATCTCAAGCCAAAGTGTAATGCTTAACTTTCTTACATGATGAGCAAAACTTTTCAATGCAAGTAAATCAGAATAATTCTTACTCTGAAAACTGAAGTTTAGATTTGCTACTTGAAAAATTTCCGTTAATGTTGAAATCCATAACTACAACAAGAAGAGGTGCAGCTTCAGTTCTGAGCTTCGCACAAACCAATAATTCAGCAACACTGAATGTTTGATTCGATCTCACCCTAAACTGTGGCATCTGCTCCAGCTGCTGGAAGGCAGCATGCCTCCAGAGATTCAGGACAGTCTTCTTCCAGTTACTTAGGTCATGTGTGATGCTGCTCCACAGGGGGTCTGAACCATCCTGCTGTTCATCAGGGCAAACAGATCCAGAGCTTCTTCTGGCCTCAGGGAACAGCCTTGGAATGAGATACAACAGCTGGACAAAGACAACAAAAAAAGAAAAACATAGCAATTTCATTTTCATAGATGTGCAAAAAAAAAACACAATCATAGCTACCAAATGAATCTCAGAATTTCTCAGGCTGACAATGACAGAAGCAACAGAAGTTGTACCTTTTTATAAAGGCTGCTTGGGATATACTCCTGCTGCTGCTGCTGTGGAGATGGTGAGTCTCCTCTGCAGAGTCCATAGCACACAGCAGCCACACCGAGCCTGGTAAAAACCAGAGAAGAACGGCAAAGATGTCAAGTAACAAAGTACAAATACTTAATTACTGTACTTAAGTACACTTTTTAGGTATCTATACTTTACTCCATTACTTATTTTCCTTCCTACCTCTGACTTCTACTTATTACATTTTCAAACAAGTATCTGTACTTTCTATTTCCTTATATTTTTAAAACAAATGTTACTCGTTACTCTTGGCTTCGGTTTAATGTTTATAAATATTTATTTCATGTCATGTGCTCCATCCAATGCAGATCACTGGTGCCATCCACATCTAGTGAAAACTAGTGTAATTGGATGAGTCATATAAAGCAAACACTCATTGGTTAGCTAAAGGAAATCATCAGAAGCAAGCAGGTGTTCTTCAAACTGTAAACGTGAATTGTCTATGCCATGCTACAATATTGGATTCAGAAAAAGATGTTGAAATGTCTAAAAGTTCGGACACAGCAAGAGCGTATCGGGAGATGGAGACCAACCAGACCTCCCTCATCCTTGGTCCTATCTCAAAGGACTTTTTGAAATGGTCGAAAAATTGAGCTTTCAATTCACATAGTGGCATGTGGTATTTTTTTTTAAAGGTTACTTTATACTTTTATACTTTAAGTAGTTTTTGGAGCACATACTTTTTCACTTTTATTTGAGTAAAGAGGTCAAGTTGATACTTCAACTTTTACCAGAGTGTTTTTAAGTATCTATACTTCTACTTAAGTAACAATTGTGTGTACTTTTATCACCACTGAAAACGGTGAGACAAAGCTCTATCAGTCTGTGATTACTGCAGACTGACAGCTTATTGAAATGTAAACATTCTTTTGTTTTAGTCACATAAATAAACTTTGCAGTCTTTGCACCAAGAAGCATGAATATATTCTCAGAAACACCTTAATTTTAAACTAAAAAAACAAAGGGTGTTGGATGAGCAGATTAATTCTAGACAAGTCAGATTTAATTATTAATAATGTTGAAAAGCCGTAGATTATCACAGGTGTCCATAATTAGCTGTGTGAAGGGCTCATAAAGCTTTGTTCATGCTTGACGCGCCCATGCCCCTCCGGGCGGACTCCATTAGGACAGGATTTCCGCACAAAGCACCTAGGAAAATTTGTAACTACGAGGATGGATCCATGTGAAAAACATGGAGAGCAAGCATCAGCTCCTGCTGGCAAGGGTTCACAAATGTAAACATCTACAGACATCCTGTGATTTAAGTCTATAAATAAAATCACTATCAACACATTGTGAAAAAGAAACTGCTGTGGCTCTCGAACGACATGAAGAGGCTTGATAAATTTGTAAACGACTGTGTTTTCTACTTCCTCGTGTTGTGTGGAGGTGTCAGCTTGCTGTTTCTGCTGAACATGCCCTGCCCCCCAGAGTCAGTTGGGACAGGGGAAAAGCCGCACACAATATAAATGCTGCAGACACTGTGACGGGTGGCTCAGTTTCCACAGAGAAAAGACGCCCATGCCATTGAAGAGCCACAGCAATTTCTTTCCTGGAGTTTTTCCCCAAAAAATGTTGATATTGATATTTATTGGTTAAATCAAGGGATGGCTCTAGATATTTACATTTGCAAACCTTTGCAACTTCACCACGCAGAACTTGTGGAAGCAGGAAGCATAAACCAAGCTTAAAGGAGTATGTGGAAGCAGCCATAGCTCTGCAGGAGAACATCTCCAATGGAAGAATGAGGAGAGAGATCTGTCTGTTCAGAGATCTCACTGACCTGCTGACACAGGATGATGCCTGACTTATTCACTTCTTTAGAATAATTTATATTATAATTCAAACTAAGATGTTTACCGATACATTTGAAACAGGTGAAATTATCTCCACAGGCAGCTGCTTATAATTTGTTTATTTATATCACTTTGCAAATCACTGCCTCTATAAACAAAATCTACCTGATTGGCTTCAACAGAACCTTTTGGTAAAACCCCTTGATACATCTGCTGCTGTGAATCAGCATTAATTGATGAACTGAACTGAATGACCTTACCTGACAGAGAAGAGCATGTTGATGTGTGTGTTACAAAGAACTGCTGAGCTGAGAGCATCAGCCAAAGGTAATGGCTGATGTTGCCTGTGTGACACCAGCTGAACCCGAGGACCTTCTGCCATGGAGGCCTGAATGTGGACCATGAAGGCTGCCAGGCCAAGAATGTGTGAAGCACTCAATGAAGCTCCCTTTAGGTAGAAGAAGTAATAAATAGAATCAGCTGAACTTCCTTGGAAACAGAAAAATAAACTGAACCTAGCTGTCTTTGATTAACTTTCCAATTAGAGTGTAAATAACTGAATCAGACTTGACAGAAGATGCCTTTTTTTAAACTGCCTTGAGACTAAATGTGTAGTGAATTGGTCAAATATAAATACAGATAATTAAATTAAAAAATTCCTGCTTTATATAATGTTGATATGTCATCAGAGAAGGAGCAGATAGCACAGTGAAGTTTAAATGTTGATTTATGTACCTGATTGTGAAACAGCTCCCAGAGTCTGTGTGCTACGCTGGAGAGAAGGTGTCTGTTGTCAAGCAGCAAGCTGACAAACCTGCAGCCCCACGAACACTGTCTGAAAATGTAAACAAATATGTCCAAATCAATTAGCATTAAATTGGTTTAAAAAAAACTATTTAAGATAATTAATTGATTATATTGGTGAGTTTCAACACCAAATTCATAAAGGAAGAAACTATTTCTTTTTCTAGCTCTTTTTTTCACTTTAAAAAGCCAATCTAATTATTTCATCAGTTTTTAATCATGACGAAAAGAAAATGTTTTAAATAATACAACCGTTTCTACATTAGGAAAATGTTAAACCGTTTCTGAGTCATAAAAAGTATTTAGAAAAATGTGCAATTAAAAAGGTTCATTTTATAATCTTCAAAATAGATTAAATTACCGTATTTACTGTGAGATGAAAACAAAGATTGATCCCTTTCTTAAAACCAAAAAACAGCCAAATATTTCTGTTCAGTTGAATTTAGAGGGAGTCTGTTAAAGTAAAGAAACCCACTCACTTATTAGGAGGATTTCCTCTAGAAGCGTTCAACAGGCTTTGGCAGAAAGTTCGCAGGATTAAATTAACAACCTGATGATAAAAACCAAGAAATCTCTGTGATCACAACTTTAAAACACAACTTAACCAGTTCTTTGTTTTTCAATCAAAGCCTACTTTTACATGAAGCTCAGGCAGCTGGGTGCAGTCTGTATTCAGCGTGACAACTGCTTGCCTCATGAGCTCATCAGGGGAACCAGGAAAGATGACGCTTAAAGTGTGGGAGATCCTGGACAGCTGAGCTGACATCTCTGAGAATAAACAACCAGCACTGATTACTGATTACCTACTGATTATTGTTGACAGAATTGTTTGAGTGGGAACACATACCTCCATTGTTTCCTCCAACAACCAGCTCTGTGAAGTCCCTCAGCTGAACTTTCAGGATGTCAAATGGATCTTCTTTAGTGTCCGAATGTGCAGCAGTCTCTGAAAAACAAACAAACAAACATCATAAACACCTGAATTTAAACTGTAGACGAATGCATCACCTGTGATTCAGAGGGTTCATTAGAAAATGCCTACTGTTTTGCTGCCTTTGTTTTTGACAGGACTCCACATACGATGAATACTGGGCAGCTGGGATCTTATCTGCTCTGAATACAACAAACAAATGAAACAATAGACAGAATCCACAGAAAATATAAAGGGATTCATCAGGAAAAACACAAAGTATTCAAAAAAATATATTTTAAAATGCATAAAAAACCAAACTTAAAACACAGCATGATTAAAAACTTACTTTTTCAGAGCTTCAATTAAATTCATCTGCGCGTCAGGTTTTAGTGGGAGCTGAAATAAAGTAAATATAACTTTAAGTGTTTCACGCAGGAAATGCGGACTATGTGGAAAATACTCACCACTCTTGGCTTGAGCAAAGCAGGAAGAAATCGGGTTAAAAAGTATGGCCTCCGGAAAATACTGTAAGGAGAAAGAGGAAGTTTGTTCATTCATTTTGAATATTTGTTATTATATACGCGTCATTTGGCCGTTATGATGCTCTGAACTGATTTGGTGTTGCGTTCAGTCAGGATTAACTTTGTCACAGGGATGGTCTGATGACACCATGGTCAAATGTTAACGCACAATATCCAAGTTGTATGTAACAAGCATACACATAACAGGAGATGTAATAATAAAAAATAAAAAAACCTGAGTAAAGACATTGCAATCCTCTGAATATTAGGGGGATTATTTTAGTAGTACATTTTCACACCTATAACATTTATTTATCAATGCAGAAACTGAGCTATAAGCAAGTCAATTTTCCCTCGATTTGAACAGCTCAGCAAGACAATTTTCCAATGGGATAAGATGATTACATCTGAAATAATCATAAAAACAAACCATCATCTTATTTCAAGTGCATATCCATCTTATAGGGGCAAAAATACACATTTAATTGGCAGATCAAATTAAGGACTAAGACACTTATTCAATTCTAAATGTTAAACTTATTTTCAGATCTGTTCTTGATTCTTCCCTTCTCCCTACTCAGTCTAAGCAGAGTTGAGTTTTTAAACAGAACTTGGCTGTTTAAAAAAAAAACTATAACTTATAAAGTGCAATACTGCCTTCTATTTACCAGCCTTTCACATAAAGTGGAACAATATAAATTTGCTAAATTGAATTGAACATTTTTAGCGTTGAGCCAGTTAATCTGGGTCCAGGGACGGACAAACAATAATCAGCAGCTTTCCGCCTTCTTACAGTATTGTTATTGAGATAGGCTTGCATTTAGTGTAGCTGTTGCTGCTCTTTGACCTCTTGTGATTTACATACAGTTCCATCCATTATTTTATTCCGATTATTGCTTTAACCTTTCAAATAACATTCAGCACTCGCAAACCCTGAATTTCTTCCATCTTTGTGTCATTGCGACATTGTGATGTGAGAATTCACCTGGCCTCCATGACAGTAGCAGAGATCCTGCCTGTGCTTTCAAACAGAGACACTGCTTTCTCCACATCCTGTGCAGCCTGGCACTGAAGCAGCAGAAACACAGATTATAAAGCTGGTAATCAACACTTGGGACATATACATATACATATATATATAAAACACATCATCAAAACTAAGTCTGACCACTGGGGGTCGCTGTTACCTGCACTGATGTACCTCCAGAAGAAACATCTTCATACAAACCCATGTCCTCCACCGGCTCCTGCATGAACAAACAGACTAAGCACCATTAAAGACAGACATCCATCTATTCAAGTATTAAACTCCATCTAAATAAAGAGAAACCTAAAATTAAAGAAGATAGAATGACCACAGATGTGTTTTACCTTGAGGTCAGCAAGCCTGGTCTTTGCCAGAGTGATGTACTCCATGAGGAGGCCACGGTGTTTAGCAGGAACATAAGGAGGATGAAGGATATGAACCTTTAAGAGGAAATTAAGTCAGGTTCAGAAGTCAGAAATTAAGTTACAGCTTCATTGCACTTTGAATAAGAAGTTAAAAGTTTTTGCTCGATTAGTTTATTCCCTTATGATTTAAGAAAATAATGTTGAAGCTCCTCTCAAAATGTAGGTTTAATTGAATCTTTTTTTCATCCATCAGAAAGTCTCTGACTGGAAATAAGATTCTTTGAGAGTCTTTCTAAATGATGAAAAACATTTCAGCTTTAAACAACTAATAATTGTGGTCAATTTACAGATACTGTTTTTAGGGGAATAGGACTTCAAATATATAACGTGTCTTGCTCTTGAACATTTGTCAATAACTAAATAAAGTTAAACAATAAACTTTGGCCAAAGTCAACTGGCCCTTTTAACTTAATGATGCCAAAGTGGCCATATATAAATAATTATGACATCGCAAATGTGGAGGAATTGGAGGAACTTAATTTTACCAAATCAAAAAATCTATCTAGTTCAAATAATATTCCACCCTCTAATGGTGACAGTGTGTTTTATTCCCCTAATGTATGTTGAAAAACCTAATGTATCTCTTTAGGTTGTCCTGCTCCTCAAAACAAATAAACATCTTAGGTTTCTGAAAGCAAATGAACTTGACTCCATTCATTCAGGGAATTAATTTCACCTTAAGATACTGTGGAGGCTCGAAGGGCACCAGGTCAGAGAGGAACTTCAGCAGGAACACCAGAGACTTCTTACTGCTAGCATGGCAGCCAGTAGAGCCGCAAAAGGACATCTGAGGCAGAAAGGCAGAAAAAAATCCTTAATCAACCTTAAATGATCAGATCCACATCCCACCAAACAATTACCAAACCTTAATAAAAAATTAAATTGATAAAAAAAGAAAAATGCATAAAGAGAAATTAATACAGTGCAGCTTTAGAGTTTTAAGAAACTTATATATGCAATCTTCTTTTTTGGTTTTGTGTGTGGAGCATCTTAAAAACTAAAGTTTCATGACACCTAGTAAAATCAAACACTGAATTGTACGTACAGAAGTTAAGCTAGAGCTGAGATTCTGTGTTTGTCTGCAGCATTCCCAATTTATTTCCCTTCACATACCAGTGATTTTGTTGATGGGGTTGCTCGTTCTCTGCTTGGACAATGTAGCCCCTTCGAAAAAGATAAACTCTAATAATAGAAAGCTGGCTCCCTGGTTTAATGCAGAGCTGTGTGCTCTGAAACAAAATGCTAGGTAAGTGGAGAGAAAATGGCGATTCTTATATGTCTACAGGAATCCTATCTAGTCTGGTAAAAAAACAAGTTACTGCTGAACAGGATGACCCTTCGTATAGCAAGAGCAGCATATTTCTCTTCATTAATAGAGGAAACTAGGTATAATCTTAATTACTTTTAATACAGTGGCAAAACTCACCCAGAGCCATAGATCTGTTGAACCGTCTATCTCACCTGCTCTAAGTAGTAATGATTTGATGGGATTCTTTTAAATAAGATTGATACCATTAGCGGCTGACTAGCTCAAGTGGTAAGTCACCCATCCTGCAAACAGGAAGCATGGTTTTGTATCCCAGCTGGTGGAAATGAGGTGGCAGTGTCGGTCCTGACGCCTGCTTTGGGGAGTGGTGCCCTAGTGGTTAGGGCATTGCACTTGGAATCCTGAGGTTCTGAGTTCAAACCCCACTCCTACGGACTGCTACCTTGGGTTCCAAATTCCAACCAAATTATTTGTCTTCCCTCTGACTTCTACCTCGATTTTAAGTGCGATTAACATATCCGTTACAGAGACATATACAATTTGGTTTTTTAACTCATCACAGCACAGAAACAGCTCTGGATAAAGTCACTAATGATAATCTCATGGCCTTAGATAATGAACTTGTATCTGTACTTGTCCTGTTCTATCTCAGTGCTGCATCTGGCACAGTTGATCATAATGTTCTTTAAGTAGGACTTGAATATTTTGTAGGAATTAAAGAAACAGCATTAGGCTGGTTGACATCTTAATCTGAGAGATTTCAGTTTTTCACATTAATGATAAATCTGCTTCATGCTCCAGGGTTATCTGTGGAGTACCACATGGATCAGTGCTAGGACCAATTTTCTTTACGATATATATGCTCCCAATTGGTAGAATTATTAGAAAGCAATTAACACAATATGCAGATGACACTCAGCTATATCTGTCTATAAATCCAGATTAAACTAACCCATGACATAAATTACAGGCATGTCTTGAAGATATAAAAACCTGGATGACTCTTAACTTTCTGTGACTGAATGCAGACAAAACAGACGTTATAGTCTTTGGACCACTGTCTTTGAAATAGAAGCCGATTAGTCAGTCACCTCATTTGGATGGATTTAAATTGATCTCAGATAAGAAAGTAAAAAATCTAGGTGTTATCAGGACCTGTTATCAAATCCATATCAAAGAGGTTTCTACAAATTTCTTTCATCTGCCGAATATTGCAAAAATTAGAAATATCCTGCCCAGGGGTGATGCTAGTCCGTGCATTTATTACTTCAAGGCTTGACTATTGTAATTCTTTACTATCAGGAAGTCTACAAACTGTAGTTAAAAGCCTCCTGATGAAAATTAAACAGAGGAATCATATTTCCCTTATATTAAGTTCTCTTCATTGGCTTCCTGTTAAATCCAGAATAGAATTTAAAATCCTCCTTCTCACATATAAAGCCTTAAATGGCCAAGCTCCATCTTATATCAGATATCTGATTGTTCTTTATGTTCCTAACAGAACACTTCACTCTCAATCTGCAGGTTTACTAGTGGTTCCTAGAATTTCTAAGTGTAGAATGGGAGGCAAATCTTTTAGTTATCAGGCTCCTCTCCTGTGGAACCAACTACCAGAGTTAGTCCGTGAGGCAGACACCCTGTCTACTTTTAAGGTAGGCTTAAAACTTTCCTTTTTGATAAAGCTTATAGTTAGGGTGGCTCAGGTTATCCTGAGCTATCTCTATAGTTATGCTGCTATAGGCTTAGAATGCTGGAGGACATAGGGACCCCCATTTCATCGTTCTCTTTTCTTCCATTCTGCAGTATTTGTTTGTTCAATCTCTAACTTTTTGCTCTCTATGCTTTTTCTCACCATGGTAGCTTCATCTAGTCTGTTCCTGTTTTGCTGTGACACCATTCCGGAGAGAAATGTCAGCTGTACTGCTGCCATAAATTAGCTGAAAAATGTGATGCATTTGAGTTGCATGTTAAGTATGATTACAGGACACCGCCTATTTTAGTTTTTACATCCAAACATATTTCAGTCCGATGGTGAATATTTTGCATGTTACCACAGCTACTGGTAACCTGGTCACCATAACCTACCCACACATTTCTGCACTGGTAAACCATCTGCTGCATCCTGATCTACAGTTCCAGCTGTAGCTTTTTCAATTCACCTACGTTTACCCTGAGTTTTGAGAAAAAAAAAGAACTACTTCTATTGTTCCTCCTGGAATAGTAGCGATCTCTGTTCATTGCGCCTTCCAATTAAATGTCTCCTCTGCATTTAACCCATTTAATGAAAAAAAAGAAGAAAAAATTAAAATAAAAACAAGTTGATTATTTTAGGCCGGTTCTTATTTTCAACTCTTTTTCCCTTTAAATGCTGAGATGAAGCTCTACGATTAAAAATGTACTTTAAGAAAGTCAGGAATCGTGTCCATGTTGCAGCTCTCTTATGAATGACATTAAAGCAAATTAAATTAGATGCATAACGTGGATGTAACCCTGTGGATGGACTCCTGCATCTAGACAGGGATGAATGTGATGAGAGCTGTATGAATGTACAGTACATCTAAAAACGCGAAGGAAGCTGAGGAGTTGAGCTGAAACCTTGAACCAGTCGCTGTAAGACAGGAAGATGCCGGCGCCCTCCAGAGCTCCCTGTCGAGCCAACAAGAAGGCAGTGATCATTTTCTCCAGGTCATAGCCTTCGAACGCAGACTGCAGCAGTCGGGACAACAACTCTGGCAAAGAGAGACACACAGTGGACACTTTAGAAAGTCAAACATCTGTGAATGCTGGGATAACATTATATATATAACTAAAAAACTGGAGTTCCCTGCAAACATTGTCCATTTATAATGAGTAATAAGTGTTTTTTCAGCTATATATTCATAATGTAGATATTGTTTCTCTGCAATTTTACCACAGTAGCTTGAATTCAGTCACGTTCTCCTGTGTTTACCTTTGAGGGGCTGAGCTGACTGATGATAAACCAGCAGGGAGGAGACAAAGCACAGGACATGTTTCCAGTTGACCTCGTGGGTTTCCAGGACCTGCTGTAGGTGTTGCAGCAGCTGCTCGACGCTGAAGATGGCAGCCAGCTGTGACAGACATGAGAACAAAGCTTCATACGGCGACACCTTCTGCTTCCTCATGAAGAACAAAGAAAAAATCCCAATGAAGGAGTCCCAGTAGGTCCAATTATTTAAACATATAAAGAATATTCTTTTGATATTTTAAAAAAGATTAGGAACTTCAATATTTACATGAACAGGGTGATAAAGAGCTACAGAAAGGTTGTCACCTGAAAACATTCCTCAAATAAATGTATTGCAGATATGATGTATTATATGAACATGTCAGTACGGTGTATTGCTTCTACATCAAGCGGAGGTAATAGTATTTGATACAAGGCCCATTTGGCAGGTTTTCCTTCTTAATGTGTAATGAGGAAGTCATTTTTATCATAGCTTCTCTTCAACTGTCAGCAGACATCAGATGTTTTTGGTGAGGTTCACTCTCTGCAGCAGGGGTTCTGGACCACTCTTCCATACAGATCTTCTCCAAATCCTTAGCTTTTGGGGCTGTCGCTGTGCAATACAGATGTCCAGCTCTCTCCAAAGGGGAGAGTGGCAGCCTAGTGGTTAGGGCATAGAGCTTGGAATCCTGAGGATTGTGAGTTCAAAACCCACTACCACAGACTGCCACTCTTGATCTCTGAGCAAGACCCTTAACTCCTGATTGCGCCCCACGATGGCAGCCCACTGCTCCCCAAGGGGATGGGTTTAAATGCAGAGGTAAATTTCTTCAATGTGATATCAATAAAGTTCAATTAGTATTACTTCTCTATTGGGTTCAGATCTGGAGACTGGCCAGGTCCTTCAAATGCTTCTTACAGAACTACTAGTTAGTAGCCCTGACCTGTGCTTCGGGTCTCTATCATTCTTCATTGCCCTTTCTGAGGGAAGGAGATCGTTGGCCAAGATCACCTGAAACATGACCCTATCCATCCTCCTCTGCAGAAAAGTATCCCTAAAGAATGAGGTTTCCACCTTCAAATTGGAATTATTTAAGTGTTCTTTAGAGTTTTCCAGACAGCAGAGGTACCAAATTTATTGAGAACTCAAGTCATTTACCTTGCAGTAAAGCGAGGTAAGGCTGGGGCTGGTTTTTCCCACAGTCCATCCATTCTGTAAGGTTACAGCATCAGATACTGAGGACAAACAAAATGTTTATGCTTCTAAAACTTAGGAGGCACGTCGGTCATTTAATACTATAATGGTTTCGAAAGGCAAAATGTTTTGTGGATTTTAAGATAAAAGAAAAAAAGCTGCAGCCAAGTTTCAGGAAGAGTGAAAATATCAAACTGGAACTTTGTGTTTTTACCTGTCAGTCGAGGGTTGTAGGTGAAAATCTGAGTGAGGGAGTGAGTGAAGAAACGCTGCAGGGCTTCTGGTGACACAAAAGCTCCACAAAGTGATGCGTCAAATGTCTGAATCCTGCAGCAAACAAACCGAGAGAGCAGGGAATCAAATTTCTACTCTTCACTCTAATGTTTCACATTTAAAGACATGATAGTTGGAGCTTAAAGCTATGAAACCAGAACTATGAGGATGTACTGAAAGTAGTCACCATTCTCTGTGGAAGAGGCTGACCCTGAAGGGAATCCATGACAGTGAAAAATTATGCTTCTCTGTTAATAGATTTGAAATTTCCATTGGTTTATTTTTCCATTTAGCTTTTGATTTTGTCCTTTGATTTTCTCCTTGATTTTCCTTTTTAATGTTTGTTAGCTAGTTTAGTTTTTATCTTTTGAAAATGCTTAGTTACAGTTTAGTTTAATTGATAGCTTCAGTCTTTTATATAATATAACTCCTATACTGAGGGCAAGACCAAACAAAACAACTCCCAAATGAGGACAGGCCGCTGCAGCAGCAGCACAAGTGAACTGACTGCCATCTGCTGGCATAATATGGTACAGCAAAACAAGGCAGAAACAGCAACCAGTAACTAGATTTCATATTAATACATTATAAATAGTGTTGCACCGATACCAATTTCAGTATCGGGCAGGTCCCGGATACTGCACTGAAATGGTGGTATCAGAATCGGTAAGTACCAACAAATAGAGCACCGATACAACTTTGAAAGCCAAAGTTTATTCAACTATTGTCACTGATTCCAGGTAGGCAATAAAAAGTTTTACTGGATTCACTTTGTATTAGTCTGCTTCACAAAGATAGGCAGCAGCTTCACAAAGCCATGATCGCAATTATTTTACATCCAAGTAGTATGTAGTTCTTCATATATAAAACACACACATCAATTTCAAACACATGGTATCAGTATCGGCCGATACTGCACAGCCAGGTATCGGGTATCGGTGCCAAAAAAATAACATCAGTGCAACACGAATTATAATTAAGACAAAGACATTACTATAACAGTTTCAGTTAGTTTTTCTTTGTTTTTACAAGGGCTAGTTTTTATTCTATTTGAGTTAACTAAAATTTTTTCAATTCTAGTTTTTGTTGCTTCATTTGTTTTATTTAAAGATAATAACCTTGGATATTATCTTTAACCTTCAAAACTGCTTGTAGGTTTGCTGTCCAATCACATCCTCTGTTTACCTTCTAACCTTTCTTTGTCTTCTACCTAAAGCTCTCCTCCATCTGATCTGTACCCTCACTGTGCATCATGATGTTCTCTTAACACAGAATAGTCTACTTTGACTTCTGTCTGACCTCAGCTACTCCAACACCAATGATGAGAAGCAACTGAGAGCTGATTCATGATCTCCTCCCAACCGTCATCAACACATTTAATCCCATATATATATATATATATATATATATATATATATATATATATATATATATATATATATATATATATATATATATTTTTTTTTTTTTTTTTTTATCCCAGTTTTCCATCCCCTTTCCTTTAAACCCTTAGCATGTAAAGTACAAAAAGATAATACAAAACCATTTCTCTGCGCCCTTATCACATTTTTCCTCCGTCTCCAGAAGCCCTTAAATAAAAAAAATTAAAAAAAAGATAAAGTCATATTATTATTTCCAAAACTCTTGAGTTCGGCTTAGGGTTCTGAATTAAACTTTACAAGAACAAGTAGACTCACAGAACAGCATGTCATCCAGCACTGAGCTGCACAGCAGTGAGATCTTCCTTTCTGGAGCTGCCAGATCTGGTCTGACCTCAAACGCTGCTCCTACCAAGACTCCAGCCACCACTAAACAGAACAACAGGAGCAGATAAACACATCAGATCTAACCAGGACTAGAACAAACAAGCTAAACCTCAGATTGTTCAGGGCTTCATACCTGCTAAACCTTCTCAAACATTTTAATCAGCAACTAAAATCCTTTTTATGGAGTTTCTGTGACAGACCAACTAAAAGCTGAAGATCATAGTGAATTGGAAGCAATTCAGGATAACTCCATGGGAATGTCAGGGTCAGATCAGAATATTAATGTAGATTAAGTAATTTGATGTATCTGAGATGTTCCAGAAACATCTGTGAAGGTCAGGTAGCTCTGACCTGATCTATTTGACATAAAGCAGCTAGCTGGGGTGCTCTCCTTATAAGGTGGAAACCACTTGTGATCACATCGGCAGAAACGTGCAACACCAGGTATGAACAGTATTAGTAAAACACAGAGGTGACAGCATCATGCTGTGGGGATTACATTCTTCTGCAGGGACTGGGAAGCTGCCACTACTGAAGATAAGAAAACTTGATATTTCATATCTCTTCTTCAGCTCACCTTCATCATATGACTGATTTCACTCCTCATCGGACACCAAGGTCAGGTGTGTGAATACCTAAACCTTGCAGGACAGTGGTCCCTGACTGGAAAACTCCTGGTTAAGATCAAAGCTTATTTATGGGTTAAGATGGCCTAGTCAAAGTCCAGACTTAGTTACATCTGAAAATCTATTGCAAGACTTGAAAACAGACGTTCTCAGAAGCTCTCCATTCAGTCTGAGTGAGCTTCATCATGTTTAAAAAATGAAAACAAAGCATAATTTCTATGGTAAAATGATCTATGATTTGGTTTTATTGGACGAGTCTGTTATCCTCACACCCCCTGCAATGGAATGAAGAGCTCTTGGATTTAATAAACACATCTCTCTGCTGTCCTGGTGTTTACCAGTCTAAATATAAATGGCCTGTAGTTATATAGAGCATTTTTCAAGTCAGAAGACTTTAAAGGAGAAGTTCGGTTTTTTACACTTTAAGCCCATTTTCTGTAGTGTCCAGGATGAAATCGAATGATCGACACCAAAAGTTTGACAATTGCTCCTGTCTCTGCTTTTTGGCTCATTTAGAATCAACCCCTGGCTGCTTTAGAATGGCTTGCATAGAGCATGTCCGATAATGTCCTTAAAACAACCTTAAACGTTCTTTTTTTTAAATATGCTACTTACCGTGTCGTCAGCGCTGTTCAATGACGTTCCAAAAAGAGTTTCGTGAAGAAAAAACGTTCCTGTAGTGTTTTATTTAGCATTTTGTAAATCCCATTGAGTTCTGTAGGAATAGTCAATATTCCGCTGCCACCGGAAACGGAAATAGGGCCTGTTTACACAGTTGTAGTCTTCTCGCTTCACTCTGTGTACTCCGACGTCGAGAATCAAGAATCCAGCTTTCGTATTCCATTTTCAGAGTTTTTTAAAGTGTTTAACAGAGACGTTAGCACCTCGACGTCGGAGTACACAGAGTGAAGCGAAAAGACTACAACTGTGTAAACAGGCCCCATTTCCGTTTCCGGTGGCAGCGGAATATTGACTATTCCTACAGAACTCAATGGGATTTACAAAATGCTAAATAAAACACTACAGGAACGTTTTTTCTTTACGAAACTTTTTTTGGAACGTCATTGAACAGCGCTGACGACCCGGTGAGTAGCATATTTTAAAAAAAGAACGTTTAAGGTTGTTTTAAGGACATTATAGGACATGCTCTATGCTAGCCATTCTAAAGCAGCCAGGGGGTGATTCTAAATTAGCCAAAAAGCAGAGACAGGAGCAATTGTCAAACTTTTGGTGTCGATCATTCGATTTCATCCTGGACACTACAGAAAATGGGCTAAAAGTGTTAAAAACCGAACTTCTCCTTTAACAAATCACTTCACATTACATTCAGTTATTCACCCATCCACGCACATAAATTCTCAGCAGTAACAAGTAAATTATTGCTGTAGCAAGTGAGCAGCTGACTGCTCAAGAGGATACCGGCTGTTCTAGGAGGGTAAAGCAGCATCAGCCTGAAAATCAAAGAACCATGAAAATGTTCCAGGGTCTAAAACTATAATTTTATCAGAAAAATTGATCTCGTCTTTTTTTATTATCATTGTCACCTTTGTGTGTATCTACATGCCTCCATCTGACTGCCACTTCAGGGCCCATCAAGTTAAAGGCAATAATGTATTTGCTAAATCTGAACTAATCAGGATTCACACAGGTCTGATGTAGAAGATATGTCCATACTCAACAAAACTTTTTGGAGGATTTGTGTCGTCTCTTCTTCGTCCTGCGGCGACGTCCAGCCGCACAGAGCCTTCACCTGGCGTGGCAGCCATGATCTAACACTTTCATCACTGAAACACAGACAAAAGAGGAGGAAATGAATGACACTGGATAGAGGATTTTTGTTGAAGATGTGTTTAAATGGCTGACAGAGCTGTGAAAGATTATGGAAATGGATTTAAACATCTTGATGCTGCTACAATGACCTCCCAAGTATTGACTGAGATGATCTGGGTTCAGCAAGTCTCACCATGTCCCTTTTTCTGTTGGTAAAAAGTATAGTCATCCTGGAGAATCCCATGTTGACTCTTCTCTAAATGTGTGGTTTTTGATCCCTATTAAGACCATTGGCAATGTGGGCGGAGCCATTACAGCACAGCAGGCCTACAGTCTGAATGTGACACAAATAAGGAAACAACAAACTACCTTCTAACTTATAGTAAAGATCCAGAGGAGGCTATGAGCAAGAAGATGCAGTGATTCATTGTTAACAAAACCCTAAAAACATCATCCAATAGTAACAATATAGAAACACTTAAGATTTTTGCAAATAAATATAAACTAAATAATGAATTACATAAGTATTCAGAGCCATAAGCAGCAGAGGCGTGCACAGAAATTTTGGGGGCAGGTGCTCAGGAGGGGGGGAGGGCACTTTTTGGCACACGTGGAACACTTAATTATTTTTTAAAAAATACACACGCATGTTGAATGAAATTTAACTTTTATTTGTAACATTGTCTAAACGTGAGTTTTCAATGGAAAAAAGTCACACCAGCAACAGAACAGACTAAAGCTCATCTTTCTTCTTCTTTCATCTGGCTCATCTGCCTGTTTTCCCTCACCCATCTGCTCTCCCTCACCCATCTGCTCTCCCTCATCCATCTGTTCTCCCTCATCCTGGTCTTTTTCTGTCTCTGTGTCTTCCCTGAACTCTTCCTCATCTCCTGTCCTGTTAGATGTTGATGGTATAGAGCTTCCTTGCTGTGACTGGCTACAATATAATAATAATAACCATCATGACAATAATAATAATAATAGCTTTAACAAATATGCCACATTAGTTTAAATAATGGGCTATTAGGGAAGTCTTGTGACGTGGATATGACTTATGGTAGCCTACAAAATAATAGCTATTTTAATACCTACTGATTTTGTACAAACCACTTAATAAAATGCGAACAGCTTTTAAGATTTTTCAATACGATTAACCCTTCTTTTCTTGGCATTGTGCTGCAATTACTAAATCAATATACAATTAAGACAATAAAGAGACCAAAATGTGTTAATTTATGTTGCCTAACAAAACCTATACAACAGAAAACGTCTGTCCTAACACATAGATTTGCAATTGCAAACTCTACGTGGTCGTCCTCACGTTATCTGTCATTGACTTGGGCTACAGTGTAAAACTTTATCTAGCCTAACTAGTTTATCAGGTGACCAGTCGGCAAACATGCTTGTTTGGTGCTGCTGAATGAGACATTTTAATGCACAACAAAACGATTTTGATTGATCTGTATATTACCTGGCTAATGGGACACGGGAGAAGCAGTCTGTCAGCGACCGTTCCTGCTATCTGAAGATGCTTACTGAACTGCTATGATGCTGCGCATCTGGCATGCCCTGCGGGCGACCACGAGAGTGCATGTGAAAAAGGAAGAGAGATAGGCTGGTCGGGTGTGCGCAAGGAGGTGGCTCATTTCGGGGCATTGTTTCAGTCGTTTTTAATGGCTCAGGTTTTCAAAAGATCATTTCAAAACCGACCTCAGTAAAATCTTAATAATATTAATAAAAAAAATTAATAAAAAAAACGAGTTTCAAAAGGGCAACTTTCTAGTGCTTTAGCACCACCTAGTGTCTATGTGTGCACGCCCCTGTTAAGCAGCGTTTGTTGAAAATGATGCCATGGTGGTCACCTTCCTGACGAAGGACCTTCTACCGTAACCAATCAGTTCATACAGCCTGCAAGTTCTAGGAAGAGTCTTTCCAAATCTATGTCCAAGAAACTGTTTTCTGTACATTTAGACTCAAAGCTGTAAAAACATCTAAAGAATAACCTATGGGAACGGGCGGCACCTCAGCTTAACCCATGGAAAAGGCTGTGAATACTTCCTTAAATGTGTTTTCCTAGTTTCTTTATTTCTAATATTTTTCTAAGAATGCAGAAAAAAAACCCAAAAGTTTTATATTGTCATAAATGTTGGGAATTTTGAGGGGAAAAGGTTCATCTAATCTTTTTTAGCAGAAGTGAGGTTCTATTATTAAGGTCTTTACTATAAACTATACGACTAAAAGGAACGAGGTTCTGGACACAAGAAGACTTAAAATCACTGACAACAAAAACAGAATATTAAAATCCAATAAAATTATAAAAAAAGAAAAAAACATGCATAACCAGTCATACATAAAAAAAAAATAAAAAAAACTCCAGCTAAACTCGGACGCAAATATCAATTTTACCGGTAATCAGATTTCAATACAAATTCCACATCTTAGGAGCTGCCACAGAAAAGCGTGATCCAAATACCCTAAATTTTAGACCCTATTTCCTGTTCCTGGCACATTTCCCTTCACCTTTCGCAGGTAGAAAAAGAGTTCCCAACTGCTTTGCTGAATCCAGACAGCTATTGGCCTTATGACATCATTATACGATGAACACACACAAAAATGTCAATGATTAAATTGGGACTAAAGCCTTCTGGAAAAAAAAAACATCAATGGCTTTCATAATGATGCATTAAGGTATCACCTCTCTATGATGGAGTCCAATGTAAGGATGTTGTAAAGGTGAAGATGGTAAATCAACTCTAGTTTGGGATTTTTCTGAAAAACAGAAAAAAACATTTTGGTTACGGCTGAGGTTTACCAAGTTTAAGATTCTTTTGTTCAGCTATCCCTTAAATAGAGTTAAAATACGGAAGATTACCAGCTTAAAATATTCTAATACTGTAATGACCTGAGCTCGTTTTAGTTTTCTCTGAGATACCTCAAGTTTCATTGAAAAAAAGAGCAGCAAACCCAGAAGAAAACATTAGATTTTTGTTGTATTTTTCAATCTCAGCTAGACAAAATTCAATAAATCCTAAAACAATGAGGACTGAATCTATATTTCATCATTGAACAACATCTCAGCAATAAGAAGTGGATTCCTCATACAGAGAGTCTAAGCACCTGGTTTCGTCTGTGCTCCATCCAGAGCAGTTTGGGGCAAAGGATTCCTTGAGAAAGCAGCTCTTTGGTGGACTCCAACAGAACACGGAGCTGCATCTGCAAAGGAGAAGGAGAGGACAGAATCTATCAAAACATCTGCAACACAAGCACCATACAAAAATATTCAGCGTGTACAAAATATTAACACTAGGGCAAACGCTGCTGTGAACAAAATCAGATTTTAAAAAAGCTCAGAAGGAACCATTTTTAAGAGTGCATTGATTTTTTTTTTTTGATGCAACATCAACTTAAAAAAACATGTTTAAATGCAGTCAATTTCTATACAGGTTACATTTCAAAGAAGACTGAATAAACACAATAGGTTTAAAATACAAAACACCACAACTACAGGAGATCAGCAGAACAAGCTGCCACCAGGGGTCTCTTTTTTTTAGAATTTGTTTGTGTTCTTCACTAAAACATCAGCAGGGCCTAAAACAACAAGTGGAGTAGATGAAGTTTGCAGCCGTGGGTTAAAATCCATCTGGCAGAGACTCACTCTTTGAGAGGATGTAAGCATCTCTCTGCATCTGTTCTCATCCATCTCCTCCTGTCCATCAGTGATCTCTGTCAGTCTCTCCAAAACTGTTTTTACTGACATCACTCCCACAGAGACACCAAGCTGTTCAGCCCGACGCCTCAGCTCACTCCCTGTCACAGGAAGGAAGGAAGGAAGGAAGGAAGGAAGGAAGGAAGGAAGGAAGGAAGGAAGGAAGGAAGGAAGGAAGGAAGGAAGGAAGGAAGGAAGGAAGGAAGGAAGGAAGGAAGGAAGGAAGGAAGGAAGGAAGGAAGCCTTTATTAGTCTTAAGTTTAGACATTTTTGCATCAAGACCAAACATTAACAAACTGTACAATAACCACAACTTGAGCTTTAAAAACAACCAACAGCATCTCTATCATGTAATTGGTGCCCCTGTCATAGCATTAATGCACTGTTGCTAAAATGCTTATGGCTTTTTCTTTACACCATAACCTCTTCAATTTTCCCAACTTTAGTTTGAGCCACATTTGGTAGAAACTGGATAAGAAAACAACACCTGTAACCCTTTTATGTGAGAAATGCAGCTCATACATGGTTTTATTGACCAGACTCAGTGTTTAGTGCCTGAATTCACACGCCACTAGCTATAGGGGCTAATAGGAGATGTCCTATTCAGTAATATATACAAGTATATATTTTGAGTGCTTTAATGAGTTACCCACTCACCCAGCAGCCATCCTGAGATGTGATTGGGGTTAGCCTCAGATCCTGCCTGGTTCTGCTCTTGTTTCTGAGGGGAGAAAATGTTACCTGGATCTGGGCTCTGCAAACATCAGAAACACATATATATTATAGGAGGAAGATCCCCACTTAAACAAACTAGCTCGACACCAACATGTGATAACTTCATCTTGGGCCAAGCTTCTGGACTCAAAAGGTTTTGTCAACCTTAGGAAAATGCCCCCCTTTCTTTGATCTTCAACCACAGATGCATATTCCCCCCCAAAAAACTAAACCTGAATGTGACTTAACAGCAACAGAAGAGAGCAGCCACCTCAGGAAAAATTACAACAAAAAAAACAACGTTACTGTTGCCTATGATCATGAATCCTGAGGGACTGTGCTCCCTAATCAGGTGCCCAGAACAGTTTTGAGGCCCTTCTCCTTCTCATACAACAAGGGCCTCCTTAGCCTATGAACCTTATATTAAAACACCTACCAAACTTGATAAACACAATATTTTGGGGTACCATTTCGAAGTAGTCCAGTCAATCAATCATATTTAATAGCATGAATGTCCATAATTTCAGTGGGGCCAAAAAGTTTTATATAGTCAGCGACTGACTGTGCAAGTTCTTCTACTTAGAATAATGAGAGAGGTCTGTAATTTTTAACTTAGGTAAACTTCAACTGTGAGAGACAAAATAAGAAAAAAAAATCCAGGAAATCACACTGTAGGATCTTATCCCATGGGGTCAAAATGATCATGAGAAAGGTTTGCAAAAATCCCAGAACTACACGGAGGGAACTGATGAATGACCCGCAGAGAGCTGGGAACAAAGTAACAAAGGCTACCATAAGTAACACACTACACTACAGAGGGACTGAAATCCTGCAGCACCAGACGTGTCCCCCTGCTCAAATCAGTACATGTCCAGGCCCGCCTAAAGTTTGCCAGACAGCATATGGATTATCCAGAAGAGGATTGGGAGAATTCCATGTGGTCAGATGTAACCAAAATAGAACTTTTTGGTAAAAACCCAACTCGTCGTGTTAGGAGGAAGAAGAATGCAGAGTTGCATCCCAAGAACACCATACCTACTGTCACGCATGGGGGGGACAAATCATGCTTTGGGGCTGTTTTTCTGCAAAGGGGACAGGAAAACTGATCCGTGTTGAGGGAAGAATGAACAGAGCCATGTATCGTGAGATTCTAAGCCAAAACCTCCTTCCATCAGTAAGAGCCTTGAAGATGAAACGTGGCTGGCTCTTCCAGCTTGACAAGGATCTCAAACACACTTCCCAGACAACAAAGGAGTGGATCTGTAAAAAGCATTTCTGGAGTGGCCTAACCAGTCTCAAGACCTTAACCCCATAGAACATTTGGGGAGGGAGTTGAAAGTCTGTGTTGCCCAGTGACAGCCCTAAAACATCCCTGCTCTAGAAGAGATCTGCATGGAGGAATGGGCCAAAATACCACCTACAGTGTGTGTAAACCTGGTGAAGACTTAAAGGAAATGTTTAACCTCTGTCATTGCTAACAAAGGATATGTTACAAAGTATTGAGTTGAACTTTAGTTATTAACCAAATACTTATTTTCCACCATAATTTACAAATTACTTCTTTAAAATCCTACAATGTGATTTCCTGGATTTTTTTTCCCTCATTTCGTCTCTCATAGTTGAAGTGTACCTATGATGAAAATTACAGACCTCTCTTATTATTCTAAATAGGACAAATTGCACAATCAGTGGCTGACTAAATACTTTTTGGCCCCACTGTAGCTTACGACTATGAAATGATCTTTTGCTACCATTTTCCTTTTTCAACTCATCCCGCTGTCTGTCTCTCCTCTTTCCTGCACCTGCTCTTGATGCCTTTTCCAAACACAGGTGTGAAACTTAATCATACAGATAGTATGTCGGGGGTTGGAACCACAGGACTGATGGTACTAGAGAAAGGTCCATCTTTTCATATAGCCTTTTTTTCTATTCTTACGTCAAATTAAAAGCTTTATAATTTTTTTTTATATTATCACCAGCACTCTTCCTCAGCTCAAAGTGAGATGCTCTTGGGCAAGGTGATGGGGAATCTTGTTCAACTTGAATGCTCACAAAAGCAAACTGAATTACTGCATTTAATTCTCAGAGTTCTAATAGCATTTGTCAGTTAATCTGCCCTCTGTCTTTCACAGCTGTAGTCTGACAGCAGTAAAATGTCAGCATTCCAGAAGCTCTAAAAATTTCCACCTTCAGCATCATGGGTTAAAGTGGAGTCAATAAGTGAGGAGAAAAAGGTTTGGCTAGACCTTAACATGGGTACATACTAGGGTTGTCACGATACTAAACTCCTCAACTCGATACCGATATTAAGGAAAATATTCGATACTTGATACCATTTTCGATACCACAAGGATAAAAACAAAGACTCCAAAATTCTACAGAAATATGTTCATTAATAAATAAAATACAATAAATAAATACAATAAACAATAAGAACAATATTTTGAGGTTGTATGCTGTGCACAATATTAAGCAAGCTTGATAAAAAAACTTATAAAATTAAAATTAAGTTTTCCTTCATTTGCTATGCTTTGCACATATAACAATGACACTAGCCGAACCGGTTAAGAAACAAAAATAATTCTCAGCAGCTGCACCTCTTACAAAAAAAAAGTCTGAAACTGAAAGGTGCACAGAATTATTCAATCACACAGTGTTCTGAAAGTGCATTGTCCTCTATTCTGCACTTTAGATGAATGACTGTTTAGGTGCCACTGGTGGTGGCGGCACTGTATCGATACTTTTAAAAACGAGTATTGTATCCAGATACAACGTTTCAGTATCGATACTTTTGACAACCCTAGTACATACGACAAAGCATTTCATTTGTTTAATTAAGAACGGTCCGGTCTTGGTCGGTCCGGTCTCTGGGGATCTCCTCTTGACTACTTAAAGGGGAACGCTGTTTTTAGGTTATATCCAAGTTACGTGCAGGATATCGTTCCTGATCTGTATACCACTTTGTTCAAATTTTGTCCGGTCTCCCAATAAGTGGGACATTTCTGTTGGAACTACCCAGATCTTTTCTCTGACCATCATTCACCTCCAGCTCCTGGAAGAGGCTGCGGAGGTTCTGATGCTGATCCAGCAGCTGGATCGCTGCCTCCTGCAGCTGTTGACCATCTTCATGCTTTGGCTTCTTTATCACACGGCCAGCTGAAACCAAACCAAAAGAGAAATAAAATAAATTATGAAGGAACATTTGAAGCTGGTAAACAATCTGACAAGTGAAACATCATGAGAGGTCAACATCTCTGGCTCTGGTTAGAAAACTCCTTTGATGACTTTAAGATGTTAACTTTTTATACCTCACCACTACCAAACAGGAATCTGTCTGCAGTGAAAATTTGTATCAGGATAAAACAACGATTCTACCAACCAGAGATAAAATCTTCTCCCAGGTTTTCCAGCAGGTGGAGACACTGTTGTGCATTGTTATAAATAGAGTCAGTGGGCAGAGTAGTGGCGCAGGGTTAAAGCATGCAACCTGTCAATGGGGTCCTTAGAGCTCAGAGTGGGTGTTTAAGCATTAGATTGTTGGCCTTGGATGACAGGTTAGAAGAAAAAAAACTTTCAGAGGGAGGAATCTCAAGATGTTTATCCATAAATTGACCCAGAAATATTAAAATAAGTACCAGCACTAATAGGCTGAGTATTATATGAGCTGACCAAAAAAGGAGACCAACAAGAATATTGCCAAACATCCCCTTCAAAAGTTCAATCTTTAATGTGTTTAATCTTTATGTGACAGAAAAAGACAGAGTAAAAGTTTAGTGTAAAGGGTGAAAGGAAACCAATTCAGAGTTTCTACTGTTTTACAGTTATCTGTAAGGTTACCCCTGATTTAAGTCCGTTTTTGTGGTTGCCATGACTGAGAATAAACAAAACACGACAGGTTTAAAATAAATAAATAAAATGGCACCCTATTTTCTTATAGACAAAAATGCTTTGTTCTTCATTTGCAATTTCCTCTATGAGGAGCTGGTGAGAAGGAAGTTCCAAGCTTTCCTGGGTAAGAATCCTGGGTTTGTATTCAGCCACCTTGACTCTAATGCACATAAATAAAATATAGTTAAACAATGCACCAATGCATCATAAAACATGGTGGTGGCAGCATCATGCTAGGGGAAGGTTATCGTTTAGCAGAAACAGTGGAGCTGTTCACAGGTGATGGAAAATTGATGGTGTTAAATTCAGGACCATCCTAGAAGAAAATCTGTTATATGCTGCGAAAGACCTGAGACTTCAGCCACAGATGGTCGATCCAAAGCACCTCATGAATGTTAATATCTATTTAAATGAGCCAGCTGACCAGTTTAAAAACAACCAGCCAAACAGCCAGTTTAACAAAGGCAGAAATAGGTGCGTTTGGGCCAGGAGGCATAGGTCCGGCCCGGCAGGAACGAGGAATGAGACAGTGACCACCCCGCACCACAAGAACCGTCAGGGAGCCACAAGACACAGGCACCTCTCATTGGCGGTGAGCTCATTCACTCAACCTGACAAGTAGACAAAGACAAATTCACATTCATCCAGTCACATTCACACAATCCCACCCTTACACCCATATGGACAGATACAAGCACTCAACAGAGACGCACAGAGAGGCAGACACTAAACATATTCTTACAATCCTCACACAAACAATATCCTCCCTGGTCTATGGACCAATCCCCCGAGGAAAAACAGGCCCAGGCCCAAAGACCTAGGTGGAAAACTCCAGATCCCCCAGTGTCAAGAGGACAGACAGCTTGAGCTCTTAAAAAAAAAATAATAATAAATAAGGGCTGCTCACCAAAGGGAGGAGAGCAGCAATGTAGCCCAGGTCCCCAGTTCTTCCCCCAAACACCACCACAACACCTTCAGTCTGGTGTATGGACTGATTTTTATCAACAATTCATTCAGGATAAGTTATGATGGATGGATGGATGGATGGATGGATAGATAAAGAAAGAGAAAGAAAGATAGATAGATAGATAGATAGATAGATAGATAGATAGATAGATAGATAGATAGATAGATAGATAGATAGATAGATAGATAGATAGATAGATAGATAGATAGATAGATAGATAGATAGACTGTGAAATTCAACACTTATCAATTTAGTCTTAAAACAGGCAAATGTTTTAACACTTCAAAATTTTTATTTTGTTTTTGGTAGGAACCTAATAAACTAAAGTGTAGGGAAACAAACATTAAGATGTTGCTTTTACACAGGAATTAAATGTTACAAGTCCTGATAACTGAGGAGTTATGTACTTATTTTCAGGCTGAAATTAGTTCTAAATCGGTCTGGGTTAAACAGGTTAAATCTTCCATCTCCTAACATCCTCTGCTCAGAACAACACAAACGGGTCGCCTGAGAGCAGATGAATAAACACAGCGCTCATGTTTACCTGTAGTGATATTTAGCATGTAGTAGTTAAATAAACCGACTCACCGAGAAGACTGGACACAGACCGTTTCTGCGACACCGGCCCATAAAACCCACTGAGGGACATAGGCCCAGAAATAATATCCGGACTGAAATGAGAAGGTTTGAAATATTTAAGTTCCCTAACTGCTGTTTAACAGCTGTCCTAAGGGACACCGGTTTCTTCTTCTTCTTCTTATGGGGTTTTATGGCGGTTGGCAGGCTTGTGAATTGTGCATTACCGCCACCAACTGATATGGAGTAAAGCAAGAAAACAGAAAACGATTCACCCAAAAAAAAAAAAAAAAAAAAAAAAAAAAAACAAAAAAAAAAAAAAAAAAAAAAAAAAAAAAAAAAAAAAACCTGTGTAACTTAAACCAACATAATACTAAATCACATTTGCCCATATAATTTTAATTTACTCTAGGTCATCTTAACTCTGACCAGTTTCTGATGGTCCCATCGGTCCTCCATTCATACTTCACCATCTCCCATGTTTCAAATCTTTATGTCAGGTATTTATGCTGGCCACGCAGTTTAAAATAAATATTGGACCTTTTTCTTTAACGCTTTTTTTTTTCTTTTTATGAGCTGTGCAGTAAATAATTAACTTTCTTAATCCTTTTTATGCCATGATAAGAAAAATAAAATTGTTTTAAACAATAATGATTCATAAAACTTTGTGACATCTCTAGGAGGTTTAATCTTTGCACGTGGAGTGTTAACGGGTATGGTTTGGGTTTTTCTGACTCAGAAGGATCCTTTTTGCGGAAGCTAGTTCAGCGTGGTTCGATCCAAGCACCTCATAATTTAATTTTTTAAATGAACTGCATTTAAACACCCAGACGCATTTACGGCTGTGCTTTTGGCCAGCAGCGATAGGCCGAGAACAGATGAGAGTTGACCCCACCACAATAACAGAGCAAATTAACGCTTCATTGGGTCTCCACTTCACTACTAACAAAGACTTCACATCTCCCATCACCATTCCACAACCCTTTACACCCTATGGACAAACAAGCATCAGACGCACAATGGGAACCTAAATTTCATTTTACAACAAAAAAATCCTCTCAATGGTGAGGAAAAGGATGGCAAGAATTGTTGAACATTCCCTATGTAAGAGACAGAACATGCTTGATGCTCTTACTAAAAAAAATTAATAATAAGGACTGATCAAAATGTCAGGAGCAGTCTTCCCGTGTCCCAGTTGTCTTCCCAAAAACCACGAACACTTTATACTTGTATGCACCGCTTATTTTTCAAAATTCTTTTCGGGAAATTTTTTAGGATGGATAGATACAAAGGAACTACTAGATAGATCTATGATAGTTTCCATAGATAGATAGCATGAATCTTATACGTAATTTGTTAGATACCCGTAAGCTTTGCCTTATCAATTTTGCTAAACAGGAAAGTTTTAGACATTCTTTTTATTTGATTTGTAGGAACCTTAAACTGTGTAGGAACAATTTATGAGGGTTGTTTTTAAGGAATTAAATTTACAATTTTGTAATGAGAGTCTGTACTGATTTCGGCTTGAATAGTTCTGAAATTCAGTTTGGTGTTAAATGATGGAATGAATCTCACTCTATTTGTTCAGAACAGACCCCTTGAACAGTGAATAACACTGTTTTTTCCTGTGTTTTTTCATGTAGTGTTTAATAGTTGCCTAGAAGACTGACACAACCGTTTTGTCACACCTATTAAACCCACTTGACCATAGCCCACAAGAATAGATTCCTGTTTCCTAACTGACTCAGGTTCCTAAGACATTTTACATTAGCACTCAAAACAGCCATGCCCAAACGTCCTTCACATGATCCTCAGGCACACCGGTTTCTTTCTGCTCAACAGGAGGTAGCCATGTTTGTCTTCCCTCTTCGCGCTTCCCTCTCTGATTGGTCGGAGCTTCAGCCAATCAGGTAAGACCCCAAAGCATTCTGGGATTAGAGTTAGAACTGTTATTGGCTCGTGATGATATACAAAACGTAAAATATATAAATACTTTAAATGTTTTTTTCAATTATTATTGTATCTTTTTTAAGTAGTTTGTTTCTGCAAAGAACGTTTTAAGTGTAGGCTTAAAACTTTCCTTTTTGATAAAGCTTATAGTTAGAGTGATTCAGTTTATCCTGAGCTATCTCTATAGTTATGCTGCTGTAGGCTTAGACTTCTGGAGGACATAGGGACTATTTCCTCATTTTGCTTCATTCTATCTCTATTCTTCCATTCTGCAGAATCTGTTTGTTTATTCTGTAACGTTATGCCCTCTCTGCCTTTTCTCATAGTAGTTTCGCCTCGTCTGTTCCTGTTTGACTGTGACACCACCATGGAGAGAAATATCAGCTTTACTGCTGCCATCAACACCCTTGTTTATAGATGTTGGAGATCGGCCTGTTTTTCCAGTGTCCTGTTTCTTTGACTGTGACGGGGTGGATGTGCTCTCTTCATCCTCCGACATGGGAGCTGGCTTGGAGCTTGGCTGGACAGCTGTGTCTTTCCTGGATTGTTGCTTTTTGTATCTCTGCTTCTGTCTCCTTGAACCCCAGTCGGCCTCGGCAAAAGGCCGCTCACACTGAGCCTGGTTCTGCTGGAAGTTTCTTCCTGTCAAAAGGGAGTTTTTCCTCTCCACTGTCACTACAAGCGTGCTTAGTGTGAGGGATTTCATCCAGTCAATGAGTCGATGCGATCAGCTGTTTTTCTTTTAGATAGAAAACTTTAAATCAATTTGACTGGATGATCTGGTGAACTGTAAAGTGCCTGGGATGACATGTGGTGTGAACTGGCGCTATATAAAAAAACTGAATTGAACGTTACAAAGCAACAATATTATACATGAGAGTGTAAACATCCCAAGTTTAATACTTCTGGATTCGTGTAGAGTTAATAAGGAACAAAATATATTAGACGGTACATTAGCTATGATCTATCCATCTACCTACCTATCTAATCATGTTTTTACATTTTTTTTTACTTGATGACTCCCTCACTTTTTTGATAGTTAGGGTTTTTTTTTTATTTTTGAAACAAACTTTTTCTTTTGAGGTGAGAAAGGTGCTACTCAAACATTTTTATCTATCTCATTGAGACCTGTTAGTAAAGAACACCTCAGCTCAAAATATCTTTGAAAGATTGACTGCTTATCATGCTTCTCTAAGGGTTATTATTGACTGCCCCAGAAAAATGATCTAGAAATAAGTAAAAATGTCTTAAATGAAGAGTATTTACCCTTAATTTGAGTAGGTAAATTAGATAGTTTGCCAATGGAATGAGTATTTTTACTCTTAAAATAAGATACTTAGATAATATGCACCTTACATAAGACAATGCAATTGTGTTTTCTTAAGTGTAAATTGTCTTGTTCCATTGGCAAAATTTCTCTTTTACCGCCATAATCCAAGAAAAAATTTACTTATAATAAGAAAAGATGACTTATTTAGATTTAGATTTTTTCCAGTGTGTAGAACCTTGACCCATTGTTGTAAGTTGCAGTTTCCTGTGGGATGGCCATTTTTGTCCACCAGGAGGCTGGGACATAGTTTTTTTGTTTTGGTAAAGCTATGCTTGGACCACTGCCATCCTACATAAGTAATTAAATCACACAGAGAAATGTTGCCTCTCTTTGCGTTCAAATGATCACTTGCTGCTCTCTGTTTCCCACAGGACTGGGAAAATTGACTTTTATTTAATCTCCTTTATCAACATGATACATTCTGTCAGGAAATGGACTGAATTTCCTACACAAAACAAAAGTATAGTTAAAATAAGTCGATTTAAAAAGCACAGTCCCCCTCATAAAGTATTTCTTAGACACTGTGGCATTTTTTCAGATGCCTTTTACCTTTATATAAAAAGGAACTGAAAGTTAATTTAAGTTTTACTTTACTATCATAATATATCATATTTTGTCAAAAGAGAGCAAGGTTGTGCATAATAATTTATTCTTGTTTTGCTATGATTTAGGTGACAATGCTCCTGTTTATGCACTAAACAAAGCAGAGGAGGAGGAGCAAGGTGTCATGACTCAGACTTCCTCTTTCTGACTCTGTAACATTTTGAGAGACCCGGAGGGCTGGGTTCCTAAACCAGACAAATTTTCCATGAGCTGATTTTGGAGGAATTACAGTTGAGAAACAATCCAGAGAGTTCAGACCAGAACAGCCAATCTGTTCTGTTTTCTACCATGAAACCAACCAATGTTCTGTTAAGGTTGGGGAAGATAAAGCTTTGCTCTCTTGTTGTGAAACTCATGAGTTCTGATTAGACATTATGCGACTTGTTATCGTCCAGCAGAGAGCTGATAAAACATGGACCTCGCCCCGTGTTGCAACAAATTAGAGAAACACCAATAAACTCTGGAAAACAATTTTTTATGATGCTTTTCAAGTAAACTCACATCTCTTCCCGGAATTCTTTACTTTCTTTTCTAGTTGTTTGCTTCCTCACTCAGTTTTGTTGGCCTTCACTTTGCAAAACAACAAAAAAACACATTTAAAAGACTTAAATACACAAAGATAATTAGAAACATTTTCACAGAACATTTTTTTTCAGCTGTGAGCCGAAGAAACTCAGGTTCTTAAGATGCAAAGTTTAGCGAAAAATTAAACATCCTCATTTGTCTCTTTTCAGGGCAGCTATGAAAGTATTCACACCCCGTCATACATTTTGTCTACATATTACATCATTAGGACTTAATTTGACTGATAAACAAGTGAAAGGGAATATTAGTTGTCCATTTTTTCCCCAACACTTTTTTTCTAAAAATAAAAATTTGAAAAATGTCCTTTTAGAATAATTGAATCATTCATGCATTCAATGGCACACAGCTAATGGAGTTTGTTTCACTGGATTTGGTTTTAAGAAATTCATAGTTAAGGAGGGTAAGAAAAAAAACTATAATTTCATTCATTTGTAAGAATCAAGAACTTTTCCTCAGTTCTGGACTTTGTGTTGGTCCGGAACAGAATCCGAATAAAGGACATTCAAGCTTGATGTTGGGAGGCAAGGAAAGAATGGTTAAGGAGGAGTGAATACTTAAGCAAACTGTAACGGTTCACATTTTGTTATTGAGACAAGCGTTGTGTAAAAGTTTTTGTCTATTCATGGGTAAAAGGGAAATAAGCAATCCTGAATCATGCCAAACTGTGTTATCAGGCCTAAGCAGAACCATCAGGAAAACAAGATAGTTTCTAGTTATGATCATCAGAAAACAAACAGCTGATAAATTAAAGCTCTCACAAGGACTTTTATTGGCTTTTCATAACTTGCAAATATTCAAGTACATGGATGTAAAACATCCAGGACACAATCAGTGGCAAATACTTTCTGAAAAGTTTCTCGTACTGTAGATTGTGAGAGCTTCCTCTTGAAGCGACGGTGTTCCCCTCCCAGTCTAAGACACGTAGATCACTTGTAAACATGATACATTTTCAGTCTTTGATTTTAAGATTACAAAAAGTAGTCTGGTAGAAAAATATCTTCTGTCATAGGCTTCTCTCTTCTTATGAATTTCAACACGACATACCTCACAGTATAATCTGATCTGAAAAAAGGACCGACACACAAGAAGGTCTTGGGGGGGTAAAAGGCCTTTGGTTTTCATCAAAAAACATACCAAAAACAACATTAAAATAAGCACAAAAAGTCATTGTCACTGTCCGCTGTACAACAGTGATGACTGGACTCGATCTGTCGGTCGCCTTCAAGGCAGTACAAACGTCCCATTAAAGTTCAGTCTTCAGGAAAGTTCTTTCGCTACAATCAGGCGTCACTCCTGAGGTCAGCAGAGCGGCACAGCCTCCGCTGGACAAAGTATCCCAGGACGATAAGTAACATCTCTGAGGTGCTGCTGAGCGCCACGATAAAGGGCGCCTGGGATGCAAAGTCTGCCTCCACCCGCCGGAACGACAGCTGCATGACGGCCAGAGCCAGCAGGCTGTTCTGGACGCCCACCTCGATGCTCACCGTTTTCATCTGTGGTATGGCCAGGCGTGCTATTCTGGCCAGGATGGCACCAACCAAGAGGCCCAGCAAAGGCACAGTCACCCCAACTGCAACAATCTGGGGCTGGACGTTGGACAGGATGGACGCACCCATTTGGTAGGCCATGAAGATGCCACCGATCATGAGCACGAGACTGAAGGGTCGGATGAGCACTAGCAGGACACGGGTTAGAGCCGGCAGGCGAAGCTTGATCAGCATGCCCAAGGAGATGGGGATAGCGATGAACAAGAGGGTCCCCAATATCTTCACAAATGGCACATGGAGGGCAGCGTGCACGCCCAGCAGTCGGCCATACAGAGCAGAGGACAGCGGCATGGCTGCCGTGGCCACCACAGTGGACACCAGCGTCATGGAGATGGCCAGGGTGACATCCCCCCCCAGCAGCAGGCTGTACAGGTAGCCACCCCCTCCCCCAGGGGCAGAGCAGGTGATGACCAGGCCGAGGGAGAGCGCCTTGGGCAGTGAGAGCAGCCGGGACACACAGTAGGCATAGAGCGGCATCACCAGGAACTGGGCCAGAACCCCCAGCAGCAGGGGCACAGGGCTCCTCCACAGCCCCCGCAGAACCTCCACCTCCACCTTACAGCCGAAGGCACACTTGTTGACAAAGATGAGGGGCAGCAAGGCGAACAGCACCGGGTTCTCCGTGAAGTGGGACAAGCCCCCGGACTGGAGCAGCCGGGTGGCCTGGTCGTCCTCACCGGGCTCCACTCTGATGGTGTAATCCGTTCTCTCCTCGATCAGAACCGGGGAAGAGTCCCTGTCCAGGTTCATCAGCTGGATGTGCAGCGGAGCTCTGCCTGGAAACCCGGAGCGGATGTTTATGATAAAGCTGCCGGCGGGTCCAGTCTGGCCGCCGTCCGTCACATTCAGGATGGACAGGACCTCTGGGTCCAAAGAGCGAACCCGAACTGTCGGGGAGCCCCGGTACCGACTGGAGATCACGATCACCCCTTCCGTGTTTTCCGGAAACTCAAATTCTTGCGACGATCCGTCACCGATCGTGATGTACCCGGTGTGGTTCCCCCGGTTGGTGACGGTGCTGCTGTCCACGGTCAGGTTCCCGGTGGCCCACGCCCGCTCCGCTCCACCGATCAGGAACAAACAGAGAGTAAAAAGCGTCCTCATAGCAGTGACAGACAGGAGGCGGAGGCAGAGACACGCTTCAACCCGGCCAGGGCCCTCCACAGACGGTTACACCGCCGCCCTGCCCCTCCTTCACGCCGAGCTTCTCATTCCTGTCTCTGAGATAAAAGATCCGCGTCGTCAGCCGGCTCCTCGTCTCGTCTGGTTCCCATTTTCGTGCCGCTTTTATACCGGAACCTAAACATCACCCCGCCCTGTGAAGACCTGGCGGAGCCCAGCGGTGCAGCGGAAGCCCCGTGGATCCGACCCACAGCCGCCCGTTGCTCCTCAGCTCAGAGTCCGACAGGAAGAACCGGAGCCTCGCTTCGTTTTTCGGTCATTTTACCTCCAGGTTAATGAGAACTGACAGCATCGCAGCTTTCTGCCCAGAGCTGTTAACGTCAAAGTGTCCCAACGAAAATGAGGACTTCCGGTCAAGCATGCCAAAATAAAAGCGTTCTTTCGCTTCAAAATAAAAGAGACCGGAAGCCCCTTTATGTGTTCAGAAAGCAGAAAAACTACGTTAAAAATGATTAGATATGATCTCTTTATCATAATGTACCACATGAAACATTTATCCAGGGCAGTCTAAACACATTTTTGTTCCTTCAGACTACAAATCCCAGAGAACAGAAATTAAAAGGAGTAAAGTGAACCATAAAGAGAATCATAAACCATCATAAATGAATTCCTTCTTTCCCACAAAATCATTACTGTCAGCCTTTTTAAAAAGAAATGAAACAGGATCATATAGCTATATTTAGGATCCTTCAAAAAATAATTTCTTCTCAATCCACACCTGCTGCTGATTTGGATCACATTTCATTTTAATTAAATCATGCTTTATTTACAGAAAATTGACATACATAGAAAATAGACCAATGACTAACAAAGATAAAAACAATGATACTGCTGTTAAAGCTAAATCTTAATATTAAGATTCAATGTAAATAAAAATATAATTATTCTATCTGTCAGGATAACCCAATGGGTGGTGGGGCCAGTGAATTTTCTTGGGAGCACAGAAAAAAAGAACAACAAAAAAAAACAGTGCAAGAATACATTGTTTAGTATTTTAGGTGAGCCACAAAGCCAAGGTTGCAGACCCCTGATCATAACATCTTATATATGACATACTACTGGAGCTCAAGGCTGAATTTAATATGAAAAGTTGATAGAGTTTTATTTTCTTATTTTAAATGTAAATCATTGTATTCCATTGGTAAATTTTCATATCTCAATGCTCAAATCAAGGGAAAATAAATTTAATTCAAGCAAAATTGAATTTGATTAAAATTTTTGCAGTTTCTGTTCTTAGTAGAGTTCCCAGTTCCCCAAAAGAACAATCCTGGCCCCTTTTGGCCCATCTCGCACCACCTATGGGCACATCCCATGAAAAATCTAATTTAATGGGATGTCCTGCTAACATTTTGGTACAAACACTTTAATACACATACAGGGGTTCTGGTGGAGTCCATATCAATTGGTCAGGGATGTTTGCAGAGCATAAGGAGAACAAACACAATAGATCCATCTTCTAAGTTTACATTTGGAGGAACATGATCAACATTCGAATGAACCTTTAATAAAATGATCATGATTAGCTCTAAGGACTAAACAACGTCCCATTTTTTGGCCGCATTTAAGGTGGGCTCATGAATGAGGAAGTTAAACTAAAACAGCTAAAAAAAAAAAAAAGTCTGTAAACTCAGAAAGAGAAGAAATGGCTAGACCAGAGGTAAACAAATTCCAACACAGTAAAATATATTTTTTAAATTCTTCTTTAAAAACCTGGCAACCAAAAGCAGTTAATGAGCTCCTTCTCGTGAAGCCAGACTGAAGCTTAGCCTCTTCAGGTACACCTGTCAGGTGCAGAAAGCCAAAATCAGGGAGGGAGGTAGGTGCTACAGGCCTCAGCTGTGGACCACAGCGAGGATGACTGTTTCTCCTTCTGGAGGAAGAAGAACCTGGACAGTTGAAGGAAAGTGCATTAAAATAATCTATCAGTGTGTTTCTCTTCCACAGCTCAAATAGGAGTCATTGTTCATAAATCCTCCCTAAGCTGTAAAATCCTTTCTTTGACCCTAAAATGCATCACCCTGTTTTACCACAGAAGGCTGAAAACAGAGTATACAAATATAGTTAAAGGACAAATAAGATAAAGAAATCCTCAAAAGTCAGAAAAGATTCCAAATATTGTCAAAGTTTAATGGCTGTAGCATATAAATAAATAATAAAATGGATGAAATAAATATGCTGTATTGTTTTTTTTGCCTTCCAGTCAGTCTGATCTACTTTTCCAGTTTTATTTTTTTAAATATTAATATTAAACCCATCTGTCCTGTTTTTTGTGTCACATGTGTCACATTACACAGATCCTTTATGCTGCAGCAAACCCTGAGCAGTTTGGTGTGAGACAAAGCAAAGCAGACGAGCATTTGTTTATTATATACACAATGACACCCGACACTCGTGGGCTTAGAGAGGAAACTCCTAAAAGTTAACAGCACGCAGCTCCTCCTGGGAGCCTCTCGCTGATTTCATAACACGCAGCTTTGTTCCCCAGCTGTGGAAGAGAGGTCAGAGGCAGCTTATCTTGCACGCTGTGGTGAAAATTACTTTCTGGGACAGCTTGTTCGTCATCCATTGTGTTTCCATGAGTAGTGTGTCCTCTTTCTGTCAGCCTGGGTAAGTCAAGGCTTCCAGAAAAAGAAACAGGCGGGGGAGTCCTCGGTGGAAACACTCAGCAAGGCAACCTGCTGCTGCTGAACGCTCCATCCTCCACTCTGACATTTCATGGAGCTGCACCCCCCTCCCTGGGCTCTTATTATTAACACATGGGAGGATAATTCACTTTATGACTAAAAATGGGGAGGTGGAGGAGGAATGTAAACTCTTCGTAAGTGACCTCCCTTCTGATGTTTGTAGTGATTCTGACAGGGATATCAGCTGCTTGGGATTCAGTTTGTCTGTTTACTCAGAGCTCACTGGGGCTTATGTTTGCACTTTGAATATTAATAAAGCAAATATCATGCTCTGCCTTGTGTTGCAAATGAGATCATAAGCAGCTATGATGACTAATCCAACGGCATTGTCCCTGAGAGCCAAACAAGCTCCGATCACAGACTGCAGAACCAACAGGTTTAGGGATATATTGTTGATTAAATCCTAATGCTAATGTTCATCACTCTGGTGTCGCAGACAAAAACAAACAAGATGTACTATAAATCAGAACGTCATATTTACTTTTCTGGTTTCCTAGGAGCCATGTTTTAAGATGTTTATTAAAAGAATGAGAGGAAATTGTTTGTTACTCTGAATTATAATAAATCGATGAAAGATTTTTCTGTCAGGACATTTCTTATAAACCAAAATAGAAAATGTGTTTACATTTTTTCACAATTTAGTCATTTGTGTTTGAGTTAATGATATACATTTTAATTGCTTTTTCAATAATTCAGAGTTTTTCTTTTTGTCAACCTTGTTCCTCAGCATCTCAGCATAAAGACAGAGAATCAACAATGGGTAACTACTCTTTAAGAGGCACATCTTCATGAGTAAACAAACTTTTCAGGGACACTTTCAGATGAAGGAACTTTATTTTTACATGATAAATATATAAAACAAAAGTGCTGAACAGTCAGTGGGGATCCAGTACGAATAAACCCTCCTCAAAAACTAAATTGGATGACAAAATATGAAACACCAAGGTCCTGATGCCCCAGAAGCTGTTATTCAAACATGTTTTGATGCAAACTCTGTTCATCTGTCTGCATCTTTCTCCGACTTTGCTGCAGTCATCAGAACTTCCTGGATGAAACAGAAGTAAAAAACAGGATCCGGCCAGAACAGAACGCCGCTAAAGCCACTCTGGTATTCACAACCAATCTATGCTATGTGAAGGAGGTCGTTGTTTATATTTAATATCAATGAACGCAAAGCAGATCAAAGTTACAAACACTGAGGTGCTAAAATTCCTGCTCCAAAAACTAAAATGCTCAGAACAGAAAAAAAAGCATACGTAATTAAAAACAGCTAACAGCTGAGGACGAAGGAGAAAGCCTGGCTTTCCCTATCTAACTGACTGTTCTTTATAGGCACTGAAGCAAGAAGCACCTATTAAAGCACCTGCATCCCAAAATAAGGCGTTAAAAGCATCAAATCTGAAAGCGAGAAATAAATGTTTAATAATAGATAAAATAGGGGGATTGTCGAGTATCGTTTGTCCTCACTGAGTCTGGATGACTCTGATCAGCAGGGGGTTAAATCTGTTAGTGTTACTGGTTTAAACCTGATCTTTCTTCTCCCTTCTCTCAGCAGAATCAGCGGCTTCCATCTTCGACCCAGAACCAGAGATAAATAAATCTCTTATAAACAGAAAATCAGTAAAGTCCTTTGTACAAAACACATTTTACAAAGTTTACACCCAGAAACCTGTAATGTAGAGGGGGGCTAAAAAAAAAAAAAAAAACAAGTGAAGAGGAACAGATGAAACCAAAAAGGTTAGCCCAGGATCCGTTTCTGTTCTCAGATGCTATTTTTGGCTGCATTTCATTTATTTATAGGGCAGGAGAGGGGGAGGAAAATCAATAGACTCATTAAGTTCTCCCAGCAGGAGCAGTTCAATAGAAACACGTCGTAGTTCCTGTCGTCGCCGGTCTTACAAAGTGCTCTGCCTCCATGCAGCTGTTGTCTCCTCAGCACCAGCCTTCAGTTTCGCAGAGCTGCCAACCTGCAAGAACAGATTCCAAACTTTACGTGGTTGCTTCATACAGAGCGGCGTTCTGAATGATGTGAGGTAAAGAATGAGCCACAAGTCTAGATAAACGGAGCCTGGCAGCAAACGCCACGCTCTTTAAATCCCAACATTTAGTAAAGCCAAAAAAAATCCTTTAAAAAGGCTCCTTTAAGGTTTAGAGTCCAGCTTTTCTGTCCCTGCCTTCATTCTCTTCATGAACAGCTCTCTGAACTATCTTGTCACTAAAACCTACTTTACAGATAAAGGCAAGTTTATTTATACAACACATCTTAGAAGCAAAACAATTCAAAGCACTGCATATGGAAAACATCTTAGGAAAAACACTCAGGGCCGGATTTATCAAGATCCAATTTTGCGTGCAGTAATTTGCGCTCGCAAACTGGAATTTTGCGCGAGGGGCTGAACCATGGTTTGCGGGTGATTTAACAAGAGTGATTGCGTAACTGGTGGAAGGTGCAAAACTGTTGGAGACGCCCTATTTAAATGATGGTTTTGCGCGTTTTGTGGTTTGCGGCAAAGTAGTTTGTAGACTGTACAAACTAGTGCATTAAGAAATTTAAATCTTACAGTGACCCCCAACAAAAAAAATAAATAAGTAAATATATATATATATATATATATATATATATTTATAAATTGGCAACCTTTATTCCCTAAGGTGGTATGTGCTGCAGTAAAAAAAAACAAAACAAAAAAACAGGTGTTTTGTATTGGCCTGTGACTGTGGATGAGATCCCCCCAGCATTTGGCACGTTGCTCCACAGGCGCAGGGGGAGAACCCCGACCCCGTCGGACAGCACTTCTGAAAAAACGAGATTGGGAGATCCCAGCTCTCGCTGCAATCGTACGCTGGAATGACCCAGATGCAAAAAAGTGCAATGTTGCAAGGAGTTCTGTGATATCTGGTATTGCGTGGGTCCTCCTTGTGGCTGGCTCCAAATCCATTCGGAGTTCCCCCAACAGCTCCAAAATGGCAATGCTGGATAAACTATGTTTTGATGATCGTTTCCTCGTTCATTGCAAAAATATTCACACGGAGTGAAAAAATGCGTTCTCTGCGTCTCCTTGCTTCATTTCCCTGTCTCCTTCTTGCGACAATAACCGCTGCCATGTGTGCGCAATTACGCATACAGACCATTTGCACCTTCTTTTGAAACGTGTTAAATATAGAGTCAGATAGCGTTAGCAAAATTGCGTTCAAGTTTGATAAATCACTTTGCGAGTGCTAAATTAATATATTTACATGTTCTCCTCCCACAAGACGCACTTTAGCGTGTAAACGCCCCATATTGCATATTCATTGCAGAAAAAGTACTAAATGGATCAGAGGCGCTATTTAGCACGTTTTAAAGACCAAATGCTTTTAGCACGCTGTTGATAGATCAGTTTGTACATTTTTAGCGTGCGCAGTGAAATAGCTCACGTTTTTATACACGCAAACCTTTGATAGATCCGGCCCTCACTGCGCGTTCAATAATTCATGAACATCAATAATTAAAGAGAATAAAAATTAATAATTTAAATGATAGATTATAAAAAAAGAATAATAAAATGACTGAACTAGAAATTTAAATGAATAATGTTTAAATAGAACAGTCAAGGGCAACTTAAGACCAATAAGTTTTTAATCTTCATTTAGGGTTTCAGCATTTCCCAGTTTTCTGGAAATTTGTTCCAGATTAGAGCAGAATAAGGACTAAAAGCTGCTTCTCTGTGTTTGGTTTTGGTTCTGGTTATGCAGAGAAGATCTGATCCAGGAGACTCGAGAGGTCTGGGTGGTTGAGACACTGACAACATGTCTGTATTTGGATGCTGAGCGAAAACCTACTTTGACTACGACTTTTTTAAACGACGGTCTTCTGTGTATAACTGCTTTTATATTTAATAAATTTGACTTTATTCTATTATAAATACATACTAGACTTTGTACATTTACAGAAATGAGAAAGCATTCTAAGTCTTGCAGACCCAACAGCAAATCCCTTCCTATTTTTTAACAAGTGGTAACTTAGCATTATATATTTTTTCAAATCTGTAAACCAGAAAAGTAAAATAGAACATATTTGTGCTGTGGCCAAACATCAGCAGTAACCTCTTTACTTTCCAACAAAGCCAGGCTCCTGGCTCACTTTATTTGACTAATATTTGACTGTTATCTCAGTCCGCTGTAGTACGATATCTTAATCTGCCTGTGCTGCGTTGTGCTGGCTGCAAAGTTAGTCGATTATAATAAACTGACCGGTTATATAACATTGCTCTTTCCCATTATGATTTTTAGTTGGGTAACTGCTTAAAATTCCAACACCAACAAGTTACTCAAACTTATAGGTGATGATAAAAAGAAAAAAAGGATTGTGGGTTAAGCTTCTGTAAAAGTGTCTTTCTTACTTGCAATTAATCAGACATAAAAATAGGTCTGAAGTGAGAAAAATGAAACCCCACTACATCCCCCGGAAAAAATGTGTTACCATTTTACCATGTAGTCTGCTCTAATAGAATAATCAAGGAAAATTACGGTACAGCAGGATGTAAATTACTTATACATCATCAGGGCTGAAATTCATTTTTTCTTACTCCCTTTAAAGGAACAGACATTCTTTATCTTGAGACTATTTTTAATATTTATAGCATTTACTTTTTATTACATTCATTTTTTAAGCATTTAACAATAAATGCCCTTCACCACTTATTCACAGCAGTACTCAATAGTGCACCTTTCTTGGTGTAATAATGAAACTTTTCATGGATAGTAATCTTTTTAGTAAAACTGTAACTCTTGCTCTTGCAAAAACTACAGAACTCAGTTTGTTGAAAGGAAGACATGTAAAAATTTGCATTTATTTTTACTCCGGATGAACAAAAGCTAAACTGTTAGTATTATACCAATTCTGCTGGTGACACGCCCTGAAATCTTTCTATCACCCCATATGGATTAATAATAGAACTTAGACAGAGTCTCAAAGGCTACCATGAAAATCCAGAACTTAAAAAAAAAAAATTTGAAATGTAAAAATATAAGGAAATTGAAAAAAAAAAAAAAAAAAACGAAACTACAAAGAAACATTTACATCTTATTTGACTGAATAGAAATAGAGGAATAATGAGAGAGAACCAGTTTAGGAAGGTCTATATGCCTTTTCATCTGGGTCTATATCTAAAGCTATCATAAAAAGATCAAATATTTATTTTGGTTATTATATATTATTCCGGGCTGCTCAGTGGCGCAGTGAGTAGCACTGCTGCCTTGCAGCAAGAAGGTTCTGGGTTCAAATCCTGGCCCAGGGTCTTTCTGCATGGAGTTTGCATGTTCTCCCTGGCATGCGTGGGTTCTCTCCGGGTACTCCGGCTTCCTCCCACAGTCCAAAAACATGACTGTTAGGTTGATTGGCTTCTCTAAATTGTCCTTAGGTGTGAGGGTGTGTGAATGGTTGTTTGTCCTGTGTGTCTCTGTGTTGCCCTGCGATGGACTGGCGACCTGTCCAGGGTGTACCCCGCCTCTCGCCCATTGACTGCTGGAGATAGGCACCAGCACCCCTCGCGACCCCAATTGGGACAAGCGTGTAAGATAATGGATGGATGGATATATTATTCCTTCATTTGGAGGAAACTGAGTTTTGCACAAGTCTGAGGAGCTTCAAAAAAGTCTTAAAGTTAGAAAATCAGAGAAAGGTATTTTTTCATATCAGGCTGGTGGCGTTGAGCTGATAGGTATTTTAGACAAGAAGCAACACGCACTTTGAAGCTCATTTTTTTCAGTAACTTACAGGCAGAGTAGTTTGTCGGAGTTCTTACAAGTGGAAACACCATTAGTCCCCAGGAGCACAAACATTATGGCTTATTACATCAGGCAGCAATTCTTCCTTCCTAGTACTGGGTACTAGGGCTGGGCAAAAAAATCAATTTAATCGATTTTGAATCGATTCCTTTACATTTTTGCACAATCGATGTCTAGGGAATGAAATCGATTAGTTTTCTAGTGACGCACGTGACGTTCACATTCAAATGAGCAGGAAAGATGCACTCAAGATGACTTCAAGCCAGACAGCTGCAAATATAGCCAATAGGTTGACTGAAGACATTAACAAATGGGGGCTGACCAGCAAACACCCTGTAGTTGTTACAGACAACACTGCAAACATGGTTTCTGCAGATAGATAATGCAGCTCATGCAAGTCTGCCGTTTCCCACCCTATCACGTCTGCTTGCTCGAGTGAGGCTTCACTTTTTCACTTTTAACAAACAAGTTTGCACTTATGAGACAGTTTTGTTCACATCTCATGTTTAAACTGTCCGATTTACAAGTTTGCACTTTGTGCTTAATGTGACAGGAAAAAATAAAATACATTAGTATTTTAAAACACATTAGAACCACTTTGATTATTGTAAAAACAGATAAAATCTAAATTAATCGATTTAGAAGTGTATTAATCAAAATCGATTCGATTCAGGACTTTGGCGAAAATACCCAGCCCTACTGGTTACCATTGTGGACTTCATTGGTTCGAAGTAACATCTCTACACAAAATGTTGGTTCAGTCACTAAAAGCTCATGTTAGCTTGTGTCAGTCAATGCAACCTTAAAACCTCTCAAGCTGGATCCTTCAACATCCACTGAGGTCCTAGTATTCAACGCGCTCAGTTATAATCGTTATCCGTGCTCAGATCAGCTCCCACTGAAGAGCAAAATCCAGTCAGGTAGAAGTGATGGAGCTAATATTTCAATGTTTTAACTCTAATGAGAGGCATGTTGAGTAGAGGCATCGCTACCTGACAAGCCTCTGTCTTGTAAGCTGCAGACAGATTCACTCTTGTTTTTTTAGGCTTAAATATCTCCGACCCAGTTACCTGCTTTTGGTTTGAAAACAGTTAATTTTACCAAACGGGGAGTGATTTTCATGTCAGATGTACCTGATTTTCTTAAGCTCAGATTCCGCTCACCACTGTCTGTTAAACACACACTTCTCTAATGTCCAAGAGCTATGCATCCCACCCCTTCAGCTCGATGTGATCTGTTCACATTTTTGGCGTAGGCAAGGTGGAAATCCAAGAAACGATTCACCAGCACAGTTTCCGTAGAGATCACAATAGCATTATGAGCTCCTTTTCCACTGCTCTTCAAAAGGGATTTGAAAAAGGTGTGGACTATTTTCTTTTCTGTACAGAATGACCCGACTAATATTACCTGCACTTTGCTTTCACAGGGCTTTGGTTCCTCAAGCGACACAGTAAATTGCTCTGCTTGGTTCCTATTAGTAAGGTAATTCAAGCCGGAGGCTTTCAATGGAAAAAGGGGCTATTGAATCTTCTTTTGAAACTTCCGGTTCAGACTCACCTGGCAGAACGTAAAAAAGCATTTTCTCAAAACTGCTTTGAATCAAATTTCTGTCAAGGTGACTCAACATCAGATTTGAGTTTCAGAACTTGTCTGATGTTTTCCTGTCTTAATGTAACCAAATGAAAAGTAGCCTTACCGTCGGGAAAGCTGGTCCTCCCTCTCCTGGCTCCGTGAGCTCTCTCCACCCAGTGAGGCAGCTCCAGCAGGCAGCTGGCTGAGCTGATCCATCACCTCCAGGCCATTCTGTTCCGCTATCTGGTGGATCAGGTCATCCACCTGCTCCTGAGGTGTGGTCAGCGTCATAGCGGAGCTCATGGAGTCCTCCATTACCTGGTGCAGGTAATAGGCAGGTTCATGGGTAAGAGTTGGAGAAGCCTAAGAGCCGTGAAGATGTGGATGTGCAGAAAAGGCAGCTACTCACTGAGGTGTGGACATCAAGGTTCTGAACCTGGGTTTCAAACTTATCCATCACTGCAGAAACCTTCTGTAGATCCATGGAGTTCAGAGCTTTGTCCAGGGCTTTGGTTACCTGGCCCATGCTTTTAGTCACCTGCAGGAAGAAATAATAAGCATTTAAAATGTATATTTTACTATAAAGCCTGACAACTTTACAAAAATGTGTGGTGTCAAATTGTATATTACCATACTGTTGCCAACTACACAAAAAAACATTTAAACTATATTTACCAACCTGACTGTCTTTCTAATAAACTATTATTTTTTCTTACATTTATTGACTCTAGTTTTATGTATCTTTTTGTGCACACTTGGACAAAACAACCTGCCTGCAGGGATCGATAAACCTATCAAGATCTTTAATTGGATTATAACTATACAGGACTTTACTTGATCCACATCAGTACTTTCTGGTAACTTCGGAGCGGCGTAACTTACTCCTTTCATGGTAACAGCCGTCTGCACTTTAGACGCCACTGCGTCGACTCGTGACGCCATGCGCAGCCAGTTAAGACCTTCATTCTTCTTTCTGATGGCGTTCTCAGCATAAACTCTGGCACATTCCACATTTTTTTGCTGCAAGGCCTGGAAAAACAGAACATTTTGAGCTCTGTAATGTAACAAAGTAGTTTTCATAAGGAACACCCGAGAAGACGGAATAGAGAGAAAACAGAGAAAACTCAACTCACTCAGCATTCTTCTAGATTTATGTGGATTGGTCGTATTTTGTTGGTTTTATTTTCTCATGAAAACTTTGGAAAACTGCTATGAAGTCTGTCAGTATTAGAATGAGAGAACCAGTTTAACAATATTTCAATCCTGACTTATGCAACTTTTTGTTCGAATCAAATGCTTTTCATTCCACTAACTCAAGCCTGCTTTTCTAAAAAAATCTGCTTTCTGAATAGACACATGAAGACCAACCAAGCCTGTTCTTGTTCAGAGGTAAGCTATACTGCCACCTGCTGACCAATCTCGGCCACATTTACAGAAAAGAACTGATCAGAAGCTGAATATAATCAACAGCAAATAAACAAAAATGACCCAATTGTTGCTTCTCCCTTCTAATGTCAAAATGAAACTAGAAAGTTTGGAGAAAACAAAGAACTCTGCTCATTTTTATTCTGGTTCTCTAACAAAGGAGGAGGTGTGCAGGTGAAGACAGAGCTCTGTGAGGTATTCCATGTATGTAACCTAGAGCTTAAGCTGAGTCATCTGCTAATGTTTCTACAAATGGACACAGATCAATCCTTCAATGTGCAAACCGCTCCCTAGCAAGTCGTCTGATCACTTAAAGGTTGCCAGGGGGGAACTTCCTGCAACAGTTTCCCATATGAAAGGCAATCTTCATCATCAGTGAAGAAAAAGATAATGGATCGCAGCGAGATGAACAAGAAAGAGCGGTACAATAAATCAAAATAGAGAGCAGCTCTAATTGAAGGTCTAGAGCAGGGGCGCCCACACCTGGTTAAGAGCCACCATCCTGTAACTTTTAGATCACTTCCTTCCTTTTCACTTTTTGAGCCGTGTGCTGTATTTAAAGCTTCAGAAAATGACGGAGCGATCCATAATCTCTGAACCAGTGGAACCACCGATGTAATTTAGTTTTAACCAATGCATTTTCAAAAGTATTACCTAGATCTCATAATCAAGGCCTCCATTAGCTGATTAGCTTCCTTTAAAGGGTCTTTATAAGACAAAGTCCACTTTTTAGAACTAATCACCAGAATAAGTTAAAAGTATGGTGATATTCCTTCACTTGTTTCATGGTCTGAGTATTCTTCATGATTTCTGCTCTCTGAGCAGCCGTCCTTTCCTGTCCGGGAGAGCCACCTGGTGGCCTGCCAGATGTCTGGCCCTCTTAACCCCAGATTCCCCACCCTCCATAACGGGATGAGCACTTATACAGTCATGTTAATCAATGAGAACTATTCCGCATCCAACTTAACTCGTCCACATCCGTGTTCTCCGTCCTTCCCTGTTAAGTACGGAGCAAAGCTATTTTTTGCTCTGCTCCAGTGGAATCCAGCCAGTTCAACCTCTGCATTTGCAATCTCATTAAAGAACAACAAGAGGACCCTGTTTGTCAAAGTAAAACATAGTAGCGACAGATTACTACAACTTAGAACATAGGTTTCATATATTCCCGAAGAAGAGGACCTTTTTATTTAATTGATGGATGCAAACTACTGGCACGGTACACCCTGGACAGGTCACCAGTCCAGTGTAACAAACAGGACAAACAACCATTCATGCAACCCATACTGACATACTGAGGGAGAACATGCAAACTTCATGCAGAAAGACCCCAGGCAGGAGATCGAACCGGGAACCTTCTTGCTGCAGGGCAGCAGTGCTACCCACTGCACTACTGAGCAGCTCTAGCTTTGTCATCTTGATCAAAATAATTATTTTTAGATTTCAAAATTTCATCAAATCCAATTGTAACAACTTCCAAGAGCAACTTCTTATTGCAGGCATAGATGAAGAGATGCTGATTTTAGAGGTGGAGAACAAACCAATTTTAGATGATTCTGGGCATACTTATTACAAAGACTCAGGACGAAATGTAAAGTTTTGGGCAGAAACTGTATGTGTGCTGGATACAACTGCTGAGTTTTAATAATTCTATAGGCCTAATAAATTCAATGCTCATTACCTCTTATGATGCTCCTATGAATTAACAAATTATAATATTGTGCAGACTCTCCTCGGGGCTCCAAGGAACTGAGAGTGGAGCAAGACAGGAGGAACCGCAGAATTGGCCTGGTGTGGGGCGGGGTGGTTACAAAGGACGTTGGATTGGGTATTCAAATACATTTTCAGACTGCTTTTAAAATAATTTGTATTTCACTTATTATGATCTGTATTCAATTAATTTAACACATACAGATTTAGGACGTTAATTTGAGTTGCTGTATAGGTTTGCATTAATCAGGTTGTGGTGGTCAGTAAGTGAGGGATTATTCAGGATGTTTACAACAATATGTTAGGTCGGGGAATTGATTTTGTTCTACTGAATGTCTGAAAAACACAGCCACCTATTTTAAGTTAAAAAAAACAAACAAACAAAAAAAACATGAAACCTTTCTTATATAGATGGTTTAGTGTAAAAAAAAAGAACAAAATGCCTGAACATTTTTACAGATTAAATGACTTTAAAAGAGCCACTTCGACTCAACTTTAGGCTGGGATCAAGGCACTCTGCCTCACATGACCCCTCCCTGATAGGAGACAGTTACAGTTTGGTTACAGTTACAGCCTGGTTAAAGTAGCTGCCTCCTGGAGGGAGCTCATTATCCCTCCATCCATCCATTTTCCGTCACACTGTATTCCAGCAAGGGTCGCGAGTGGTGCTGGTGCGTATCTCCAGCTGTCTACAGGCGAGAGGCGGGATACACCCTGGACAGGACGCAGTCCATCGCATCTCCCTATCTATTCTCCATTCCCTCAATTTTTATCTTATACAGGACTGGGAGGGGATTTGACACAGACAGCAGACATGTGAATTACTAAAGAGAGCATGAAACAAGTGAAATGCCACTTTGTGTATGCTTTTGCTGAAAGAATAGTGTTATAACTCAGTGACAAGATTGTATAATTTTTAGTCAAAAAAGTAGCATGATATAGGCCCTTAAAGAGCCCTATAGACCTTAAAGGTTTCTAGAATAGAAAACATTATGAGAGGAATATGCAAGAAGAGCAAAAAATGCAATTAGGAAAACTCAGATCATTACAAAATGAATTCAGATGCTACAGTGCATCCCAATTCTTACCTTCTTGACTTTTGCCTGCTCCTTTTCAGACTCCTTTTCTGCCTTCTTAGCCAATCTCTCAAGTTGCTTAGCTGTAAACTGTGAAACACAAAAGAAAAGTGTGGACGATAAATTATTAACTTTGAAGCCATGAGCTTGTACGGAAAAAACATATCATATATCGTCACAGGGACATACCTTCAGCTGGAAGAGTGTGTCTGCGGAAAGGAAGAACAAATGTGATAAATAACTCTAAAAAAGAAGCATGGTTCTGGAAACATCAGAAATTAAGTAGATTTCTAAATCCTTAAAAAGCATACAAACAATCTTGTTGTGCCATTGAAAGCTTGTATTACTGTGAAGTGATGCTATTTACACCTGCTTTCCTCACATCTTCATTTTGAACACTAGTATTCTCTATATTTTTTGAGTTAGTGTACACAATAAAAGTAAAAGTGTAGATATACATGTGACTAAGAAATCTCTAAATCGTTAAAAAAGGACGCAAGTGTCATTTTATCAAACAAAATATAAAAAATAAAGAATCATCGATGTAAAATTTCAGCAGAAACAGATTTGTAACAAAAACTACAAACATAAAACTCAAGCAGTAGCAATCAAAGGTTTGCTACATGTAATTTGTGTTCAAGTAATATATTCACTATAGGTCCATAAGTACCTGTGGAGTAAATTGTGCATAACACAGACGTCCTGTTGATTACAAAAATCCCTTTATGTTTCAAAGAACATAAACAGGCCGATGGAAAAATAAAATGATGGAAAAATTAGAAAAGCTATTAAAAAGGCCAACAACTCTTCTAAATACAAAATTTCCAATAATAATTAATAAAAACAATCATTAACCTGATATAAAAACTAATGTTATCATGAACAATGACGGCATATATTAGATATTTGATAGGATCGTCTCCAACTATCATAATCAGGTACTTACCAATTCAAAACAAAGGTTATAAGGAGGGATTTTAGACAAAGACAAGAAATGTCCGATTTAAAAAAAAAGATGGAGGGTAAATAAAGACTATGTCACAATATTTCTACACAAAAATGTAACAAAAAAGTTTCCCGTTTCAGTAAGTTTAGTTTGTCACGATGACAACATCAGGAAGTGTCTGGTTGATATACGTTCATGCGACAAACGGCATCTGCCACAAATAAATTCAGTGAGACTCATAAGTAGAATATATTACTTGTAATTAAACAATCCAACTCGATGATTCGGTTAAAGTTTGAGCTGAAAATAAAGATAACAACAACAGTTTAGGGCTAAACTGTCTCTGCTCTTAGCCAAGCTAACAGTGGATACCAGGATTTAGACGAATCCCGTGAACAGAGAGAACTAAACTGAGAACAACACGTACCGTCCATGTCAACACGAACACAATGTCTGAGTTTAACTAAAAATGTTTGGTTCGGTTCTTCAGCCAGGAGCTCCGGGACCAGTTCTAGTTAATTAAAAGGCTGCTTCTTCCTGGATCGAGAGCGAATCCCGTGAACAGAGAGAACTAAACTGAGAACAACACGTACCGTCCATGTCAACACGAACACAATGTCTGAGTTTAACTAAAAATGTTTGGTTCGGTTCTTCAGCCAGGAGCTCCGGGACCAGTTCTAGTTAATTAAAAGGCTGCTTCTTCCTGGATCGAGAGCGAATCCCGTGAACAGAGAGAACTAAACTGAGAACAACACGTACCGTCCATGTCAACACGAACACAATGTCTGAGAGCGAATCCCGTGAACAGAGAGAACTAAACTGAGAACAACACGTACCGTCCATGTCAACACGAACACAATGTCTGAGTTTAACTAAAAATGTTTGGTTCGGTTCTTCAGCCAGGAGCTCCGGGACCAGTTCTAGTTAATTAAAAGGCTGCTTCTTCCTGGATCGAGAGCTGCTCTTCTTCTTCTTCTTCTTCTTCTTCTTCTTCTTCTTCTTCTTCTTCTTCTTCTTCTTCTTCTTCTTCTTCTTCTTCTTCTTCTTCTTCTTCTTCTTCTTCTTCTTCTTCTTCTTCTTCTTCTTCTTCTTCTTCTTCTTCTTCTTCTTCTTCTTCTTCTTCTTCTTCTTCTTCTTCTTCTTCTTCTTCTTCTTCTTCTTCTTCTTCTTCTTCTTCTTCTTCTTCTTCTTCTTCTTCTTCTTCTTCTTCTTCTTCTTCTTCTTCTTCTTCTTCTTCTTCTTCTTCTTCTTCTTCTTCTTCTTCTTCTTCTTCTTCTTCTTCTTCTTCTTCTTCTTCTTCTTCTTCTTCTTCTTCTTCTTCTTCTTCTTCTTCTTCTTCTTCTTCTTCTTCTTCTTCTTCTTCTTCTTCTTCTTCTTCTTCTTCTTCTTCTTCTTCTTCTTCTTCTTCTTCTTCTTCTTCTTCTTCTTCTTCTTCTTCTTCTTCTTCTTCTTCTTCTTCTTCTTCTTCTTCTTCTTCTTCTTCTTCTTCTTCTTCTTCTTCTTCTTCTTCTTCTTCTTCTTCTTCTTCTTCTTCTTCTTCTTCTTCTTCTTCTTCTTCTTCTTCTTCTTCTTCTTCTTCTTCTTCTTCTTCTTCTTCTTCTTCTTCTTCTTCTTCTTCTTCTTCTTCTTCTTCTTCTTCTTCTTCTTCTTCTTCTTCTTCTTCTTCTTCTTCTTCTTCTTCTTCTTCTTCTTCTTCTTCTTCTTCTTCTTCTTCTTCTTCTTCTTCTTCTTCTTCTTCTTCTTCTTCTTCTTCTTCTTCTTCTTCTTCTTCTTCTTCTTCTTCTTCTTCTTCTTCTTCTTCTTCTTCTTCTTCTTCTTCTTCTTCTTCTTCTTCTTCTTCTTCTTCTTCTTCTTCTTCTTCTTCTTCTTCTTCTTCTTCTTCTTCTTCTTCTTCTTCTTCTTCTTCTTCTTCTTCTTCTTCTTCTTCTTCTTCTTCTTCTTCTTCTTCTTCTTCTTCTTCTTCTTCTTCTTCTTCTTCTTCTTCTTCTTCTTCTTCTTCTTCTTCTTCTTCTTCTTCTTCTTCTTCTTCTTCTTCTTCTTCTTCTTCTTCTTCTTCTTCTTCTTCTTCTTCTTCTTCTTCTTCTTCTTCTTCTTCTTCTTCTTCTTCTTCTTCTTCTTCTTCTTCTTCTTCTTCTTCTTCTTCTTCTTCTATTATGGCGGATCACAAGCAACTTTAAGGTGCATACCGCCACCTACTGTACATGAGTGTGTAGCAGCGTTACTTCACATCTATTAGATTCTATTTTTTAATTTTGTATTCTTAAGATACAAAAACAATGCTTTCCTTAGTTTATGAATATCTGTTATGTTTCCTTCATTTCCTAATATTCCTTTAAGATTCCATTCATGCCCTATACTTCTAACTATTCTCTTTAATTTTTCCCTTTCGTGTTCATATAACTTACAGTTCATCAGTATGTGTTCTACATTTTCTTTTTCACCACATTTCTCACATTTCTCACTATTTTTCCTCCCTATTAAGTAAAGCATGTCATTTAAGTAGGTATGACCTATTCTTAATCTACTAACTATTATTTCTTCTCTTCTGTTTCTTTCATTAATGTTTCGAATTCGAACTGACTTTTGCACTTCATATAATCTTCTTCCTTTCCTATCTTCGTTCCATATTTTTTGCCATTCCTCCATTTCTTTACTTTTAATAAGTGATTTCCCTTCCCCTTTGCTCTTCTTCTTCCTCTCCTCTATGATGTTTATTTCATAGACAAGTAAAGGTGCGCATTACCGCCACCTTCTGGTAAGGAGTGTGAGTCAGGAATTCCCCTGACAGTTCTTCGTCTTCTTCTTCTTGTTCTTGGATAGCTTGGCGGATTGCAAACAACTAATAGGTGCATACCGCCACCTACTGTACTTGAGTGTGTAGCTCTATAGTTCCACCTACTATATTCTATTTTTTTTTATTTTTTGTGTTATGTAAAAATAAAAACAATTCTTTATTAATAACCAGATTTTCCTCCCTATCTCCATCTGTCCCTAAAATTCCTTTAATACTCCATTCTCTATCCTTTTCCACAATTAGTTTCCTCATCCTCCCTCTTTCAGTTGCATATTGAATGCAATCCATCAAAACACGACCCCCCTTTTTTTTCTTTCACCCCTGACAGTTCATTTACTTAATACATTTAATAAACAACTTAGAGCTTAATAAATAAATTAGAAACTCTCAGGAATACTACAACCGATTTTGCATCATTGAAACAATGATTTGCGTTGCTCTTCTTCTCAATCTTGTTCTTTTTTTGTTTGCATTTTAACAATACATTTGCGCATTATCACCACTAGTCTGCATGATGTGTGGACTGGAAAAGTGTAAAAATCATAATTAAAAAATAACAATCGAGTGTGTTAAATATAATGCAAAACCTCCAACTATACTCTGTCTTGAAACTCCTGGACTCAGACATTGTTTTGAAAATTGATTGTGGTACATATAGTGTAATATTTGCCATTATTATGGAAGTCCCAGATCCAATTTACAATGTGCAATTTGTGCTTTATAATTTGTAATTCAAACTACATGATTTAAATTTTGTCTGTTTTCCTTTTTTTTCAATGACTCTATAGGTCCTCCAAACATTATAGGTTGAAGACTCTTTTGCTGACACAGTGGGAGCCAACCTAGGTGAATAGAGATGATTGGTAAAAGTGTAACTTGGCCAGAATGTATGTGCATTTATATCCCAGAGGAATAACGACAGACAACCTACAGAAGAGGAGCCATTCATCTCTAGATTGTAAATTTCTTCTTTAAGATGTTGACTGTGGCTCATTTCTATATATGACAATCAGTAGAAATGCAATATAAAAACATATATTTTCCTTGTCTCCAAAGCTCTCTGTGAAGCGAATGTAGCTTTGTTTACAGGAGAAAACTGGAACCTATGCACCTAAGAAAGCAAATTGGAAATAAAATTGGAGCATCAGTTAAATATGGGTGAGGTGACCACAAGCAACAAACACAATACAGAATAATTACAGCGTATAGCATCTCTAACTGCTCTGCCATCTCCCACATCAATGGCGTGGATCATGTTCTCATGTGGAACCACATAACCGGGAAATTTTTCACCTCCAATGGTGACTATGTAGCGTAGGATTTTAAACACTCTCTGGGCTGACTAAGGTACTGCAACCTAGCCTTCAGCATCTCTACTGTCATCTCCATCCTGATGATCCATGTTATAACAGGGCTACCCATTATAGCACACATGCACACGCACTCGGACGAGGTCCAATTAGGACAAACAGCAAAATGTCTTCAAGTACAAGGATTGAAAATCAGTTTTTTGATTGATGTCAGGTTAAACTAATAAATAAATATCCTTCAAGATGTTTTGTCTTACACCTATCTACGTATATATAAACAAGAATAATAGATAAATAAATAAAAATAAAAAAACAGATAAAAAATGATCAAATAATATAGGTCTGGTTTGGAAAACGAAAAAACAAGTTCAACCTATTCTCCCACTATCTTTCATTGGTATTTCATCTTTATCACAAGATGTAATCATTTCCCTGACCTTTAACCTCAAGGCTGAGTGGGGGTGCTGTCTTCATTGAAAAATGTGGCGTCAACACTTAATCACAGGCCTAAGATGATCAGTACTGCAGCAGGAACAACTATGGTCCACCACTGATATACATGCAGTGATCACCGTTTGTTCTAGCTAGAACTGTGTTCTAATATTATTAAAACTCTACTAATAATTTGGTTCTGAACAACCTTTGGACAAACCGTTCTATCAGTGTGAGGGGGTCACTTCTGGAACAGCGTCCCAAGAAACATCAGGGAATGTCCCACTTATTGCACTTTTAAAAAGCACCTTAAACAGTTTCCTAAAAGTTCCCAGTCATGCACTCACTAATTTTATTGTCGTAATGTCATTGTCTGAACATGTGTCTATGTGTTTTGACTGATATTGTATTATGTGATCTTGTGTTGTTTTGTCTTCCAGCCTCAGGACGACAGATGTAAATGAGCAACTATGCTATAATCTGGCTCATTTACAATCTGTACAGAAGTATAAGATTGTTCATTAATGTGCTCTGTCCTGATTAAATAAATAAGAAAGAAATAAATAAAACAAATAAAAATTTGCCAAAGGAGCCAGGGTATTTTTCACTGGCACAGATCAGAATGAAACAAATAAAGTTGGTGTAATATTTTGTTTCATACATTTAAGGATATACAGAACCAGAGATTCACCTGAAGCTCTGCAAGATGCAAATGAAAAATGTCTTTCTGCAAAAGCTGAAAGTACATCTAATATCTAACCTGATTTTTTTGGTTTATTTTTATTTTTAATCATATTTTTTTATTTATGTATTATTGTCTATTTTATTCATGCTTTCCACTGTTTAATAATTTTATAATTTATTTACCTATTCCATATATATTTTCTTTCACGATTGTACACAAAAAAACTAGTTTGTGATCCTTCACTAACAATGCAATAAACTGATTAATTTGATTTGATTTGATTCTGATCAAACTATGAGAACTCTTTTTAATTACTTTTACAGGACCAGAGCCATGCAGGCCTGTCGAACCCCTTTTTTGCCTTTGTTAAATAAAAACATAACAATTATGAGCATTTATTGTTGGACAGGCATCATATTGACACATTTTTTTTTCGTGTTTTTTCTCCTTTGTTTCTTCTCTTTCAATATCCCGGCCACGAACTCACGGACCCCATTGCTAGGACTTTTATGAAAAAGGAAAAAATTGTGTAATTTATTTTTTTTTTTTTGCACCTTTAAAAGCTTATTTTTTACAACAATTAATTGAAATAATTTCACAATTTAATTTCTTACAAAAGGAATTTTTTTTTGTAATAATAAATTTATTTTATTTGCTGCTGCGTATACCTAAATATAAGACATCTTTTTTTTGTGATATTTTCCAGAGTTTATTGATAATAAATTTCTGTTTGCAATAGCAATATTTGATGATATAATGTTATTGAAGGTTAAAATATTTTCAATACAAATTATTAAATTAATTTCAAATTAAATATTATTTTTTTAATTAATTTGGATTTTTTTAGAAAGATTTTTCATTAATATTATTAATTTTAACTTAGTTTTTTAACATTTATATCTTGTAACTTTGTATTCTTAGTTTTTGGGTTGTTTTATATTTCTGTCTTTTTGGTTTCTTATTGTCTTTAAATAGTGTAGTATGTTTTTATTATAAATGAAATGTTATTTCTATGTTAATATGTTTGGTTTGTGACCATGTTTACAATGGTTTGCCAAGGAGCAAATTTTTTGTCGAGGGCAAAACTTTTTTATAATGAGAAAAGTATTAAAAATTAATAAAATAACAAAAAATTTTAATTTTAATCCAATAAAAAATTTTAATGTTTTTTTTTCCTCCATTGTAAAATTTTACGAGCTTTTTGGTAGCCCTTACCTATTTTAACAAGTAAACATTGTTTAAAGCTCACATATTTTTATCTAGTAGTTAATTGAAAAATTAATCAGCTATTTATATCTTTATTAATAGAACAAATTTGTTTCTTTTGATTGTATTTTTGCCTCGTTAGTGTTTTTTTTTTCCTTTTTCGGTGTGAAGTATTACCGTTAGGACTGAATTTTTTGAATAGAATGTTTGGAAAGGATAAAAAATTAAGTTCAACACATTTAACATAAAAACATGGTTTGTTTTAAACATTGTAATTGTTTAAATCAATCATGTTACTGGTTATATTCTGTTTTGTAATCTATTTCGTTTCAATCTTGCTACTTCGAGTCTTCATTATGTGGATACAAACTTTAGTCATAGCACTCTCTTTAACTTCTTATTTTATTTTTTTTTTTTATAAATAATTTCTTTTTAATTTTTATTCTCTATTCTTCTTCATTTCTTTCTTTCTTTTCTACTTTTCTCTTTTTTAATTTTCTTTGTTCAATTCTTTCCTCATTTTATTTTATTTTTTCCCCTTTTTATTCTATTTCTCTATATATTTCTATTTTTTCTCATTTTTTCATATTTCACTATTTTTCTTATCTTCTTCTTTTTTCTTCATTTTTATTATATTCTTCTCTTCTTCTCCTTTGCTTTTTCTACTAATGATTTTTCTTTGTTGTCTACATTTTTAAGTTCTAGTTCTTGTCCTTGTGTTGAGTGATCATCACAATGTCATCCCTCTTTATTGTTGTATCATTCAACACTTATTCTTTTTTTTTTTTGTTTATTAATACTTTATTACATTTTAATTTGAAAATTAGATTTATTATCATTCACTTCTTCTTTATCTTTTTTTTATTTTATATTCCTTTCTATCTATATTCTAATAAACCTTATTATATTATTGTTAATTGTTATAATATGAATCTCATATCATTCTTTACATTAAATATTTTCTCCATGTTTTTTATTATAAAAACTCCATTTTCAATCAAGTTTTATAATAATAAAATAATTAAATTTAATCTTATAAATTATGAAAAATAATTTTGTAAACTTGTACTGTTCAATCATTTATTGTTGTTTAATATTATTAATAATTCTGTGTTCTTTAAAATAAAGGTCATATTAATTGATTTTTTTTAAATTAACTGAAATTGTTGAAATTATGAAATATAATATATTCAGCCAGAAATTAATTGCAATTATTTAAATTATAAATACAGGATAAAATAAATAATTTAATAAAGTAATTAGTTAAACAACATGACAATAGTATAAGAAATAATTCTCCAAAGATTGAAATTACTATGGAAACACACACAAAACATATGAAATCTCTATATTGTTTGTTGATTTAAACAATGGAAAGTATATTGCCACTTGTTACTCCTGCATAGTGGATTGACTAGGCATAAATTGACTCAATGAGTGCATACATTAAACATAAATAATACGAAGCTTAGTCATTCCAACAATGATTTTATAGGATCAAAGTTATTCGCAGGTATAAACAGATTTAAATTTTAAATATTAATATAGATATAATATAACTAAATTAATACAATTATACATTAATAAAATAACTACCACTTTAGAAGAAATTTTCTTGAAATAATTCGTTAATAGACTATGTAATTCTTATGTATTGCCATCTTATAACAAGGATGTTATAAAAAATAACATAAATATAAAATTGTTTGAATAGAAATCAATTTCAATTGAGATTTCTTCTAAATTCAACTCTAACAGTTGGTCTTTAAAAACTGTGTTCTAATATGCAAATATTAGGTCAATGCACACTATTTGATACTTTTTGTAAGTTTATTTTTATAAATGATTAATTTTTTTTCACTTAACTGTGAACTTAATTGGTATTTATTCAAGAAATTTACACTTAAAATCTAATTAAATAATTCATATGTTTTTATATAAAGGATATAAATAAATTTGTAGTATTTTTCACCAGAAAATGAAAATAAAGGTTATTGGTCTAAATTTTACTTTAAATTTTATAATTTTGCAACCTAGCCTTCAGCATCTCTACTGTCATCTCCATCCTGATGATCCATGTTATAACAGGGCTACCCATTATAGCACACATGCACACGCACTCGGACGAGGTCCAATTAGGACAAACAGCAAAATGTCTTCAAGTACAAGGATTGAAAATCAGTTTTTTGATTGATGTCAGGTTAAACTAATAAATAAATATCCTTCAAGATGTTTTGTCTTACACCTATCTACGTATATATAAACAAGAATAATAGATAAATAAATAAAAATAAAAAAACAGATAAAAAATGATCAAATAATATAGGTCTGGTTTGGAAAACGAAAAAACAAGTTCAACCTATTCTCCCACTATCTTTCATTGGTATTTCATCTTTATCACAAGATGTAATCATTTCCCTGACCTTTAACCTCAAGGCTGAGTGGGGGTGCTGTCTTCATTGAAAAATGTGGCGTCAACACTTAATCACAGGCCTAAGATGATCAGTACTGCAGCAGGAACAACTATGGTCCACCACTGATATACATGCAGTGATCACCGTTTGTTCTAGCTAGAACTGTGTTCTAATATTATTAAAACTCTACTAATAATTTGGTTCTGAACAACCTTTGGACAAACCGTTCTATCAGTGTGAGGGGGTCACTTCTGGAACAGCGTCCCAAGAAACATCAGGGAATGTCCCACTTATTGCACTTTTAAAAAGCACCTTAAACAGTTTCCTAAAAGTTCCCAGTCATGCACTCACTAATTTTATTGTCGTAATGTCATTGTCTGAACATGTGTCTATGTGTTTTGACTGATATTGTATTATGTGATCTTGTGTTGTTTTGTCTTCCAGCCTCAGGACGACAGATGTAAATGAGCAACTATGCTATAATCTGGCTCATTTACAATCTGTACAGAAGTATAAGATTGTTCATTAATGTGCTCTGTCCTGATTAAATAAATAAGAAAGAAATAAATAAAACAAATAAAAATTTGCCAAAGGAGCCAGGGTATTTTTCACTGGCACAGATCAGAATGAAACAAATAAAGTTGGTGTAATATTTTGTTTCATACATTTAAGGATATACAGAACCAGAGATTCACCTGAAGCTCTGCAAGATGCAAATGAAAAATGTCTTTCTGCAAAAGCTGAAAGTACATCTAATATCTAACCTGAAAATAAGGTTTCCTTGTAAGATGCTATTTTACTTTTTATATTTTATATCCATATTTTTTTTATCTTGAGTGTATATATTAGTCTATTTTATTGCATGCCTTATACCCACAGTGTTTTAGATAATTTTATAATTTTATTTACCTATTCCATATTATATGTTTCATGTTGCACGATTGTACCACAAAAAAATCCTAGTTTGTGAACTCCTTCACTAACAATGGCAATAAACCTGATTCTAATTCTGATTCTGATTCTGATTCTGATCAAGAACATATGAGAACTCTTTTTTTAAATTACGCCTTTTACAGGAGCCAGAGCCAGTGCTGCAGGGCCCATGTCTAGAACAGCCCCTTTTTATGCCTCTTGGTCTCTCTCAGTTAAAAAGCAAATAATCAAAGTGCACAGCCAGAGCACTTTTCTAATTGTTGGAGCAGGTCATCTATTCAGTTTGATCAAAGCCAAACCAACATGTTTTTTTCAGTGTTTCTGTTGAGTCTCTGTGTTTTCTTCCTCCTTTTTCAACTTCAGCCTCGGAGACCCAAGAACTTCCCACCAGGACCCCCCAGTCTGCCTCTACTGGGAAACCTTTTATCCCTGAACATAAAGGACCCCTTAAATGACATTGAAAGGGTAAGAAGGAAATTGTTGAATGTTTTTAGTTTCCTTTTGTGTGCAGCCACCTTTTAAACAGCTTATTTTTCATACACTACCAGAAATTAATGTGATGCAAATAACTTTCCAACAAGTTTAATCTTCCTAGTGACAAAACGGAAAATCATTTATCTCTTTCATGATACATGTAATTAAATTATTTTAATTGGCCTGGCTGGGCCTGTATACCTCATAAATGAAGTACATCCTTATCATTTTGTTTGCTGTGTATATTTTCCCAGATGGCCCTTTATTGGACTAATAAATGTTCCTGTTCTGCACAATAAGCTAATATTTGATGATATAATTGTTACTTGAAGGTTAAAGAAAACTTTGAACTTTACTACAATGCAGCAAAGTTAAACATTGAAAATCTGAGATTTCCACAATACAATAGTTAAAAATGATTCAATGTGTGTCTTTTGTTAATTAATAGTTTGGATTTTTTGTTTCCAGAAAAGCATTAATTCACATTAATACTTTAAAAGTCAGGATTATCTTTCAGTTTTGATGTAACTGTGAAATAAAGTCTTCTGCTAAAATCAATCCTTATTTAATCTCCTTCAGAGCATGACTTGTTGAGGTCGTTAGTTATTCTTAGATCTCTTTCTGTTGGGGTTGTCCTTATCTTATGAATTGCTGGCTCATTTTTTACTTGTCACGATTTAGTGATCAATCTATGGTGTTTCTTTGAAACATGTTTACATTAAGGATGTGCATGGTTAAGAATGTATTTTCTTTCAGCTCAGACAGTCATATGGAAATGTCTACAGCCTGTTTTTTGGTCTGAAACCAGTTGTTATCATCAATGGGTTTAAGGCCATGAGGGAGGCAATGGTGATCAAAGCTGCCGATTTTGCTGGAAGGGCGCAAAACACTTTTCTTACTGCCATTAATGACAGCAAAGGTATTGTCTGTGTTTTGTAACATAATGCACGAAAAAAGTCAGTAGCAAGACAAATTTGTAATTTTATATCTCAGACACTAAAAACAATTGTGAAAAAGTGTTTCATTTTCCCATCCAATTGTTAAAAAAATGTATTGATTGCTAGCTTTGTGTTGGAAGTAGTCCCATCCATTTTTAGCCATTCACTTTATCCTCCAAAACAACAACAACATTGTTTAGAAAGCCGCTGCTGCACAGCTACATGTATTTTATACGCATAGGTAGGTAAAACTTGTATAAAATTCTAATAAAATTCAGTCTATTTTTGGATAACTCTAGTTTATTTGTTAAAATTTCTCAGGTCAACAAACAAGATTATTCCATCTTTTTGCTCTCTGTATATCCTTTTGCTCTCTGCACAGAGAAGTTGAAGCTTGAAGGCCTTTTTTTGTGTCTCCCGTGTTTATCGTAGGTGTGATAACAGTTGATTATAGCCCGCTGTGGAGGGACACTCGACGCTTTATTCTGATGACTCTGAAGAACTTTGGTTTGGGAAAGAAGTCGATGGAAGACAGAATCCATGAAGAGATTCAATACACAATTAAAACACTAGAAAACAACATTGGTGTGTGACCTGTGGTTTTAAACATTGATGCGTAAAGTTGTTTTAAACTCCAAATCAAGATGGTAACTGATGTTATTCTATTCTGTTTTTCCAGGTAAAGCCTTCTGTCCTCAGTTTGTGTTTCATAATGCTGTCTCCAACATCATCTGCAAGGTGCTGTTTGGAACACGTTATGAGTACGACGATGACACGATCAAAACACTTATTCAGTGCTTTAAAAGGATTAATAAAATACTCAATGGACCATGGGCTCTGGTGAGTCAAAGATCTTTAGCAGGAAAGTAGATTGCTCATCATTCTCAACTCGGACACCTCCTGCTAGGATTCTTGCTTTACTCTTAGTTCTCACATTATTCTTCAAATATACCCTTACTTGCTTTCAAGCTTTATAGAGTAGCCCAACAAAGTCTTGTTATGGCTTAAAAGACATGTTAATTGAACCAAAAGAACAGGTTCACCTCTAGTAATGGGGAGTCCTGTGGAATTGACCTGTGCCAGAGGTTTGTTTTTGAACTTTTTTGGAATGAATATGACCTGGATGACGTAGAATCTTCACCAGCATATTTCTGAATTTTCCATCCCACCTTACAAACACTCTGCTCTCTTTCCCTCTCTTGTCTGGTTTGTTGAATCCAATGTCTTCTCCATTAAATGCTAAGGTTGATTAACAAGTTGTCTTTATCTCTGGTGTTTTGCATGAAGCTGGGACCATTTAAATGATCATTAGTGATTTACAGGCCAATGAAAGGATCTTCTCACTATTTTTTCCATAGTATTTGCCATGCTTGTATCAATTCTGCTCCCAACATCTGAATTTTCTTTTATCACCTTCTTTCCTGCTTGTTCTCTTGCTGTCTAATAATCTTCTCTTCCCCCTACTCATCTTCATCCTTGCTCTCCCCACCCCCCATTTTTTCACTTAAAGGATCACTAACAGCACCCCATAGACCAACAGCGCTTAAAGGGGCACTGGTGTGTTTGATGTAGAGTATTAAAGAGTGTTTGATCTGGTAGATTTTACTCAGTGGGCAGCTCGCAATATGGCTATGTTGTTTAAAGTAAAAACCAAAGAAACAAAAAAAAAAAAATTTTAATGCTTAAATAGCAGTGTATGTTGGCAGTTTTATTTTATTTCTGTCATTCAGAATCTGTTCCCTAATATTATTGTGACCTTGTCACAATAATAGTGACAATAGCAGTTAAGATAAAAAATCACACAAAGGTATTTAACTTTTAACTTGTATTTTTGAAACTTTATCTTAAGATAAATGAAAATTTCTCCACTTGAGGATTTATTATACAAACAGAACCATTTTTTTAATTCAACTGATGTACAGCAATAATTTCTCTTTTCTCACAGCTCTATGACTCCATCCCTTTAATCCGCCGCCTGCCGTTGCCCTACAACACAGCCTTTGAGGATGTTGAGGTAATGTATGATACTGTATAAAGTTTGCACATAGGTATAGATACTCTGGAAAGAGGACATTCTCACATTTCTCATGGTGAGAGGTTGGGTGCTATTGGCTTTGAGTTACCCCTGTAGGTTACCGTTCTCCACTGTAATCGTTTTGCTTGTACTTTGTATAAAATCTCAGTGAGTTTCTATATTCCTGGTAGATTCCTGCATGCTTTACATAATGCTGCAGTCATGTTACTGGATTTAGAGTCATGGGTAGATATTTGAATCCTACAAAAGATAAAAGGTATTTCAAAGATACCCAAGGAAAGGAATCCGGCATTAAGATTGTTCAAACTTGAATAAAGACCAATGAAATTACAGCTATGAGGGCCTGTAATTTTTTCAATATTCAAAGATTTAAAAAAAGAAGTCTCCAGCTGATGTTCAGGACCCTCTGGAAAAAGTCTTACAGTTTCAAGATGCACATTGGAGAAAATGGACTTCATAGTGAAGTTACCTCAAAAAGGCAAAGTTATTAGGATGTTTAAGAAGCAAACAAGACCTGGAAGAATCCTTCCCAGGACTGGTTTGCATAAGGTGATAAGAAGAGTTGGATTTAGGGCTCCTATCAGATTTGGAGAAGTCTGAGAGAGGGAGCAAAGGTTAATCGCCTGGGATGGAAAACAATAATAATTAATTGGTTACTTGCTGAAAAGTAATTGCGAACAAGGCTCAAACAGAAGCAATTATGCCTGTAGCATCAGATTCTAACTACTGGTCCTTTTCCAGCATTCCCAGCTCAGCATGACATGACATGGCTCGGCTTTGCTTACTTTTTAGGATTTTCCATTAGTAATAATTAGCTTACCGGTACTTATGTGTTTGTATTTAACCCTAATTTATAAACATTGTTTCGGTGAGACTCAAGATCTAATTTATGAGAGAGACTTATTTGAAAAGGGGAAGAAGAGTTGCATGGTTACTTGGATGAGACCCTTTGGATCTTCCAACTGGTCCAAATTGTGTGAAAATTTGCAGGAATTAGATCTGTTGCCATGTTAACAAAAACCTTCAGTGACATTAAAAGGGACACAGGTCTTTTTGGTCTTTTAAAACCACAAATCTCTGATATTACAATGATAAAATTGATATAACAGTAGGTCCCATCCTTCTTTAAACAGGTAAAAAAAATGATCAACAAAAGTAATGAGTATTTTGTACCCTGTAGATAATTACATATACTGCTATTAAAATAAGAGAATGGAAATATTTTTTGGGATAATCTTATTTCTTTGGCAGATCATTTTACTTACCTGCTCAAATCAAGTACAAATTTCCCTTCTTTCAAGAAAACTGTGATTATTCCAGTTCACTCTTTGCAGTGTAACTGATATCACACCCAATGCTACGAGGAGTTTTAGAAAAAAACAACAACACACAATTGTGTTGTTATCTGTGTGCCTTGTTTCATGGCGCATTAAAAAGAGATTCTGCCAAGAAGTTTAGACTTATGAGCGAAATCATAAATAAAAAAAAAACAATCAAAAAACAATCAAGAAAAACAATCTAAAGTTATGAAAAGAATTAATAGACTGCTTATATTCTTTGTTAGGTTAATTGTATTGTTTGGGTGACTTACCTTAACAGCAAAATGTAAGAAAGCAAGGATGCTCTTATATATTTTTTCCCCATTTACTTTATAGAGGAAACATTGTTTTAAGAAAGTTCTATCTCTTAGCTTATCCTGGATATCGCGCAAGATTTGGTGAATGAACACAAGAAGACCAGAGTCCCTGGAGAGCCGCGAGATTTTGTTGACTGCTATCTGGACGAGCTTGAAAAGGTGTGTTTGAAAAAAAAAAAGCTTTTTGCAAGTTTTACAATAAGGAATAAATACAAACATTTTTGCTAATTTAGCTTCTTTTCACTATTTAAAGCTAGAACTTAATTTGCATGCACAAGCTTAGATATCATAAAAGTGTTATACTGACTTTGTGGATCTGCTGATGAAGAGTTTTATGTTAATTTTATGCAACACCTTTCTCGTCTGTGCAAATCCTCACTCATCTGGGTCATGGCAACCACAAAACATGCTAAAATCAGAGGCAAACCGACTTTCTGAACTGACAAAGACTCCTATATAGGTTTTGAAACGTTTTCCAAAAAAACTATAAAGTCCGGTTGCCTTTAATTTACCGTAATTAGGCTGATTGGTGGATTACACCTTTTACAGATAAAATCACAAAGTCCTGTAAATAATGCAAATAACAGAGCAAAAACATAAGCCTTATGAAAAACAATGTGAACTATGACAGGCTTTTATTTTGCCTAAAAAGGGCTTTCTACGTTGAGTCAAAATGGGGGATTTAATTTGCACAGAAATATTTCCTTCAACAGAAAACAATTAAATCCTAAGCATTCTAATTCAGCATTCTACAGAGCTGAGTATTTAACTTTTAGAGTTACTGTTTTCTGCACTCTCAGAAGGGAGGCAGGCATGAATAGATTTGAGCATAATCCTTTCCCTCTACATGGAACAGATCAGACTGTTTGACAAAAAAAACATCTCTTCTTCTGGAAAGCAGTTACTTTCCTTATGTGCTCTCTTCAGCATATCAAAGCATATCTTCTGCAGAACATGCAATGAAAAAATAAGCAGAACATTTAGATAAGAGTTTGTCTGAATACATTTAACCAAAGTTATTGATTTTAAATAATTTTCTTTGTCTTGGAATATTCAGAGAGATGATGATTCCACGTTCTTTGAGGAGCAGCTAAAAAGAGTCACTCTTGATCTCTACTCTGCTGGGACGGACACCACCTCCAACACCCTCCTGTCTGGGTTTCTATATCTCATGAAATACCCCCACATACAAGGTACACTTAGGCCTAGTCCACAACAAGAAGACCATGCTATATTTTTTATAGATGGCTTAGAAAAAAAGCACCAAATACTGGTGGAGCTTGTAAAACTGTCACAGAATCCCACCTAAACCATTCACAAAAACGTTGGATGTGCACAGAAAGCTCACCCAACGTAAACAAAGACTAGATCCAAATACCTCCAATTGATAAGGATACTAAATCGTGGCATTGGTGCTTCCACAGTAATAACAGGTGCCATCTGAATAGTGGTGGGAGTTAGTAAGGAACCAGGACCAGGAAGCAGTATGCTTCCAAGTGCCGATACAGTAAGCATAGGCACCACATCTAGACAAGGCTAGATGTGAGTCTGATCTTCTGAGGAGTTAGTAAGATTAGACTCACATCTAGCCTTTTCAAGCAGATGTTGTAATAGGCTGAGCTACAACGCCATGGTTAAAAAGAAAAATCTGGCTGGCATGTCTACAAAGAAACATGAAACTGGTATACTCACTTATCTTCTTATATTTTTTTACTCCGGGATAGTAGATGCTTTCCCAAAACATCTTGTTTATGATGTTATTTAAAGTATTTGTTCTGAGTGATCTCTTCTCAGGACAGAATCGGGAGAGAAAATTTAAAGATGTGAACATAGATGTAACGACCCGTGTAGGGGTGGCCAGACCATAGCATGAAGGACCCTTACTCTTCAGATACCAAGAAGCCAAAGCACATGAAGTTGAACATTTTATAATGTTTATTTTACACAGATGTATTTTTTATTTATATGTTACAAATGGAGCATATGGCTCCAGGGTGAACTATAATGCTGAAAACAACAAACAAAAGGCAACTATCTGACTATAAACAAAAACTTACCTAATTAAAAGTAAATAAACCAAGTGACAAAAACTTTCTTCCCTAATTAAGAAAAACATTAGAAAACTAAATCAACATGATTGGCAGCTCATTCCTGTAAACTCTAAAGCTTTACATGGTATTAACAGACAAACAGTGTGGCCTGTTGAGATGAGTTGAGGATGGTCAGCAGGTAATCAACGTCTGCAGCTTTTATATCCATCACCTCCGGAAGGACACCAATTGGACATCTCTGTCATCTTGCAGGAACCAATCAGAGAGAGACACCTACCCACTCATATTTGTATAATTAAGTTGACGACAATAGAGCTTTCTATAACAACCTAATCTAGTCTCTGTCTTAAAAGGGCCTCATGTGAAAACACAAAATTAAAGGACTCAAAATGCATATTAGGATCTTTAAATTGTCTTGTTTTGCTTCCCCAGAACAATGTCAGCAGGAGATAGACCGGGTGCTGGACGGACAGGATAAGGTCTCTTACGAGAACAGACACAACATGCCTTACACGCAGGTGTTGTGCATGCTTCGCTATCTTATTTCACCAAGTGAAAAATTGATTTTAAAACATGTTTTAGTGATTATGATTTTTCATTTACATTTAAGATTATGATGCAGGATTGCAGTGGACTAACTTGAAGAAAACCAAAAACTTTTTTTATAAAAAACATGTTTAAAATCGGATTGTTGATGAGGGAAGCTTTTTGAACCAGCACCACAGTCGAGTTCATTTTGCCTTGCTGATATCTGGCTGCTTACTTACCTTCTTTGACTTTGAGCTCTCATTTTTGCTTTTACTAAGAGCCTGAATGCTTACCTTACCATAATAAGGAAAATGTTTTCTTCAAGGCTGTGATTCATGAGATTCAAAGGATTACCAGCTTAGTCCCTCTCAGTGTCTTTCACTGCACGACTAAGGACACGGAGCTCTCGGGATACTCCATTCCCCAGGTAGGTGGCAGGTTACTTTGATTTTAGGAGTTATTTAATATAGCTATATGCCAAAAATAAAAAAAGGAAACCTTAGTGTTTTCATTGTCTTTTTTGATTCTCTTCAGGGTACAATAGTCATCCAGAATCTGACCTCAGTGCTGAGAGAGGAGGGGCAGTGGAAATTCCCTCACGAGTTCAACCCTGAAAACTTTCTGAATGATCAGGGAGAGTTTTTAAAGCCACAGGCCTTCATGCCTTTCTCAGCAGGTATATGTAGATCTCCGTCTGTGGGGCTTAGAATAAAAAAAGAAACAGGCATACACAGCAAGGTGTGTTGAAATGACTCAATGGCTTTTTTGTGAATCAGGTTTTCGGATCTGCCCTGGAGAGGGTCTTGCTCGCATGGAGCTCTTCCTCATCCTAGTGACTCTGCTGAGGAAGTTCAAGTTCGTCTGGCCAAAGGATGCAGGAGAACCAGACTTCACGCCTGTCTATGGAGCAATTTTGAGTCCGAAACCTTATTTGATGAAGGTCCATCTGAGGTGAAACCAGTTAGAGGTTTTGAGGACGCTCAGCTGACTCTATGATAGGGATGGACATATGCAATATATTTCCAACCCATAATTTAGTGCTTGCCAACACTGAGTACAGATATAAATGTAAACAAATTTCAACAGTCTGGCTGTTTAAAGTCATGCTGTGCAGCTACTGTGCTGCAGCTAGCACTGCAGTAGCCCCTCCTACTGCTGGTGCCATTTGTCCTCTTCTGCTTTATCTTCTTCCTGAATTTTTTTTAATTGGTGGTTGAGAGCCACGTGCATAAACACATGATTTAGTAATGATTATGTATCTCATGACAGAAAAATAAGATTAAATAAATACTGAAAAATAATCCACAAAACAAAAACTAATACCCCTCAATGCCTTGTTATTGCCTTGCCCACAGTCCATATATTCCTTAAGCCTTAACATATAAAGAAGATGAACAGCGGCCTTATTAATTATTTGTATCCTCTTAGTTTTGGATTTAACAAAGAAAGTAGCATCAACTACATGTAACAACTAAGTGTATTTTCTCATTTTATGCAAATGTCTGGACAATTTTATCCTCCACTGAATCTTGCTCTCTTTGCCCCTTCCCTGTTTCTCTAAGTACTGATTCACTTAGAGAATGAAACTTTCTCACTATCTTTCATCTTCTGCAGAATAATCTCTTTTTTTTTTCGTAACCTCACGTTCCCAAAAGGCCACTCTATGATTTCCTCTACTTTGGCTGCACTCTCTCTCCACACTTACCATATTCATAATCACCATGAAACCTTGTACACCTTTTCTTTTTGCACTCTCTTGCCATATGACCAAAATTCCTGATACCTGTAACATCTCCGAGGCCCAGAATTGTATTCTATTACACTGAACAGAAAACAAAAAAAAAGCAACCCAATTAACACATCCTTTTTCTCAACCTCTCTATTCAATCTTTTTTGCACTTTTTAACTATTTTATTTTGCACCTGTTTGTTCAATACAAGCGTATACATCTCTATTACTAAAGACACACCAGAAATAATGCCTCTACGTACTTGGGGGTCAGACTAGTCTCCTACTTTAGCAAATTTACTCACCTTTGCATTTTTTCCATTTCCATTTCATTGTTTTCCCAATCAGTTTATAAACACCACACCCACTCTTGAAATTAGAATATCTGAGAACTCTGACATTACCCACCTCACTAATTTTCTCTCTAATTATTATGGTAAGTTTCATAGGACTACATTTCTTTATCCTATACACAACTTCAAACATACTAGAATATTTCTCCTCCTTATATTATCCTCCTTACTCTCTGTTCCTTCTACACTAGATTCTTCCTCCATTCTCTGGCTTTTACCAAACTTCAGTCATTTCATTTCCTCTACTTCCCTCTACTTTCTCAAGAAGGACGCGTTTGTCCTTATGTGGTCTTTCTGTTTTGCCCGATTTGAAGGATGGGTATGGTGTATCCTATGTAGCCATGGTTATCCCATAATCCGTCCAAGCAAGCCGGCTTCTCTGTGCTCAGAGGGAAAATGTACTTGGCACTGTACAGTGGTAAATATTGGAAGTACAGTTTAAAATAATGCAAGTATGTGAATAGTTCCGTCTGAAATGAATGAAAATAGTTGTTTTAATTGTTATTGAGTCAGATATGTGGCAGGTATGGTTTTGTTTATTGAAAGGTTTTTATCTGTCCCTGTGTAAATGGGTTTGGGGGATATTCAAGGACTGTCATGATCTGGCCTGTTTGCTCCTCCCTAATTAGTAATTCCTCTCACCTGCCCTCTTCCTTCCCTGCCTCAATTATAATTTATTCCCCTCACCTGTATCCTCTGGTTTATATTCAGTTCAGCCTGAGCATTCAGTGCCAGATCATTGCTTGTCTTTCTGTCAGTCTTTCTGTTCAGTTTTTATTTGGTTCATGTCCTGGATCCTAGCTGCCAGTGGAAAGAGGGTTTTAGTGTTTGTCTCGTCTCCTGATCGTCCACTGTTCCTCCCCTGCGGAGTCCTCTGGGTTTTTGGCTCATTATGGGGGGAGGTTAAGTTTTTATCTAAGTAAGCCTGGCTCCAGGGAGGAGACCAGTTTAAAGTCTGCTTCAAGTTCCGGTTCCACGTCCTGTCTCGGCTACCCTCTTCCACTGTGCCTGCCTGTCTGCACCTGATCCAGTCTGCTCCTGTGCGTGACCAACTGGTCATGCTTCTGGTCCCAGTAAGACTCTGAACCCTCCTGGAAGCCTGTGGATGCATGGAAGTCTGGATCCTGCCACCTGTCTCTGTTCCTGTCTGTTCTGGATCCCTCACCAGGATCAGCTTCCACCATCACCTCTGGGACTGCAGCACTGGGGACACTCATGGTCTGGACTGTTAAACCAGGTAAGTGACCAACACAGTTAATCTTCTGTCAGATGATTGTGGTCACTTACCTGTGTTTCTCCCCCAGAGTGTCTGAGATTGGGCGGTGCCCCGCCCCCCCGCCTGCAGTGTCCGCGAGCCACAGCTCCGCTTTCGTTTCTGTTTTATTTTAATAAACCTTTTGAACTTTCCTACTGACTGTCTCTCCTGAATACTGGGTCCCTCTGTCCTCAGTTCATGACAAGGACAGATTCTAATATATATGCAATGTAGAGGAGTATAAATCTGATACGATGCAGCTGTTGAAGCTCCTCGAAAATGAAATGTTAAATGAATAAAAAGAAACAACAGTTAGAAGTTCGGTATTCTTTGTTTTCCTGCTTTGTGTGTCAACCCTCATGGTTGCTAGAAAAAAAGTGGCTCTATCTGGTCCTTTAGTAGGCCAACTATCTAGTTAAAGAAATTAAAAACCCTACCTTGTTTTCCTTTATCCTGTTAACTCAACAAGATGTTTTGCCCCTGTTCGTGTAGTGAGGCTAAAACTGCAAATGATTGGATCAAGTATCTGTACAGTATTTTTACTTTCTGGACCTGGATTGTGCATGTCTCTGAATATGCACAATCCATTAATAAGCTGATAGTTTTAACTGCATGGTAGGACTTGCTAAGTGGTCTTTGCTAAGTCAATAAACAGATTAAAGCGGAACTCTTTGTTATTTTTGCCATCACAGCAAGCATGGGGTTTCCCCAACTAAGTTAGCACAATCGTTGTTAGTATTCATAATTCATTTATTCGTTATAGCATTCTCTTACTGTTTTAAATGGCTGTCTGTTGTGTTCAGAGAGTTAGGACCCAGAATTTATCCAGAACAAGCAAGGTTTAGAGACAGTTTATTTATAGGTAAACTGCAGCAGGTCGTAGGATTATCGTTAGAGTCTCTGATAGGAACCTCTGGAGGTGGATGGATAACAGTGAGCACTGGCTCCAGCTGGTTGATAGGCATGCTAACGATCCCCGCTCTGATCAGGGGAACCCTGAGATGGGCACTAGCTGAGATGTTCTCTGTGGTCAGGGGTCAGACAGGGGATCAGAGCCGTGATGACGATTACTGAAAAAAGGTCCAGAAGGAATTTCCAAAATCTGTAGTCAGAAATGAGGTCCAGGGTAAGAGCCAGGTGATCCGAGGTCTAGAGAGAATTCAGAGGGAAATCCAAGATAGAGTCAGGGTACAGATCCAGGTCCAGTAACAGGCAGGCTTACAGATCAGACAGGGGTCAGGCTGACCAGGTAATCAGGAGACAGAGCAGGTCAGGCAAACAGGCAGGCAATCAGACCAGTCAGGGGTCAGGCAGCCTCTGTTGTCAAGAGACAGAACTGGTCAGGCAGTCAGGAACAGAATAAATCTCACATATGACTCAAAATAATTTGGTCTGGTCTGGTTTGATCTGACTAGTTATATACTGATAGGTGCAGGTGGATCAGATGAGTTGTTGCCAGAATGGAGCAGAGCTGCGCAGATGTGTCTTGTGAGGAATCAGACCAGCAGTGCATAGATCATGACACAGGCTGCGTCCAAACCTCCTCCCCAATCACTATATAGGGCACTATATAGTAGTTACGTCATTTTAGATGAGTGTCCGAAGGTCTAGTGGATGAAAAAGTAGTGGACTCAAAATTTTCCACAATGCACCTTGAAAAGTAGTGGTCATCCATGCTCACTGGACGAGCAGATATATCCCGGAATGTTCAGTTAACATAGTGAACTCAGTTAATTGAGTTACCTCTCGCAAATGCTGTTACAGGCCTACATTTACTTGAATTGGCCAAGTTTTTATTTTTGTATTTGTATTTTTAAAATGTCTATTGGAATATAAAGAGGCAATACAATCTTACAAAAACGGTATACCAAATATCACAATACATTTACTTATTTACATTAAGCTACAAAATTTTAATTCTTAGTCCTTTCATTGCCTATGTTTTTTTTTTTTTTTTGGCAGATTTTGAAAAAAATACGTATTCAATTTAGAAATAACAAAAACAAGATGCTTTGTGATTATATTGAAATTATGATGAAAAATTTAGCAAAGATTAATATCAAATGTACAGGTGCTGGTCATAAAATTAGAATATCATGAAAAAGTAGATTGATTTCAGTAATTCCATTTAAAAAGTGAAACTTGTATATTATATTCATACATTACATACAAACTCATATATTTCAGATGTTTATTTTGTTTAATTTTGATGATTACAAATGACAACAAATGAAAATCTCAAATTCATCATATCAGAAAATTAGAATATTACTGAAGACCAATAAAAACAAAGGATTTATAGAAATGTTGGCCAACTGAAAAGTATGAACATGAAAAGTATGAGCATGTACAGCACTCAGTATTTAGTTGGGCCTCCTTTGGCCTGTATTACTGCAGCAATGCGGCGTGGCATGGAGTCGATCAGTCTGTGGCACTGCTCAGGTGTTATGATAGCCCAGGTTGCTCTAATAGTGGCTTTTAGCTCTTCTGAATTGTTGGGTCTGGTGTATTGCATCTTCTTCTTCACAATACCCCATAGATTTTCTATGGGGTTAAGGTCAGGAGAGTTTGCTGGCCAATTAAGAACAGGGATACCATGGTCCTTCAACCAGGTACTGGTAGCTTTGGCACTGTGTGCAGGTGCCAAGTCCTGTTGGAAAATGAAATCTGCATCTCCAAAAAGTTGGTCAGCTGCAGGAAGCATGAAGTGCTCTAAAACTTCCTGGTATGTGGCTGCGTTGACCCTGGACCTCAGAAAACACAATGGACCAACACCAGCAGATGACATGGCACCCCAAACCATCACTGACTGTGGAAACTTTACACTGGACTTCAAGCAACGTGGATGAAGTGCCTCTCTTCTTTTCCTCCAGACTCTGGGACCTTGATTTCCAAAGGAAATGCAAAATTTACTTTCATCAGAGAACATGACTTTGGACCACTCACCAGCAGTCCAGTCCTGTTTCTCTTTAGACGCTTCTGACGCTGTCTGTGGTTCAAGAGTGGCTTGACACAAGGAATGCGACAGCAGAAACCCATGTCTTTCATACGTCTGTGTGTGGTGGTTCTTGAAGCACTCACTCCAGCTGCAGTCCACTCTTTGTGAAGCTCCCCCACATTTTTGAATGGGTTTTGTTTCACAATCCTCTCCAGGGTGCGGTTATCTCTCTTGCTTGTACACTTTTTTCGACCACATCTTTTCCTTCCCTTCGCCTCTCTATTAATGTGCTTGGACACTGAGCTCTGTGAACAGCCAGCCTCTTTAGCGATGACCTTTTCTGTCTTGCCCTCCTTGTGCAAGGTGTCGATGGTCGTCTTTTGGACAACTGTCAAGTCAGCAGTCTTCCCCATGATTGTGTAGCCTATAGAACTAGACTGAAAGACCATTTAAAGGCTTTTGCAGGTGGTTTGAGTTAATTAGCTGATTAGAGTGTGGCACCAGGGGCCATCAATTTTGAACCTTTTCACAATATTCTAATTTTCTGATATGATGAATTTGAGATTTTCATTTGTTGTCATTTGTAATCATCAAAATTAAACAAAATAAATATCTGAAATATATGAGTTTGTATGTAATGTATGAATATAATATACAAGTTTCACTTTTTAAATGGAATTACTGAAATCAATCTACTTTTTCATGATATTCTAATTTTATGACCAGCACCTGTATTAGGGAGTAGGATTTTTAAATCAGCCAATGATGTTTGGGGGAAATGAAGAAAAATGCATGTCTCCTCCAGTCCAAAGTGTGGAGGTAATAAGAAATCAAAGACATCATATATGATTTCCTGCCCATACCTCAGCACAGCATTCCCTTCTGACACTGTAATTTAAAATGGATTTTCAGGTATTCAGTCTCAACCATCTGATCAGCTGAAAAGTCCATAAACAGCTGAAAGTATCAGGCTAAAAGAGGCTATTGTGTGAAATTGGATTGTATTTAAATGTCAAAGAAACCATCATTCCATCTGATATACAGTAGCACCATCTAGTGTTTTGAAATCTAAAATACATAAACCCACTAAGAGAAAGTCCTCTTCACCTGCAGGATACATTTAAGTATCCTCTCTCAGATGAATGCATCTGATAGTCATCTATTCAGCTAAAGCATATTTAAATGTTAGTCCTAAAAAAAATCATTGATTGTTTATGTACAAACGTTACATAGAACTGAAAAGATTTCTATCTAACAATCATTGTTGTTTCAGTATCATTGGATCTAATGTCAGACATGTCTCTTTATGCAGCCAACCAGCGACTTTATCTGTGTTCTCTAGTGCAGTGTTTTTCAACCCTGGTCCTTGAGGCACACTGCCCTGTATGTTTTAGATGTTTCCCAGCTTTCACACACCTGTTATCAATTGATAGCAGATAATTGCTGAACTGCAATCATCTGAATCAGGTGTGCTGAAGCTCAGAAAAATCCAAAACATGCAGTGCAGTATGCCTTGAGGACCAGGTTTGAAAAACACTGGTCTATTGTACAACTTGGAACACAACTGGGTAGTTTTTACTTGCTGGTCAGCATTTTTTTTTATTTATGTGAAAAATGCAAAATCATTTGAAGATGCAAGCATCACTACACTGAATCTAAGTAATGTGAAAATACAATCATTTATTCTAAAAGATTGACATTTATGTAATGTGTTTATCATATGCAAAAAATGTTTAACTGCTCCAACAGCAATAGATTCCATATCATATTACAAACACTTTAAAACATTTAAAATTGCAAAATTATTTAAGTTGCCGATAACTGTCAATTTCTTTTTGAAGACTCATTAATTTTGTTTAAATTTTATCACATTTGGGCGTAGTTTATTCATATCTTACATTGGTGACACAAAACTTTTCCTTTTATCTCTCTTCCAATAGTTTAATATCACTGATGTTTGGTAAGTCATATAAGTTTAATTACATTTTTCAACAAAAGATATTTCAATGTTTTTCCAGCTTATTAAGAAACTTGCATCTTGTTTCCCTTTATGATGTATTCTTACAAGTTTCAATCAATATACACACAAACTTTATAAGATTGATTTCATTATATTCCATATGGGTGCGAAGGTTATAGTGAAAATCTACCAGAAGTAATTCTCAAAAATCCTTGATGTGGTCTGCTCTGTATCTATAAACCGAAAAATAAATTGTGTTTTAAAGATGTTTAAAAGTCCCAAATAGTAGTTTTTAAAAGCCAGATGAAATAATTAAAACATACTGATAATTTGTGCATCTCTTCACAATTCAATATACTCTAATAAAGGTGTGGATGACTATAAATAGCTAGACCTATATAGGATTTTTTTTCTGAAGCGCAAAAAAAAAAAAACTCATTTGATTTTAGTTTTCATAATAATGCAGTTTGGTTTTTTTCAACATTATAACAGTTACAGTCACTCAGGTATAATACAAGATGCATCTTTTCTGTATGAACACAGTGACAGTGAGGCCAGTGGTGTCCGGGTCAACCAGCACCCCTTTCATGGTTTACAATAGAACCTTTTTTATGTCATCAGTGTATTGTTGAACTCTTTGGATTGTCACAGAGAGGCCACGTGGGGGTTGTCTTGTATTCTGTGTGCTGACCTGGACCTTCTGTGAAAATGTTTAGTTGGATGATGACAGGCGGTGTAGGATGAGGAAAAATCTTTTGCTGTAAATAGAGGAAGAAACATTTGTCACAGTCAAACAACTGAGATGGATCCAAAGAGGCAAACCTGGGATTATCAGTGAGGAATCACTCTTTAACATGGACTAATCAGGGAAGCTGCACTTTCAACACATAAAGAAGTTACCATACATTTGGTTTCCCTGCTGTGAAGTGGACGAGGTGAGAAAATGCAGGAGTCTCCAGGTATCGCAGGTGCGGATGGCAACTATGCCAACAACGTGCCAGCTTTCCTCACCAAGCTGTGGACGTTGGTGGAGAATCCAGAAACCAACCACCTCATCTGCTGGAGCGCTGTGAGTCCAACCCATAAAAAAAAAAAAAAAAACTATATATAATGTTGGTTTATAAATCCTTTGTAATAAGTTCTTAAAGCCGAAATAATTCAGATAATGTAGTAGTAAATAAGATCTGAATGTGTTTTTTTTTTTTTTGACTGAAAGATCTGAAAATAAGATTAAAGATTCAACATTTGACGTGTGGCATTCTTTTCCAACCCTTCCACGATAACAGATGCTATTATAAGCTCAGTCAGATATTTTGAAGTAGATAGACATCTTTGCGAATAGTCTCATGTTGCCTGTTTTAAAAAAAAAACCATATATATATATTTGAGCAAGAAGACCTTTGTTACCCTAACAAAGCATATCAGATGCACAGGCATTACAGAACATAGGAAAGTTTTCCAGGTTTGTTTCACTGCAAAATGTAGAAAACCAAGACTTTATTAACCTGTGACATAATTTCAAATTTGCATGGAGAAGAATTTACTTGGAATCATATTCCAGATAAGAAACATCATTGTGAATAACACTATAAAAAACAAACTTGGGAAGATATTGCTAGATTCTCTCGCACGCATTGATTTACTCTACATTTTTGAAAAGTACATTAAGAAGACAAGATTTAAAGCAATAATTATGCATTAAGGTCCAAAATGGCCTGTCTTTAAGATATCATCTTTTCCACTGACCTCCATTTAATTTTCATCAGCACAATGAAAAACGACATTCTGCAGCTATTGGAAAGGCTAAGGAACAGGGGTCCTGCTGATGATGCTGACTGGTCATGCGGCCCTGACTTGCTCCCCATTGCAGAATGCTGTAAATAGGATAATATCAACTTGACACCTGGCAGGAAAAAAGAGGCAAAATAATATCCAAAACGCTTCGTAGAGCCTTAATCCCTAAAGGTTTGAAATATTTCTAACAAGTAATAAAAACCTATTGAAATTGAAAAAAAATAGTAACAGACCAAACTTCTTTTCAGTAAAGACAAATAAAAATGTTTTGATTGGATGAAATGCTTAGTTCCATACAAGACAAAAGTTTTCTTGTTGCCTTGAGCCTTAAAAAGACTGAACAGAAACACACAGAAAAAAAACAAACACAGAGAAGCACTGATTCAAGAGTATATTCTGTTTTAAAGCAAAATACAAAGAAAATTGTCGATGGTAACAGAGCTTCTTTAATGGCTTCCCCTAGCAGGAACAACACAGCAAAAAATACAAACTTTGAGCTACATATTTCTTCAGCAATTTCCTATTTCGGTAAAATTACTGAATGTTCTAAGGTTTTCTCAAGTAAATTTTGTCCTTCTTAACTCGTAGGTGATTCTATATTTTGGCTCTAACAGATATATTTAATACATCACTCTCCACCTACTGACAGCATCAACATACATGCATACATGTGTTACTATGATTTATTTATTCATTCATGAGATCACGTGAAGTGTATGAATTGCTTCTCTCTCTATTTGCTATTTATTGTTACTGAAGTTTAGTTTTTAATTGACTTGTGTAACTTTTGTTATCATTGTGTCATGTTTGCCATGTACCTTAAAAAAAGTTTTATTGGTTGATCTCTTGTTAGCATTAGGCTTTTATTCAACTGTAGAATTGAACTGTTATAATTAAACACAGTCATATTGGATTATAAATTCTTTATTGACATAAATGTCATGCCATGAATTGCAAATTTGGAAAGCAGTGGGAAAAAGTAGAGTGAGGAAGTGGGGATTATGTCCTCCAGCAGCCTAAGCCTATAGCAGCCTAACTAGAGATGGCACAGGATATCCTAAATCATTCTAACTATAAGCATTATCAAAAGGGGAATTTGTAAGTCTAGTCTTAACCTACTAAGGCTAGAGTGGTATCAGAAGCAATCTCTTCCTGTGATTAAAAAAATGAAATAAATCAAGAATAGCACCTTAATTATCAGAGCCACATACAACCTTTAGGTACCATTGTAAAGGTAAGAACTACCTGTTTAACTGTTGTTCTATCTTTTGTAGAGAGAGTCACCTATGGAGCTAGTTTTCTTTTACCTTTGCTAACATAGAACTTTTTTTGTGGCAATGGTTCTATGTTCCTTTTGCATGTCTGCTTCTTTCTCTTTGAAACCCCAGTTGGCCTTTGCAAAAAGCTGCTCAGGCTGAGCCTAGTTCTACTGGAGGTTTCTTCCTGTTAAAAGCAAGTTTTTCCTCTCCAGTGTCGATGTTTGCATGCTTGGTAGGGGGGATTGCTGTCAAATCAACAGCAAAATGCAACCGAATGGCAACTTTCATCACATGATTATCCAGAAAAAAAAAATCCTGCAACAAATCCTGCAAAAAAATAAAATAAAGAGGAGTGGTGTTCTAGTGGTTAGAGCATTGCACTTGGGTCTCAGAGGATCTGAATTCAAGTCCCACATACTCCCACAGACTGCCACTCTTGCTCTTTGAGCAAGACCCTTAACTCCACACTGCTCCCTGGGAGCCGCACAATGGCAGCTCACTGTTCCCCAAGGGGATGAGTTAAATGCAAAGAGTTCATTTTGTTGCTTGTGACAGTGTAATGACAATAAAAGTTTAACAAAAGGACAATGACTCAATGGAATCAGCTGGTTTTGTCTAGATAGAAAAACTTAAACCAATGTGTTTGGATGATTTGATTTTATTGTGTCTGAAAAGTGCCTTGAGATGAGGTGTGTGTTATTGAATGGAGCTATATAAATAAACTAAATTCATTTGACTAAATTTTGATGGGCCAGGTGTTGTTTTTATTTTGGCACAATGACAAAACTGTGCCTAATGCCTGAGTTGTTAACCTCATTATAGGAAATCTGGTTAAATAGAAATGCTAGTTTCCATTGGAAGATTTCCACCTATGACAAAGATTTTGTTTGTGACATTACACATGAAATGATCATCTGTGCTCAGAGTGGTTCATGCAGATAGGGAAGTAACTTTTATAACTGTCTGTTTATGTACTTTCAGCTGCTCCCTTATTCAGGGATCATAACACCAAGTCGTTACAAAATGCTCTCAAGTTCTGCAAAGTTTTACACTGAATGCTCTAAATAAAACAACCAGGATTGAAACCCAGGTTCCCAAATTACGCTTAAAGACTTAAACTATTTTACCATAGGGGTTGGTTACATTTATAATCTTGTTACAAAGAGAGACTACAAATCTTGACAACATTTGAAGAAATTAACAATAGGTTGTTTGAAAGGAATAACTGTACTTTTCAAGACTACAATGAGGGGCAAGCAGCAGTTTTTTTCTTTCCAGAAGCATTTTTCTGGAATGTTTGAAAGAAATTACATCTTGACAACTTTTTTTTATTTTATTTTTTTTTTTAGAAATAATAAAGCCTTCTAAGGATTTAGAGAAAACAAAACATTGGGCCATGTTTGACCAATTTGAACAGAAGGTGAAGAGTAGGCATCACTTGACTTTTCAGACCAATTAAAAATAATAGGTAAATAAAGTGATTTGATCCAAGTACCGGTACATGTTAAAAATCTCCATAACAGTTATTTGTCAGTTTGTCTCGATGAACCCCAACTTAATGTATCTGAATATTTGGTGTTTTAAATCACAAATGTTATTGCAGTAATCTGTGGGTTCCTAAAGATAAACAGAAATAAATTTAAACAGTATTTTGGTGGATTTATGCTTCAATTCTGTTCTCCTTTTCCTTTGAAAGATGTGTTCAGTAATTGTCTTCGGAACTGACGACCTCTCACTCTTTTTAGACTGGAACCAGTTTTCACGTGTTTGATCAGGGACGCTTTGCCAAAGAGGTTCTACCAAAATACTTTAAACACAACAACATGGCAAGCTTCGTTCGACAGCTCAACATGTGTGAGTAAGCCTTTTTGCCTTCTCGTTTAACTTCATTTCATCATCCTATTTACTTCTCTATTCTGCTTGTTTTCTAACAGATGGTTTCCGTAAAGTGGTTAACATTGAGCAAAGCGGCCTGGTAAAGCCTGAAAGAGATGATACAGAGTTCCAACATCTTTACTTTCTACAAGGACATGAGCATATGCTGGAGCACATCAAGAGGAAGGTATGTATGCCACCACGCCCTCCCAATATCATAGGGATATCTTCAGATAGTTTAAGGTAAAATATGAAAAAATAAAGAAATAATTACAAAACCAATACATACCAAATTGTACATACATACCAAATTGTTATAATATACCACATTGAAATTGTAAATTTTGAGTATTGAAACAGTAACTTTGAGGTTCTTTCCCTTATTAAGTAACAAAGGAACATCTCTGCTTACCTTATGAACCAATAAAATGCCAATAATCCAATCAAAAACAAATTATAGAGCACATCTACATTTCTACAATGATATGCATATTGCTCTTATAGACCCGAAACACTCTCTATTTTTTCATTTCTTTTTTGTTTTGTTCTTATAGTCAGCTGAACAATTTTGTAGCATTGTCTGTTGTTAGCATAGAGGATCCTCTGTCAAAAGATAATGCCGTTGCAAGGGCCATGTCTTGGAAAAATTTAGGAACTTCTGCATTGCCATTTATCATTAACATTACACAGCAGAAATGAATCATCACACGAGCTGTTTTCTCTGTAAATATAATTCTAGCCAGCCTGCTGAAGCAGACATTTGTAACAACCCATGTCATCTAATGATAAAGAAATCAACACAAATTAGGCAATTAATACATTTATATCTAGTAAAGTAGAATGACAGAGGAAATTGTATTGAACACACCTTTTCAAATTGAAGTCCTATGGGATAAGATAACTGTCAATAAGATGGTATGCATAGGTGTCTGAATTTGTAAATTAAAGAATGTTCACAAATTCAGACAAATATGCTTTTTTTTCTTTTACAGTTATCTTACCCCATAGTCACCATCAACACAATATATCAAAATCTTGAACCATTTGGGGCCTCCTCTATGCCAGCAGGTAGCTGACTGGGTCATCCTTCCAGCCTTTTCCTGTTTCTGCAAGACTGTCTGTTTGGGATCATGGGCTTTTTTTTTTTTTTGTCTGACACTTCTTATGATTTTTTTTCTCCCTGTACTTTATTGGCTTGTCCTGAATCTCAAACGTGCGTCTTTAAAACAAGCTTCTTCAGCAGTGTTTTAGTAAATAGTAAGCGTGCATAAGAGAATAAGGTGCTTTTTTAAAATTACATATTGTTTAGAGAATATGTAAGGAGCTCTTCATGACTCATCATTGTCTGTTGGAAAACTCCCCTGATTCATTTGATTTCTATGTTAAATCATTTGGGGTGCATATGATAATGTTTGGCTTTTGGGGAAAGTAGGTTTGTTTCACTTTCAAATTGTATATAGATTTAAAACACAAAATAAAAAACTTTATTATAGCTTGGAATATAAATCTGATGAACCAGATATCTGATTTGGTATGAATCTGATCAAATTAAATGAAGTTTCATAGTTTTTTATGCTTCTTTTTTTGGTTTTATTTGTAATCTATTGTTTCCACATGTTCAGGTGTCTATTGTGAAAAGCGAGGAGACCAAAGTTCGTCAGGAGGACCTCAGTAAGCTACTCTATGAAGTTCAGCTCCTGAGGACACAGCAGGACAACATGGAGTGTCAGATGCAGGACATGAAGCAGTGAGTAAATACTTTGTTTAGTTTTTTACTTATTTAAATAGAACTGCTCCTTAAATAATTCAGACGGCTCTGCAATGAAGCGTTCAAAATGCTTCATTGTTTTGTTGGAATACCAAAGCAGTTTTACAGCATCATGAAGACACTGACATGCTTTATGTTTGACATGGTGCTTTTTTTAGGGTATGCTTCTGTAGATTTAAAAAATTCCATTTTTGATTCAGTGGTTCACACAATAGAATCATGAAACCATCTTCTTATCTAGCTGTGGTCAAATTAGATCTGACTTGTGGTTTTGAGTCAGTTGTTTGTATCTGTATCAGAGTCCAGGTGTGAATCCTGTTATGCAGAATTTAGTATACATTTCACTGGGGAAACGGAAATCTTGATGGCTGCCATAAAGTCTTGCTGCAGGTGGTTTTCAGTCAGTTAAAGGTTCAAAGCATTGCTTGTTTGGAAGTTTTCTGAACATTTCAATCTGAAAAACTCACACGAAGAGAAAAGACAATTAGAAGAAATGTATTGATACAATCACTTGGTCTTTGGCGCTCAGACATCAGCAGGAAACATAGCACTGAATTTTGATAGATACGCATGAGCAGGACTAAATAGTGGAGGGGAAAAAACTCCCCATTAGGAAGAAACCTCTGGCAGAACCAGGCTCAACATGGCGGTCTTCTGCCGGACCGGTTAAAATGAGACGTGGAAAGCAGTAAAACTTTGATGAACCTTTAGCTACGATGTTGGAGGAGGGTTGAAACGGGGTCATCTGAATGAAGTCACAGCGCAACCACCGCCTGCGCACAGGAGCAAATGTTTTGCGGATCGGGGGCCTTTTAAGATGAACTTTGGATGCCGATTGGCTTTCGTGGAGGTGTGGCTCAAAGCTGATTGGCTGTGTCATAGGTGGATGTAGGCGAGCAATCAGTTTCTTCAGTTGAACTTCCATCTAGGCACCATTTTCACTCAGCCATATTTCTAACATGCTATAAAAGGTTTTCCCCAACAGTCCCATATATTTCCAACTTCTCTATATGAAGCACATCTGATAAAACCAATGAAGCCTTCGATACTGTAGGTCATCCACTATAGGTCATTGTTTTCATTTGAGTAATTAAAGCATTACTGTTTGACTCTGTTATTGTTAGGAAGAACATTTTTTGGTTTTGCAGTAAGTCTAATTTGAAATAAGGGTTGAATCATTTTAGATAAAACTTTCTATGAATAAAAATTTTAATAAAAACTTTGCGACTTGTAGTTCTAACTTTCAGCACAATTTCAGTTAATATGTAAAACCTCGAAGTTTGAAATTTCAACTTCTGAGGACAAATGGAACATACCATTAGGGTTTGGTGTAAAAGTTAAAGGACTAGTGGGGGATGTTCTTTTTTCCGGGGGGATCATCAAAATAAGTGGTCCTCCTAATTGTCAATCATTCTAGCAATATGTTTATTTAAGTCGTTCACTTACCGGTGGTGAGTCTGACATAGTGGAAAAATTGCAAATCTTCTTTTGGAAAGTAAGCTTGTATGAGCAATGCAAACAGCAACTTTTAAATAGAGTGTGCACAAATATAAATGGGCTTGTGCATGTTCTCGCAAAGGTTTAATAGGTGTTCCCTCTTGGAAGTGGGTACAGGGTTGTGCATGTGCATTTTTTTTTTAAGTGGATAGGGCTTTTCAAAAATTTGCACAAATCTTTCACTATACCTATGGTCAAGGGAGGAAATTAAGTTCCGTCCAGACATGTCAACCTCCACCGCCATGACCTTCTTCACTGACCGCCCTGTTTGGAGGCCTTGGTTTTTGTGCCAAACCAAAAAATAAAAAAGACTGTAAACATGTTTTGCCCATTTTTAAGAATGATGAGAAACTACAGTGAACAGAAGGAACAATTACATCTCATTTGGTAATTTGTTGCTTTAACACAAATATCAACCTTTTCTTCATCTTCATGTAGAATTTGTTAAAACACTAAGTGGGGGGTGAGTTGCAGCTGGAAATGATTGTGAACCTCTGCTCTGATTCCTAGAATTAAAGAGTCAGACCTGCTTCTGGGCTGTCAGGTATTCTCCTTGTTATGGTGGAACGAAACACTCAGCAGATGATCTGACGTGTTCTCCAGAGGCCATTGATGCTGAAAATAGCTGCTCGGGGGTCCATTGTTTGAAGGAACGCCTTTGTGCTCAGTATTGTTTGCTGATGTGAAGAGAGAATGTTCACCCCATCACCTGACTGACACACACTCGCATGGTGACAAACTGAGAAATGGGAGCACATGTGTTCCAGTAATGTGTTTCTTTCATTTTATTCAAAATCCTGACGTCTAAAACATCTTAATAATAATGCACAGACCAGGTTACTTTCATTGTTCCTATTTCATAAAACTGACGTGAGCTGAAACAACAGTGTTAATAGTTTTTATCTTCCTTTCAGCAGCCTTCTGAAAACCTGCATATTTGCTTTGCCAGTCTCGATAAATCAATTTGAAAATAAAGACATTCTGGTATATCATGTTGCAAGAGAACAATCAGACAGCTCAAGTAGTGCTGAAGATTTTATTTCAAGCATATATTTCTCTATATTATGCAATCTACAGAAACACAGAAATAAACAGATAGAATCCTATTGTAATATAAAGCTACAAAAAAAAAAAAAACAGAATTGTGATTGTATGACTTAGGAGCTTATTACTGTCTTGCAAGAGTCTAAATAAATATTTTTTTAATCCTTGGTTTGACAGTTGACAGAGTTGATCTGGGTCATGGGAAAAACAAAACAGGTTTTAATCAGAGGCAACTGTGTTTTTGCAAGGACTAAACTTAATCCAAACAACAAACTGTATCAATCCAGGAGAAAGACGAGTTGGTCACTGATTTGCATCAGACTTGAAGGATGGTACACCATGTGCTTAAAAGAGATGGTGACAGAAAATTTTTTTTAAAAGTGCCATTACTGCATGCCAAGAACTTGATAAAACATATTTTAGTTCTTATGCTTCACTAATCTGGGATAAACTCCCAGAAAACTGTGAAAGTGCTAAGTTTCCTCAAATCAAGGTTAAAAGCCTGTTTGATCATAGTTTTCTTTGGCTGTTCACGTTAATATGTTCACTGAAACATCATTCATTTAATTGTGCTCCAACATTTCTTTGAGTGACTCTACGAGATCACTTCTATGTGCCTTTCTCTGTTTTTTTGTAATTGCATAACTGACCTTGAACAAAAAGAAATGTCTGACCCTGATTAAAGATAGAAGGAAATCTAGCTTATTTCCTGCTGTCTATGTAATGTAATATCGGTTCTAGGCCATTCAGTGATTTATAGATTAACAAAAGTATATTGAGTCGTATCTTCTGGGATGGATAGGCTTTAGAGTTGGGTCAAAGTGCTTTACTTTCGTAGTTTTAGTAAGAACATGGACAATTAGTGAAATTTTGGAGTAAGAGATACAGTTTGTTCTTTGTTTTTCAAGTTTAGAAATTCAGATCATTTTGCTTAGTATTTGGCAGAATTTTGTTATAAACTGTATTGTTCGGTTCAAACATGTTGTACATCGCTCTAAGAACTTCAAGTAAATCACTTTCTTATATATATACATATCCTCTCTGATCATGATATTCCAACCACACTGTTTAGATTTGCGACATTGACATTGTTCACATTGATCCTGCACCCACTGAGGTTGCATTTGATTTGCGTTGGGCCACCTTACAGAACAAAACAGCTGTATGTATATATATAAATATATGTATATATATATATATATATATATATATATATATATATATATATATATATATATATATATATATATATATATATATATATATATATATGAGTCAAAGCTGTTTAACAGACTTTCTAAACAAGCTCTTGTTTGTTGCTCTGCCTTGCAGGCAGAACGAGGTTCTGTGGAGGGAGGTGGTCTCACTGAGACAGAACCACACCCAGCAACAGAAGGTCATGAACAAGGTGAGCTTATGTCTTCATAGAAATCATTTACAAGGGAGTCAAACAAAAACAGAGAAATTGAATTAATGGTGATGGGAGGAAATTTTACTCCACAGGTTTTAGATCAGCAAATTATTTCAGTTCTGCTTATTCCATTCCCCTAAATTTATGTTCATACATCTTAAATTAATCCAGGTTTTACTTATATTCCAGAATGTAGCCACTCGCATCTAAGCTGAGATTAATGCTTACTTGTAAAAAAATGTTTGAAATTTTTAATCTTTATTTTCCTTCTCATCAATGAATAAAACTGATTTCATTTTTTTTAATAACTCAAATTCTGCACAAACCGAGAGGTTCCATTCTCTTGTATAAAAATTTACTAAAATCATTTTTTTCTTTGTTAAAACCAGCTGCCAAAGTGATTGTATACTTTTGACTCAAGAGGTGTTTTTTTTTTTTGTCTGGCATTAAGAACGATGCTGATTCATGCTGTGCTTTTTCTCTCCTAACCAGCTGATCCATTTCCTGTTCAGCCAGATGCAGTCCAGCACACCCAATGCCGTGGGCCTGAAGAGAAAACTGTGAGCACGCACACACACACATACCCCCACACCCCCAGAGCAACAGTCAACAAAAATGGGACAAACAGGGCAGCTGCCTCAGCTGACAAACCAAACGATCAAACTGAACAGGCGCCATGAATGGAGACAAGTGCTGAATCAGTCAGTCAGGTGCTTCACTCACAGTGAAGGCAGCACACAGTGCATGACCCTGTTGCAGCCAATGTGTTAAAGTGCTGGCTCAGCTCTGAATCTATGAGCGAACAAGGCCAGGATGAGAAAGGCGAGGCGTGCCCTAATACAAAAAAGACTACAAAAAAAACATAGGATTTCCAGGTCTGTGCCACTATTAGTACTGTAGATGCCAATGAAGGTTTTCCTCTTTAATCTTTCTGAAATCCAGGTTATTTGGGTTATTTTCTCATCATCTGGATTATTCATAGAGTATTCTTACAATAATTTTGTGGGCCGCCTACTCCAAAAACCAGAAGTAAAACCTGCAAAAGCACATCACCATATTCTCAGAACTTCCTATGATGTTTAACCCTTTCGTTTGTTGCATTAGTCAATATAAATGTTGTCTCACATCCAGGAGGTCTCAGGTTCCAATCTCTAGAGGGTTCAGGCTGCTTTTGGTAGTTAACTATGTGGAGGATTTTAAAGATCTACATGAATTATACAACTTGAGTTAAAATTCCAAGTTAAATATGTTTTCGGTTTTTGTTATTTTTTAATTCAGTTTTTAACTTGTTGATACATTAAGAAAGAATTCATCTTAAAACACTGGGGGGAATATGCCCAAAAACTTTGACTCCTTATCACATTTGGATTGTAACTGGCATGACAAATGTTTACGTAAATGTACTGTAGATTGAAAATGTCCAAATAACTATTCTCTGGAGAGATGAATTAGATCTCTACCCTCTAAGTCGTCCATCCATATCCCTTTATTTCACAAAGTGTTTGGGTTAGAAAATCTCTTTAAGCCCTTGATTCAAAAAAGCATAGACATTTCATGGTTTTCCTTGAAAAATATATACATTTCTTAAATTGCATTAAAACCTGTTCAAATTTAATAATGACTTATCTTATGATATGAATTTAGAATCCAGTAGCTGCTTTCTTATTAAAACTATTTACTGTAGCTTTTAGTTGGATATGATTAAGATTATTATATTGTGCAAAGAAAAGTATCGCTCCCTCCCTTTTTCTTTTTCCTCATGCTTAACAGTTTTGGATCACCAAACAGATTGTGATATCAGACAAAGATAATTTCAATTAAGACAAAAATCAATTTTCAAATGATGATTTCATTCCTGAAGGGGAAAACTTTACCACAAACAATTATTGGACCCTGAAGCTAATACATGCTTTTAACTCCCTTCACAGCATATTAAAGCTTTTATCATCCATTGCTAAAGTTGTTTTGATAGAGAATTCTGGTAAAATCATTAGATAATATTTTAGCATGGGAGGCCTGTTTGCAGTCATGCAGCAGCCCTCAGCAGTATTTACATATGGACTTTGACTCCTTTTTGTACCACTCAGATGAATATTTGATGCATTTTTGCTTAAAGTCTCAAACTCATGACAAATATTAACAACACCAAGATGTCCAATACTTGAATCAGCAAAGCAGCTCCAGACCATCATACTGCCACCACCCTGCTTCACTAGTGGTATGGGGTTCCCTTTAGTGTACAAGATGAATCTAAATCCCTGAGGATGCAAAAGATGTTTTTTGGTAGATGTGAGGTGGACCTTCCTAACCATTTGTCTTGCTTAGCAGAGGTCTTAGCCTTTCAACCCTCCTATTGTTGCAGCCTTCTGTTCCAACAACCCCCCCACACACACACACACAAAGGCAGTGGGTGGTAACAGGTGGTTTTTGGTTTTGCACGCACCTGCAGCTTGACTTATTGTGAAAGCAAAAAAGTCCCAACTACAGTACCATTACTAAAAATGTCTTGGAACTTAGTAGAAACGAAATTTATTTTTTTAAGCTCCTAAAAAAGTGGTAAAAAAAATAATCATTTTTTAAAACCTCCAGTCCACACCAGACATTTACCACACAATCCCCCAACACATGGTCTGCTCTTAATCACTCAAATTAATGGGAGGTTCTAACAATTAACAACTTACTCTTAACAATTCCAAATCTAAAAAATAAATTACAAATTTTGGTTCTAAATTAACTTCAATATATTTTAGATACCAAAAGACAAAAACTAGATTGGTAGAAATAACAAATTACAAACAATTAGCATAAATGGCTGCAACACCTATAGATAATGTTGTCTTTTTCTTTTCATTGAATCGGAGAACTCTGGCCTTAACTAGGGATTGTGAGGCAATGCAGAGCTTTTTGTTCTGTGACCTTATTCATGACACCCAATGCCTCCCTGCAGTGATGTTAGTGGACCAAAACCTCTTGGAAATGGCTTTAATGTTTTGTAATTTCTCTATTTGTGAATATTAGTTCCAGGACCTTTAGAAAATACTTTTAAAAATGACTGATTAAGAACCATGCTTTATTTTCAATGTTCTCTAAATCCTCTGGAGTTGCTTTTTGCCTTTCAAACTCCTTTATTTTGTCAGACAAGTTATATTATTCTCTACAAATATAGTCTCTGTAGAGGCTTTAAGCCCCTGAGGTGCTGCGCCGCTTGTAGTAGACTTGAAGTGCTGATTGTTACCTTGATTGATGAATTTATGTCTGACTCTCCATTGCCAATTAAACATCTGTTTATTGCTTATGTTTCTTGTAAAAGTCAATCCAAAATCCAACAAGCAAACATCTGAATCTGCATGGCACCGTGTTGCTTCACCACTCAAAAACTTTTTCCCGCTTGCGAGGTGGATAGAAAAGCTTTTGTTGCCCTTAATAAATAAATCATCATAACTGTGTATTGTCTAAGGCTAAATGTTTCCTAATATAATTTGTAGGTCATTTTAGCTTTAAAAAAATAAGTAAAACATGAAATAATTTATCATTTACATAATAATTTTAATTTAATTTTGTAAAATAAAATGATAAACATAAACTAAGTCATATATTGAATTGAACTTGAACTGAGTTTAGCTGAAATGCCAAAACTTTGAGTGTCTGGTGTGAAGCTAAGCATATATTGTCCTGACAGTATTGACAAACACAGAACTTTGACAAAAAATCTGATGGTCTTCTGTTATTGATAGAGTTATGAGTCATTCCTTCCTGTAAAGCATCCTCTGCCAATTATTCAGGCTTTGAGTGCTCCTAAATGAAGTACTTTATTCCCATTAGGCCTCTGATGTTGGATGATGGCTCTCCCAGCCCTTCTCCTCCCAAGTTCAGCCACCATGTAGAGTCAGTACAAGAATCTTACTACATCCACTCGGTGAGTATAGTAAAATATAACAAAGAAAATGACCTAAGTGTAAATAAGCATGAGCAGATTTGTTTGAATATCTATCTGCAGTTATTAATGCTCTTTTGACTTTCTCAATGACATGTCTCTATCATTACTGATCCCCCAAGCTACTGACCTTACATGTTTAGTACAAATGTTTCCAGCAGCCACATCCACTGAAGCTGCAGCTGTCTGGTTATTCAGGCAGGGCGGGTGTTTTATCGCACTCTTATCAGCTAGTCATGCAAAATCAATCCAAACTGTCTTCATTCATAATGTCTGATCCTTATCTGCAGAGAGAGAGAGAAAAAAAAAAACATTTTGATGAGATCTCTTTGGGCAGTCTGCTAACTGAACACTAGAGGGAAGCAGTGTGTTGTCACTGATACTCATTATTGTCAAGTTTCTGACTAAAAAGACAGATGTTCCTGATTCTATCTGAGGAAGGATGGACCATGAAAAGGGAGTTCAGATTTTCTCCTTGGGCAACAACTTCAAACCGGAGTCTGAAATCAAAGTTTTCAGTCAGAAAGTTTCCTTTTCCAAACTCTATAGACCACTTTGCCTTCATTTCTTTCTTCTCCTTTCCCTTCTCAGCCATCTAGCAATGTTGCGTCCTGTTCTACTGATGGACTGACAGGAGGACCAATAATTTCAGATGTTACTGACATCACTCAAACCAGCATGACTTCTCAGATGCAGTCTCCTGACAGCAGGTAAGTCAGAACCTTCAACACCAGTATAATAGAACTTCCTTCTTCTAAGCACTCCAGGATCTCAAAAGGTGGAAGATAGTTAACTTCCTGCCTCCATACACAGGGAGAAATGCATGATGCTTATCAAAGAAGAGCCTGTGAGCCCAGGAGTCCGCAGTGGAGGAAAAGTGGCTGGGGTTGGTGGAGGAGAAGCTTTGGCAATGAGCTCCACCTGTGAGGTCTGCTCCTCTGAGCCTCCTGTCCTCCCTGTCGCCATGGTACAGTCTGTCCTGGAGGGGAGGGGCTCAGCAGCTTCACTTCTAGAGAGGAGAAGCAGGAGACCTACCACTGACAGGTATGTAAACCCTGTTGAACTCACTGAAATGAATTGATTTGTTTGTGTGTTTAATTTCAGTGTCTGTGTGCAGAGCCGAACTTTCTGAGTCAGTGGAGAATGTAGAAATGAGTATGGAGGAGCTGCAGCAGCTGCTGCTCAGGAGCCACCAGCAGAGCGCTGTAGAATCTGGAGCCGGCGCTGCAATGGATGTAAGTAGATATGCTGCTATGAGTTAAGATGACACAGTCCCAAACAATCAATCCTCTCAACCTGGGAGAAAAAAAAAATACAGTTATGGAGTGAGAAACAATCCCTTTCCTGTTCCTGGAACTTGTAGAAGCACATTTAATGGGAATGCCTTTCAGTAGTGTTTGAAACTGAAACTAACAGCATCACTTACTGTCTGATTATTTCAGCTTAGAAATGTCAGACTGCTTGGGAACACTCACAAGGAACTGAAATGTTATCCACAGCTCAGCAAAAAGGTCAATACAAAGAAAAAAAAATGAAAAGAAGAAGTGATATCGGGAAGAGTATCCGGTCCTGCAGCAGCATAACTAAGTGAATTCAACAGCCTGTTAGTCGCACTACTGAGAACAGGAGTACATTAAAAGCGAGACACATACTTAGAAGTGGCCGGAAGGGATGTTTAAGAAAAGTCTCCTACATTTCTGAAATTTAGACTCACATTAGAGCTCTGAACTTTAACTGGACCATTGGTACATTCTGCTGTAGATAAGCTGCTGTGTTTGGGAATCCTGTGCTCTCAAAAAACTCCAACATATGGCCTCAAACTAGTGTTGCACCGATACCGATACCAGTATCGGACGAGGCCCCGATACTGCCCTAAAATGGTGGTATCGTGATCGGCGAGTACCAACAAATAGGGCACCGATACCATTTTGAGAGTCATAAGTTTATCAACTATTGTCACCCACTCCTGGTAGGCAATAAAAAGTTCTACTGGATTCACTTTGTATTTGATTTTTTCCTGCTTCACAAAGGTAGGCAGCAGCTCGACAAAGCCATGATGGTAATTATTTTACATTATTATGGTATCGGTATCGGCCGATACTGCACAGCCAGGTATCGGGTATCGGTATCGGGGCCAAAAAATGGCATTGGCGCAACACTACCTCAAACTGAACTCTAGAAGTATTTTGCATACATTAAAGATCACGTTCGATTCACTTAGTGCAGGGGGCCCAATTCTACTAGACTTAAAAAAAACATCATTCTCCAATGCATCCACAGAACCTGCTGCTAGTTTATTTTGCAGTTTGATTGGTTAGATTGATTGGTTAGGTCGCACTACTTAACAACCTGGAAGTGTGATAAATTAAACTGCTTTATTCACCTGCCCCGCCATCATCTGACATTAATCGACAGAAAAAGAACCCTAGAAAGATATTTGGACACTGCGACTGTGCAACCGAGGCAGAAGCAGACTGACAGTTCTGGACCGTCTGCCTGCTTTGTTCATAACCAGATCAGCTGTACAAAGGTTGAATAATTTTTTAAGAAAAAAAACTTCAAACAGTTTTGAAAAGTTTATGAAACCTTTTTCCCATAATGATGGTCCATAAAAGTTGCTTTTTAAAATAAATTACTGATCCTCATTCTAATTAGCCTTGTGGTAGCATTACTGTGCACTCTATAGAGCAGTTATTGAAAACTGCCTTTGTTAAAGATCAATTGGTTTATACATTTAGCTGATTTTAATGGAATTAAACATCTGAAATGTTACCGTTGTAGTACATTCATATAAAATTGCATACATATTTTACTTAATACAAATATAAATCTAAGTTTCTATTGTTTGTTTGTTTCTGCAGCCTTTCAGTTTAAGCCTGCCTCTGACTGAATGGAACTTCACAGAGATGGAGTCCAACCTCAAATCTGTAAGTCAAAGTGTATTATCTGTGGAGCTGCAGGGTAAAACACAAACATAATTAGTCTGGAGTGAACTGAGAATTAGAAAAATAACGTAAACCAGCTTAAAAGCTACTATTGGCACATTTTGTCCCCTCTTTGAGGATGCAAAAACAAATGCACTAATGAAATAGAAAAACAATATGTCAGCTTTCTACAGCTATAAGAAGGATGATCACTACAACTTCTCCAGCTATATGAAATGAAACTAAAACAGAAAGGAAATTAAAGAGAAATACACGTATGTATTTTTTTCCCCCCACCATAATGTAACTTTGAATGGCAAAGAATATTATTATTACAATTATGTGAATTTAATGCTTGAATTTTCTTCAGATCCCTTTTCAGAACAGCTGCCACAATTCATCAAATATCCTAAAATGAAAAATATCTATATAAAAAGATGTCAACCTTTAATATCTATATAAAAGAGTCAACATCTGAATCATGTCATTGATACAAGAGGATTTTTGTCAAAAATCTATAACATTTGCGGAGGTTTCTTTTCTTTACGACCAGAATGAAGAAAAATCAGTAACTCCTCATTAAGTTAGAAAAGTGGAAACAGACTACTTTCCTACAGCAGTAATGGAAGTTAGAGTAATTTGGGAGTAAGGCAGGGCAGGGCGAAACTCTCAATCCACAGATTTATCAATACTGTGATGGATGGAGAGAGGCAGAACAATCATTAAACTTAATACTTTCTGTGATAAACAAATAAATGTGTCCTACGCTTTTGTAATATTGAAAGCCTCAGTCAAGAAGATGATCATATTGGATAGTATGATCTTTAAATTATCATAAAACAAAATAAACAGATGGCCTTTTAAGACATGTCTTATTTCCAGCCTCAGAGAGACAAGTGCTAAAAGCCTGAGCTCACCAGGTAATCAATAACATCTCTAAGGTCCAATCCTTCTCACCAGATTCCTACTGAGCACAGAGGATGCTGAAGCTCTGAGATCAGGCAATCTTTCATTTGGTCATCAGAGGATTTTTCATAACAAATAGATGGAACAGATGGAATAAAAAAACTACCATGGTACAAAAATCTAATGCTAAAGGACACTCAGTGACTTAATAAACATTAATTATGCTGATGACTGATTGAGGACCACTGATAGCATAGAGAACAACAAGATTCTTCTCTGCTACATTATTTCCAACAGCCTTTTATCCCACATACATGCTAGAAAACCTTTAAAAATGTTTAACACTAAGTTAACTGTGCATGAACCCTTTCAAAATGTTCAGATTGTAGAATAACCTAAAGGAAAGTCGATTCATTCTTTATCCCTGCTTGGTTTTTCTTTGTGGAGATGAAAGTCAGTGGGGGAGAGAACTGAACCCCTTGGTACAGTCAGAACTTACGACACATGACACACTGTTTGTTTTTAGGAAGCACATTAGATTACACTAATTTGTTAAGTCTATAGTATTTTCTGTGTTGAGAAAAAAAGTATTTATCTTTATGAATGTGATGCAATGTGTTTTTTTGACAGTACATGTTCCATAATCAGGAAGCAGAGGCTTTTCCAGCTGCCAGCTGTGAAGATCAGTGACTCTGAGCCATGGAGTGTCATTTTCAACTGATACAGTAGGTAACAAAATATGATCTCATAATTAAACCCTTTATTTAAGGTACAGTGGGGGTCTTTCTTTTTCCGAGTGGATCATCAAAATAAGTCGTCCTCCTAATTGTCAATCATTCTGGTGATATGTTAACGTAAGGCCGTCCTATGTGCTCATCCTCATTTTCACTTACCAGTTGTGAGTCTGACATAGTGGAAAATTTGCAAATCTTCTTTTGGAAAGTAAACTTGTATAGGCAATACACACAGCAACTTTTAAACAGAGTGTGCACGAGGAGAAATGGGCTGTTGCATGCTCTAACACGCCTTTAATAAGCGTTCCCTCTCGGGAGTGGGTACAGGGTTGTGCATGTGCATTTTGAGGGCTGGTCTTTTAAAAAAAATTTGAATATCCTTAAATATAGCTTTAATAAAAGTAAAAAAATCACTTATTTTCACATTAAATCTGCAAAGACTGGTGTAGTTAATTGAATTTCTAATATTGTTTTCATATAGAATAATCAAAACAATTAGTAGTATTAGGCAGTGTGCATTTTTATTCATTCCCCTTTGTTCTCATACCCATTAAATAAAATCCTGTGCAATCAATTGCCCTCAAAATTCATCACTAGGAGTGATGGCCTAGTGGTTAGAGCAGTGTGCTTGTGATCTGAGAAGTTCGATCCGCACAGCCTCCACTCTGGGTCGCTGCGCAAGCCCCTTCCCCCACACTGCTCACCGGGCTCCCCAAGTGTATGGGTCAAATGCAGATGCAAATTTCACCAGTGTGAAATCAATAAAGTTCAGTTTTTTTTTTAAATAGACATTTAATCTGAGTATAAAACAAGGTGTTCTACAAAGGCCCCTGTTGTTTGTTAGACAATATCAGTGAACAAACAAATCCTGAAAGTCCAGGAAAACAGTAGAGAGAAAGTTGGAACTTTTAGAGAGGATTGCTTTGTTCAATCCGCCATCTGAATGTGGAGAAAGGATAAACCACCTCCAAATGTACCCAATGCAGGCTGGGAATGGGAGATATCTTACAAAGAAGCTGCCAAAGACCACCAGTACTTCTGGAGAACAAACTCAGAATCTGCCAACAGAACAGACATTCCATAAAGTTAAATAAATAGATTTAATCTTTCTGGAAGAGTGGCAGGAAGACAAACATTGTTTATTGAAAGCTTTAAGAGTTTATAGCTTATTACAGGGCATGAATGAAGGACTTGAGGCATGAGGAAGATGGTTCCTGGCCAGCTTGGCCCACGGAAGACAGGGGAGTAGGAGTTAAGGTTGCAATAATAAAATTACTAGTTTAGCCTGAGGTTAACTCTCCTGAGCCTAAGGGTAATTCTTCTTGTGCTAAATGCCTGAAGAGACACTCTGACATCCCATCTTGTTTCTCTCCTCAGGCCACAGAAGCTGCTGTTCCACTCATTATTCTACTCCACATGAGTTTGAACTGAAAGCCCTGCCAGGCTATTTCCTACATGCTGCTTTGTTTCCATTCTGTGCACATAAGGACATCTGAAAGAAAGAGGACAATGGGATTTACTAACTACTTCCTGGTTAGCTGGCTGACATGCATTTGATGTCCACATTTGCAGTTAAGGAAACAAAATAATGTTGTCATGATAATGATAACATTATTATAATAACATTATAAATGATTCTCATTTAAAGCCAGATGGATGCAGAATGCTCATTCTTGGCTTCTGCACTTTAGTCTTTCTGCGAATTCTAGCTAGGAAATTTGTTTTTTGTTTTTTTCCCTCCTATATATAATTTATTTGCAAAAGTGTTTTAAATAATTTAGCACAAGAAAGGCAATCATGTGGGTTAATGTGGCGCATTTGAAAAGTAAGTGTTCTTAGTCTGTGTAAAAGTTCCTAAACTCTTACTGAAAAATCACTGTAAGTGCTACAATAGAGGAGAGGTGTTTTAGCAGTTTTATAGCCTAGAATTCAAATGTAAACCAAACTTTAACCGTTCAAGAATGAATGGGTTACAGGTCCAGGAAAGAAACCAGTCACCCATCTCTGTTGGCAACAGCCTTTAGCTCAATCTGTGGGTTCCCAGGCCAAAACAGTAAGTCTTGGTTTTTCCCACCCTCTCCTGCTAATGGGGCTTGCCCAAAAACTGGTACCCAGGAGGAATCTTGTAGAACGGGCATATGCCCTGTCCACCTCAACTGCCTTCTTTCATTGCAGAGAAGCAGTGGCTCTACAGGGCAAAGCCCCTCACCCTTTCAATTTTAATCCAGTTTATTTATATAGTGCCAATTCACAACACATGTCAACTCAAGACACTTTTCAGAGACAGTTCAATCAGATTATACAGTCAGACTATGAGACTCTGGGGAAAACCAGCCCATTGATGAGACTTTGATTTTGTAGGATTAGTTTCTCCTGGATGAGAATGTGCTGACATGTAATGACTGTACAGCAGGGGTCTCCTTGCAGGTTTTAGTGGCATCCCTGCTCCAACACAGCAGACCCAAGTAAACGGCTCTCTACGAGGCCTTTGCCAAACTTGATGGCATAGTGAAGAGATAATTCAGTCATTTTGACAAAGATTAAATTATGCATCTAAAAACTGCAGGACAGTAGATCTTGAGGACTAGGGCTGGAGACCCCTGCTCTACAGCAAGTTCTCACTGTGAGAATGCATTTAGCAACAGTGGAGAAGGAAAGCTCCCTTAGACCAGCAGAACCAGGCCCAATGTGAGGCTAAGGCTGACAGGGGATTCGATGAGAGAGAAGCAGACATACAAAATGAACATTTAAACACAGATCTATATATGCTTTCTCTGTTAAAATATGTAGCAGTAAATAAGCTCTATAGGTGGCGCTATTGAGGAAAGAAACAGTTACGCAGACAAGCACTGAGCCAGTTTTCATGTCTAAGGGATGAAAGAGAGACTTACTTTTATTCACAGTAAAAGCTGAGCCCCTAGCTATATCTAGGAGAGAAACCGGACTAGGCACTGAAAAAGAGGCCCACTCTATCATCTATAATCTAAGATGTTGATGGCAGCAGCCCAGATGATAGATCTCTCCAGGATAGCATCACAGCTGAAGAGGAACAGGCAAGATGAAGCTACTATGATCAGAAAAAGCAGAGAGATTAAAGTTTGGGGTTGAACTTCCTTTTTGTCATGATCAATATCTCTTGACCATAAGTGTGGTGTGGAACAGAGACAGACCACCGAGTAGAGAGTGTGTTTTTTTTTTGTCTCAGCTCTTTTCTTCGAACCAAAGCAGTGGCCACTTTATTACATAGGAAGCACAATATGTATCCATTTTTCTACCATTTCTCTTCAACTCCATCCTAACATCACTTGATCCAGAAGCCTTTCTTAAGCAAGCAGGAAAATGTGGATGGATGGAGTTTAACCTACCAACTTGACATGTCCTTGCACTGATTGGCCAAATGTTATAGTTTCTATTTTTATTTGTGAAATAATCCAAAAATACTTCTTATTTGAAAGAAGCCTAACCAGTTCTTCATTCTGCACCATCTACATCTCAGAGGTTTGACATTGGGCCATGTTTTTTTTTTTTTGGTTGTAGAAGAGTGACACTCTGTAAAGCTCACAGAGGCTGCATATGGATACATATTTAGTTGATATGTTTGTGAGAGCACATATAGAGCTTAATCAAACAATTCCTATTTTTTTTCCCTCTGAAAACAATTCAGTACATCTGAAAATGGAGCTGGAGTTTTTATTACCACATGTGTGATGGTATTGTTTCTTACAACTTAATCTGTAACAGAACTTTTGCAAACCTTAAAAACTGTAAAATAACATTAAGAACATTTACTACCTTTTTTTTTTCCATTTTTGTGTAAACTTATTTTGTGCTCAGCATTGGTTGCAGGCAACAATTATTTGTGAAAATGTGATTAGGAGAAAGTAGCTGCAGATAAGTTGAATTGTGCAATATTGTACAGAACTGTGAGAATACTGCAATGCACAGATGACCATTGGAATGTAGGACATGAACATTTTGCAGTTTGAGTTGTGGAGTAGAGCGGACTACAATGAGATGCACAGCTGAAGGAGAAAGTTAGCCTGAGAGTCTAAAATTGCTGCCATTCATGCTGAGCTGCACTGAAGCTTTCAGCACTTATTACAGTACAATGAAGTGACATAAGCAGTAGGAAGCCAGCAGCTTGTGGTCAAGCTGCTGGCTTCCTACTGGGTGCCTTTTGCAGTGGCAGTACCGTAACCTTTTCACCCGCAAACATGGTTTCAAAAAAAGCACACATTAGCTTTAGCTTTGCGTTGCTTTTTTTCATCAAATTTCTACTGTTGCACAAACATTTTTTTCTCAAACAGACTGAAACTCCAGTAGAACATGTTCCCACAATTAACGCAATGTCTCACTTTTAGGGAAATGCAAAGTGCGTTAGTTCAGAAGTCTCAGAGACAAAAAAGAGGTTTTTCTAATATGCCTAAATATTTTCTTGAATAGACTAAAATAGTTTTTTGTGACCTCCAGGTTAATGTTTAATTGGTTGAGCTTTATTCTCTGTACATGAAAGAAAAGTGACCTTTGGTGTAAAATAAGTGAAATTGCACTAAAAAAAATCTAGTTGTAAGATATCCTTAGGCTAAGCAGTTGTTTTTGTTCCTCATCATATGAGTGTAAATGGCTTTTTCAAGGGGTGATGAATTGCACATTCAGTTGCTGTTGTGTTCCTAATTTATTCTGTTTTAAATTTTAATCATTTGCACTGGCAGGGAATAGATGTGTGTTAAAATGGCATTTATGCTCGTTGGGATTGCAGATGGATAAGGAAGTATTTTTGTTCAGTGGCTGAAAAGACATCTGCTGTTAACAAAGCCTGGCATCCCAAAAGCACCTCTGCACTGTGAACGTTCATGAATAAATCTACATACAAATTCACAGCACTTGCTCTGCTAGCAAAAGATAATAGAAAGCAAGTACACACTGTCTCTAAAGGACAGGGATAATCTCAGTACTTAGGTGCTTTTGAAAGTGGGCCACAAGTCGCTCAAAATATGATGCATTTAGTGGGATTTTTTTTCTTGTTTTTGCAAAGACTAAAGCGTATTGTTACAGTTACTGAACTTGTATTCCACCTGTGTATAAAAAAATGTATTTGGTCAACCTAAATAAAAAAGTTATAAAAAAACAACATGCTTAATTACTTTCTTGTAATGATAGTTACATATCTAAGAATTTGTACTAACGTATTGTGTATGTCTGCAACAATTTACACAAACACTAAAGCATTTCTGATAATATGACTAAATCTAACCAACACTGTTCAAATTACATTGTTTTAACACATTTTACAATTGAGATGGTTTGTGCTCTATGTCTCCATAATTATATAAATTTTCTTATTTAAAGATAACTATAAATATAAGAAGGGAATATCAAAATAAATATAAGTATGAGGACTAGAATTTGTCCAATACTTCAATAGTTTGGCCTGTTGATAAATCGGATGATATTTGCCTGTCTTTCCAGAATTGGCGTTTCGACTGATAGTGTTAGGAATCCAGTTTGTGTGGCCTGTTTGTGTGTTTCCTTTTTCCACCACCAGGAGGTGCCCTGTCTTCGCTGTCCCTCCCTGCACACCTGCGGCTCATTGGACCATTAGCTGAAGGAGTATTTGAGCAGTGGGCTGTCACTACCTCGGCCCCAGAGTGTTTGCCAGTTTTGGGTACCCTAGCCAAGCTGAGATTAGCTGAATCTAACCTAGCTTTGTTTTTCTGAGTCTAACAAGTGTTTTGTCTTTGCTCTCCGGCAGAAAGCTTTCCTGTTTAACTGGATACCTGGACCTTCTCCCCCCCGGAAGGATATACCGAGTTCACACTGAGTAGGGGAAAATCTCCACATGTTCTATTGAAGTTCCCATCGGAAATCCGAGTGACAGTCCACTCCATTACTCCTCCGGGTCCCACGCTTGTCTACCTGTCCGCCCTCCAATGTGTGCACTATTTTCTGGATTCCCCATACAGACTGGATTCAAGGACTAACAAGGCCCCCTCAAATGTGAGTCCCTTTCCTGCATTATCTAAAGCATCCAAGATTCCCACGGTCCCTTATCTGACCTCTGAACTTCCCTTCTCACTTCCAGTTCCGGTTCACCTGCTCTCTCAGTACCAGACCCCACTCCTATTACTTCCTCAATAAACCTGTTAAACCTTTCCCATGCTCTCTGTGTGCTTTCTCTGCATGTGGGTAAGATTCGTAAAACCGATCATGACAGATGACAGTGTAAGTAGGCAATTTTTAAACATACTTTTGTCATGATTCTGCTCTTTGTGGACTTTTTGGTTCTGTTTGTTTTGTGTTCGATTGCACTTTGGTTTGTGTCATTCTTGTCATGATGGGTATAAGTTGCTAGCCCATATGCAGAACACACTCAGGAGGCAGGCAAAAAGTTCAAAGGTTTATTTATAATAAGGAACAAAGCAGATCAGGATGTCATCAGGTCCAGGGCTGGTCTCGGCTGGGTTGCTGACCCGGAGCTGAGCAGAGCAGCAGAGGGGATAAATCCTAGGAGGATTCTGAGGCTGGCGGCAGACTGAGGGATTGGTGGAGGCTTGGTTTGGCTGGGGCTAGTTGATCTTCAGGTCTAGGGTTCAGAGGCAGACGGCTGGCTGAGGGCTGAGGTTTGTGCTGAGCAGGCAGAAGGAGGGAACCAGGAGGGTTCAGAGGCAGATGGCAGGCTAAGGGCTGAAGCTTGGTTCTCCAGGGTTCTGCTGAGATCAGGCAGACCGATCTTCAACAGAGAAACTCTTCTGGAGGGTTTTGGTTGCAGGCAGGTTCGACCTGAGAAGCAGAGAAAACAAAAGGTTCAGGTTCAGGTTTAGCAGTCTTGAAGACTAGACAGGCAGGTTGGCTCAGGGTTTGCTGTACCATGATTGACTAACACTCTGGCACCGGAGTGTGGTACTCAGCCCACTTAAATACTGGTCTCCTGATGAGCAGATGAAGAACAGCTTGTGAAGTCAGCTCCAGCCTCAGGAGATCCAGTACGCCCTCTGGTGGAGAAAGGTAGACAGAAAAACCCCAGATCCCAACAGTAACAGAAAA